TATATATATCCCCTGGCCCGGTAATGGGAGCGGTGGATGGACAAACCGATCTCATGGATTGGGAGACTACATAACGTAAAAATGAACGTACTGCCTCGGCTCCTCTTCCAGTCAATACCGGTAAAGGAGCACAATTACAGCGCTCCATAGACACTTATCTAGCAGAGAAAACGGCCCAGAAAAGCACAAGCCCTGTTATACCGCCCCAAGAACGGGGGATCTAGGATTACCACAGATATCTATACTATTGTACAGCTCAATTGGCTCAAATAGTCTATTGGCATTCACCCCTACAGCAGGAATGTTGGGTAGATATTGAATCACTACTAATGGCAGCAGATCTTCCCCAGTTTTTTATATGGATACCCAAACGCAGCAGGACATTTCTTAAGACAACTTGCCCGGCAATACTCAATTCAGTCAAGTACCTTAGCAAACTCTATAGTCACATTAGCGCAGAATCCAATGAATGGAGGGACCTGCGATACACGGGCTAATGGGAGGCTGACCTGGGGGAACAACTGAAGACGGTGGAGTGGGAGGATATTTGGGAAGCAAACCCACGATCCTCTGTGTAACATTCCAAGAGCAAGCATATAAGACCCTTTTCTGGTGGTACACCACCCCGGTCAAACAATACCATATGAAGATAAGCCCCACAGACACATGCTGGAGGATGTGCTGGGAGATAGGGAGTTACATACACATGTGGTGGCACTTCCCCCAAAGTGAGTGAATACTGGGTAAAGGTGGTGGGGCTGAGCTCCCAGATCTTGCGGAGGAACCTCACACTCGACCCCTTGGCCTGCCTTCTTTCCAGACCTACCAAGTGTTTAACCAGACATGAACAGAAACTACTTAACATGGTCTATTTGGCTGCCAGATTAGCCTTAGCTCAGAAATGGTTGAGCCCGAAGCTGCCCCCACTGTCTCTAGTTATAACCTGATAAAAGATAACTATCTAATGGACAAACTAACGGCGCAGGTGCAACACTCTTCTAAAACTTTTCAAAAGGTGTGGGAACAAAATGTGGTCTAGGACGGCACCAGCGCTCCGTCGCCCGGGATCCATCTACTTTCATCTGTTACTCTTATGTTCTACATCACTAAAGTCTCAAACGCTGATGGAATGCACGCAGGTCAGACGTTATGGTATGAAACGTTTAACGCACTAACATAATGTCGCTTTCTGTAAACGATATCTATACTGCGCCCTGGCTTCTGCTTAAGCCTATTTCTTCGAATTGCAGCATATCTATCAGTGCAAAAATAAAGAGTTTAAAATATAAGGCAGATATCTTCTGATATCTCCCTTCTTTGAGGTATGCTTATAGATAATTTAGGCTGCAGGATACAGCTTTGCCAGCATTACGCAATAAATTGTACGATTACTTGTATAATACATTTTTACTCTAACTTTACCTTTTAAACGGTCCTAGTACTTACCTTCTGAGAGGACTTAATGAGGGGCCTTGGACTTTAATTTTTATCCTCGAAGGCTGGAGAAGCATTGTCCCATCTAGCGGCCCTGTGATGGTATCTCAAGAATCTTATACGCATCTCGTTATGGCATTCTCAAAAATCTTCTGCGGGATCATTCCAGGCATCGACTCTTTTGCTCTAGAAAGTGGTACTTTGTCATGTTGGTGGCCTATATGCAGATTAGGTTCCTGGAAGCCTCTTTTTATAGGAATTAAATTTACACCAAAATGTGCGTTTTCGTCTCTCATTAAAAACAATCATGAACACAGTTAATCGACCGTATAAACTGTACGATGCAATACAAGACAGTCTACCTTCGCACACATGTACACACAGTACAGTTAAAGAGAAGTTGTATTGATACAAAGATCGGCTAAGGCATTTAGCAGAGATCGTGGTGACCTTACTGTACATAAAGAACACCACGAAAAAGAGAGCCGCTGCAGTCTGGATCTAAAATAGGGGTTGAGCTGTACGTTGAGGTCTGTAATTTGATTTTTTTTTATTATTATTTTTGGCTCTGTCTAAATTAATAGTTAATCAGTTTGGTCTTTTTGCACTTTAGGAAGCATGGCTGCACTGTGACTAAGAATAGAATGCAGATGTAGAAGGTGATAATGCACAAAGCCCTTGCCAGTCTGTTAGTTTGCTTTTTGTGAACAAAAGAGCAGTCTGACAGCCTAAATCCATGTTGTCATTCTGTCTGCTTCCATCCAGCGGGTAAACAATTCTCCGTTCTAACCACGAGGGAGGGGGCCCTGTCAGGCCTTGCAGGCAAGTCCCCTGTGTGATGGGTGGCATAAGTCTCATGCCAGGGACACTATTGAATTTATCTTTCTGCTCTGGGGGGGAGGGGGGAAATAAAGAACGCTGCTTGCCTGTCAGGAGGGAAAGGGTTAAGACGAAGTGCTGAGAATATGAACCTGGTGGCGGCTCTCTTTTCAAAGGGGAGACCAGGAAATCAAACCTTTGATGTTAGTACAAAGCACAACTTCACAGCAAAAAAAAGTAACCTCCGCAGCCAGGGCTCAGTATGGTTACTGAGCATGCAAACCGCCTCCAGTTCTCCACCATGCTGCGCTTAACCATCACAATGCTGATCACTCTCCCAGCAGCTTATTTACTAAACTAGAGTATTTTACACTCCCCATTCCTGCCAAGTGAAAACCGTTTCTGTGCACGCTCTCTCCTGTTAGCTACATGGAGATATATTGAGGTAAATTGTGTGGCAAAAAGCCTTTTGTTCTATGGTCTGATAACAGCTTGAGAGCAAGAGTTTTCACACCAAAAACCCCCACAACCAAACACACTTTAATTTTTATTCCAAATACCATGATTCTGCCCCAGCTCGTAAGCAAAGGATTTCTTATCAAGAGAGTGGGGTCTTTGGATCCACCACTTTCAAAATGGACACATTATCTGACTGGAGACAAACAAGAAATGTGTGTGTGTGTGTGTGGTGTGTTGTTCTAAATCAGCCTTATAGAGACACTTTAGTCACCAAACAACTTTAGCTTAATGGAGTGGTTTTGGTGTATAGATTATGCCCAGTTAGTCTCTCTGACCAATTCTCTGCCATTTTGGAGTTAAAGGGACACTCCAGGAACCCAGACCACTTCTGCCCATTGGAGTGGTCTGGGTGCCAACTCCCACTACCCTTAACCCTGCAACTGTAATTATTGCAGTTTTCAAAAACTGCAATAGTTACCTTGCAGGGTTAACTCCTCCTCTAGTGGCTGTCTACTAGACAGACACTAGAGGGCACTTCCTGCTTCATAGCACAGGCTTTGCTAGAGCGTCACTGGATGTCCTCACGCTGTGTGAGGACCTCCAGCGTCGCTCAATTCTCCATGGGAAAACATTGAAAAGCATTTTCAATGCTTTCCTATGGAGAGCTCTAATGCGCATGCGCGACATTGCCGCGCACGCGCATTAAGTCTCCTCAGCCGGCAGGCGGGATCAGTCTCCCCTGCCGGCTGACGTGATGAAGGGGAGGAACGACAGTGACCTGAAACCACCGCCGAGGGACATCGGCAGGGGTCTCAGGTAAGTCACTGAAGGGGTTTTCACCCCTTCAGCAACAGGGGGTGGGTGGGAGGGAGAGGGGACCTACTGTGCTAGGAAAACAGATTGTTTTCCTGGCACTGGAGAGTCCCTTTAAAATCACTTTGTTTATGCAACCCTTGTCATACCTCCCCGCATGTGACTTACAGTCTACCTAAACACTTCCTGTAAAGAGTCATCTAATGTTTAAACTTCCTTTATTGCACAGTCTGTTTAATTTAGACGTTATTATCTCCTGCTATGTTTATATCTTGCTAGACCTTGCAGGAGTCTCAGTTTGTGATTAACGTTCAATTTACAGAGCAGGAGATTAAAACTTCTGACTGGTTAAAATCTGATTAAAAACTAATTTGTTTTCATGCAGGCTGTTTAAGCCACAGTCAGAGGAGGTGTGACTAGGGCAGCATAAACAGAAACAAAAGTAATTGAGCTCCTAAATGGTAGATAACAGAGTAGTGAGACTTCAGAGGCATGATCTACACACCAAAACTGCTTCATTAAGATACAGTTTTTTGGTGACTATAGTGTCCCTTTAAGACACAACTTGGCTATTGTTCCAAAACATTGCCAGATTCCATAATTCAGAATTTACTGAGTAATCGTACATTTAATTCTAAACGCGAACACCAATGAATAAAGATTGGGAACATGTGTATGTCTTGTCGATGTAGATGCGAGGCTCTTTCCTGACAGGCAGTTAAACGTCCTCCCCCCAAGTCAATTGACGTCACATCTGAAATAGACTTTGGCAGCAGAAATGTACTTAACATAGTGCTAGTTTGATCTCACCACATATGTTTTCATCTCAGACTCATGTGAAGTGTGGAATATTCTCTACTCAAAGCAGTTTGCACAATGGAATCTGTAGGGCAATTTAGTCCAGGATTAAAAGAGAATGGAAGCCAGGCTATGATAATTCTCAGAATGACAAGTCACACTTTGCCTTGTATGCAGTAACAATGAAAGCCAGATTGTGTTCCCAAGACCGTTTTAGTGCAGACAGTGACACAACTAGAATCTGTGTACCAGACAATCATGGTAACAATTAAAAAGGGGCCCAATTTCTAACTTATCAGAACGTGTTGTGTGACATTTTATCCTATCCCCTTGTGTACTACCGTTTGTTTTTACCTTTGGTGCATTTGATCATAATTAATGGACTTATAATATTTTGCTTTTTTGAATTAAGGATTCTGCCTTGGAACGGACCATTGTCCTTACATTTCCCTGTTGCAGACCACCATACATAACCTTGGAAATAATATAGGAGGCTCAATATTGTATTCTGATGTATACTCTCCTTTAACAAAGAATTTCAGTTATTGCTGTTATTTTAAAAGGTCCAAACCACACTAAAGCGTATGCATAGTTCTTCCATATTAGGGTAATTTTGCATTTACAGCTAATTAGTGGCAACACAGGAAAGTGAGATTAGACAAAGGTTTATTAGTTAGGGCTAGACAACGGATTGCCAATTCATCTGAAACCAATAAAAAACAAAAAAGGAACTGTATGTCAATATATATAAGAAAATTACATTAGTCTTTGAATTGGGACTCCAGTTTTAGAAACAATACTATGCCAGGAATACAAACATGCATCCCTAACACTACAGTCCTGATGTGTCTGTTTAGGTGTCTGACACCGCCCCCCCACTCTGACGGTCTCGCCATGGCTGGCCCCGCGTCCTTGGCTGAGATCATCAATCTTGATGATCTCAGCCAATCCAAAGTTTTCCCATAGTAAAGCTATTGCACACGTGCTCTTATTAGCATCACCTCACACAGATGCATTAAATCAATGCATCTCTATGGGGAACGTTCAGAGTGGAGACCCTGCGCAGCACTTGACTAGGAAGCACCTCTAGTGGCTGTCTGAGTGACTGCCTCTAGATGTGTTACTAGGCACCAATGTAAACACTAAGACCAGAACCACTGCATTAATCTGTAGTGGTTCTAGTGCCTATAGTTTCCCTTTAAGTAGTCGAGAGGGTAAAAGGTGCTTGGCAATGGGCCTGCTAGTTTGCACCTGGTACAGTGTAAAGTGAATGTGGATGATGTTATTCACAAAGCCAATACTATTAATTCCACACCCTAAAGCAGGGAACATTCAGTTACTCCACAAATTGCTGTACGGACTCTTTGACAGAGTTCATTCTGCTTCACACAAGCTGTATACTGTTTGTGCATTACACCAATGCCATGTGAGCACCAGTGTTCATTTTGGTGGCATATTTCATTTTAGCTTTAGTCATAGTCTTTTGACTAAAAAGCTATTTTAATTTTAGTCGTATTTTAGTCATCTGAATTGTTTTAGTTTTAGTCGACTAAATATACTGAAGATTTTAGTCAGCACAACTAAAAACTAACGGGTTTGGTTCAAGCCTCTCTCTGTCTCTCTGGTCTGTCTCTTTTGCCCCTTCCCCAGTCCCTCTGTGTCTGTTTGTGTCCCCCTAGCCCTGGTCTAGATGTCTCTCTCCCAAGCCCTGGTCTGTCTCTTTTGCCCCTTCCCCAACCCCTGTTCAGTGTTAATTTTGGCAGCAAATTTCAGTTTAGTTGTAGTCATAGTCTTTTGACTAAAAAACATTGTAGTTTTAGACATCTGAATTGTTTTAGTTTTAGCTGACTAAAATCATTATTAAATAAAATTAACACTGGTGAGCACTCCTACAGAAGAGACTCACTCTGGTGTATAAGAGCACATTGTGATGGGCTTCGAATCTAATGGACAGGTAATCAACCTGTTACTAATCAATTATTGAAATAGAGAATAATCATTTCAGTGCTACCTCTGCTCTAGCGTCTGTCAGAATTTTCAGATAATTCAATATTCGCCAAGCAGCACTGGATGTTCCCCATACAATTCCAACAATAACTTGGCATGAGAGCATTATTTAGGAGAAATGTTTTAACCTAGTTTCACCTGCAAAGGAAACTCACAGAATTTAGCTGCCAAGTTGGGCTCAAGGTAATTTTAACAGGAAGTTCATCTTTATGATTATACTGATCACATCTAGAGGGTTCCGGTGAATAAGAAAACTTGTAATTCCACCGCTAGAGGATAATAGGAAAAAGCACATTAGTGAAAGAATTTGATTGGTCAGATAAAAATCATGGTAAAGCAATAGTGCATCTCCCTGGGCTTCAATTTAGCAGCATTAGCAATGAAAAATAAGGCTAGGATTACAAAACTCCACCATGTGATCTATTAAGACGCTGATAAAAAGAAGCCTTACATTTGTATTTTTTTTTTATTTCTTTTACTAACCAACGTAAGACAAAGACCCTTCCTACCAGGGCTTGGGATATCTGGATTACTTGTGAGTAAATCACTTGATCCAACCGTGCAACGTTTATAACACAGAAAATAAAAAGGCAAGACCATTTCCTTCCAATGCAATTTAGAGACAATCTCACATTGCCGCACATACAGCTGGAGGAGGAGGACAGCTCCCCATAACCGCTATTAGTCACACACACTTAAGCGCAACACACAGACCCTGAACCGTGCCCTCTAATTTTTAAAATTCAGAGATTAGATAGAGTCAGCAAGTTTGGGACACTCCATAACAAGGATACAGACCAGTCGTTTATATAGATCTATGTATTTTTAAAAATAGAATACACGTAAGCAGAATATTCTGTGCACAATTTTAACAGTATGTTTTATCTCACAGACCAAAGTACTGATCTATAAAAAGAAAAAAAAAATTAAAGGCAAACTTAAACATTACTTTAAAAAAAAAAGAACATACCCACGGGTACAATTATTATTGATTTAAACATTCCAAACACGGATCTTGTTTAGTTTACTTTATAGTAACCCTTAACCCCCAGCATTTAAATGGTCTAAATTCACTTGAAGCCTGACTCTAGTTGCACATAGGATTAACCCGTTCACAGGCAAACAGCACTTAAATAAAAACGTTTATTTGTCCATGTGGTTGGTTTGCTTTTCACTTATGAAAAAGAATTTTGTGAAACAATTTGGATCATATCCATCAGTTCTTGAACGTCCTATTGTTGGGGGCCACGCAAAGCAGGTGTTATTGACACAGCTGTACCGTAACAGGAGCTAGCGGCATCCAGCAGATAAAGGGTTGTTTCTTGCAATCTCTACAGGTTTACTCATCGTCTGAGAATTCAAGATCCTGCACAATATCTTCATCCCCTTTGGCCAGATCCTTTAGGTCGGCCTGCGAGAGGTGCTGAATCCCCTTCTGCTTCTTGTGGATTCCAGCTTTCCCTCCCTCCTCCTCCTCCTCTTCATCCTGCGAATCCCCTGTGGGCGGAAGAGCAAATATAAATTCTGCTTTATCAGGAAGGAACAAGCCGGCCGAGGGTGGCTCATCACTAATTAATCTCTGCGTTCATTAATTTATCGCTGCTTGCTGCAGCATCCAGATAGAGAGGGCACTTGCCCAAGCCACTCGGTGCAGCCAGATGCGCTATACAGAGGAGCTGTCCATTTTATGGTTTTATCAATTCCCCTAAATAATGGGGGAATCAGCATGCAGGCTCAGATTAAAAATATTTGGATAGCAATAATACCAGGAACATGGGGGTTAAAAAACAGATAAGAAAATGAGTATTTTTTACTTACTACACCCTACTTTTTAAGGGACGGCGTGAACTGATGAATCAGCCTTTATCTATGTCATTTTATTTTCCTTATTATATATTTAATGAAGTGGATGGGTCATGCAGAGTGCTGAACGTCAGTGCTGCACACTGTGCACATCACTGTCCCAGGAAGCACCTCTACTGGCTGTCTGAGTGACTGCCACTGGAGGTGTTACTAGGAAGTAATGTAAACACTGCCTTTGCTCTGAAAAGTCTACAGGGACTGACTATACACACCATAACAACTACACCAAACTGTAGTTGTTCTGGTGACTATAGTGTCCCTTTAAGGAAAGGTAATGTATAAGTTCACAGTAGACAAAAATAGCGTGCCCTCTGTCAGTCTCATGTAAAATATGGGCTCTGCTGCCCACTGACAGAATGCATTATATATGATAAGAGCTATGTCTTCCAATGGAATGTGTGGATAGAAGGTTCAAATGGATAGAATACACTGTATCAGATACTCTTCATTCTAAATGGCTGTATTCTATCTGCCCCATGATTTCAGATGTTGATGGGAGGGGGTTCTCTGACTGAAAATGTCAGAGTGAATGGATGGAAGCAGGCCCTATGTACATGTGCACATGGGGGAAGCAGTAGTGCGTTATGCCTGCCAGATCTTGCGCCCCCTGTATCTGGTGATTAATGACATAGGGCCTGCGATAAAGCATTCTGTCCCACACTGCCTCCACAGCTCATTACCGGCCAGCTGTACTAGATTAACCCCTTAATGTTTCCTACACAGTCCCTGATCTCCAGTGGGTTTAGATGCAAAATTAAAGCAAAAAAAAAAATCTGTTTTGACAGTTTGGTGACAAAGCTACAGAGTTGAGCTGTACACAGAAACTTTCCATTTACTGAAAGAAAACCAGGCTGTTAAATGCCGCTGATCGCCACCTTCCTGGCCGGGTGATGTTCGTGCCAAACTAATACTGCTGTTACAGTGCGAACACTTGCGTAAATGGGCACTACCCACAAACCATGGCTTACCCTCGAAGTCGCTGCCGTCTTCATCCTCCACCTCAAAGTCTCCTTCTTCTCCCTCACTGCTCATTTCGCAGCTATCATCCGAGGAATCGCCTCTGCTCTTGGACTTGCCTGATGATAAAGAGGCGTTATTAGTTGAGAAGATAAACAGTGGCAAAGGCATCCATTAACCTTCCATATATTAATGCATTTGTGGCATACAAGGTGATTTGTCAGTGTCTACAGTGCATCTTATGGATCAAACCTACAGGAAGGCAGAATTAATGAACAGACGAAACTCGCTTCACGGAGGTGGGTACTGCAGAATGGCATGTGCCACCCAAGACATCCTCGATAGCATCAGATAATAAAGAATAAAGCTCCCCCTATGAAGATCCCCAATTCTGAGAATTTTGTGGCTTTTACTTTAGTACAATAGTGAGGACATAATTAGTAACGTTGATATCAACGTCAATGAGAAATTTCGGAAAGCAGGACAAGAAGAAAAAAAGTGTCACATTTTTCCATCTGTTTTATAGATTCTAGCCTAATTCATAAAACGTCATCAAAGCACATCCAATGCAATATATAAACATTTCCAGTAACAAGGAACTGCTCGATAACATGGATTGAGACATTACTCAACTCTAGGCATGATCAGAGTTTGATAAACAGAAATAGAATTTTATGGTTTTGTTGTTGTATTGTATGAGTGTCACATCTCCCTAATGGCTCTCTCAGTGTAATCCTCGAAGATATCGGAGACTAGCAGACACACTGTTGCTCTAGCCCTGGGTATTCATTGGTAACTCTCGTGCTGTAGTGACTTATTTTCGCTGAAGTCTGGCAGTTACATGAATTCTACAGTGTGCTATTGTCACGTCTGCTTGACAGCAATCCGGAGTGTGACTTGACAAAAGAGCATGACAAATCTCAGGGGACCAGGCAGGAGACATGAAATGAAGGGACAGCAAGGTGCTCAGGGAAGGTAGAGAGAGAAGGGGAAGGCAGAGAATGTACTAGGAGGGTCTATAATCGTCTGAAAAGATAAGAGACGCATTGAAAAGTAGCAGCTTAAACGAATCTGAGCACAGAGAACATCGTTTAAATCAGGAAAAGAACAGAGAAAATAAACCCAAAGAGTCCATTTTGCACTTCTGGAGGTGATTGTGAGCAGAGTAACGAGCGAGGTCCCTAACGTCCATTAGAGGGCCGCCGGCAAGCACTCACGGTGCTCATTAGAGAGGCTCTCAGCGATACTCCAGCTGCCCGCTCCTCTCTGCTAATTACCTGATGAGGCGCACATCCGGCCCTGTTGGAAGAGCCATTAATAAGCCCTGGCTGCACTCTGTGCTGTAGCACAGATCTGTCAGCCCAGCTTCCCATCCCTAACGTGGAGAACAGGGGAAGAGATGTTATATGATCACATCACGTATAGATCTGTCTCAGCTCCACAGCCCTATTTATTCCCATCTGTGCTTGCTGGGGAAGGGGGAGCGGAGCTCGGTGTGCGGCCAGTGTGTCAGATTTGTGCATTTTGCTCAGTTTGCATGTTTCCTTGCTATCTCCAATGTGGCTTAACTCTCTGAGTGCCAACAAGCAATGCAGGAGGGGATGTTAAATGCTTCCAGAAACAAACACCTATGATTGCCAATGGCCTTTACATAACAAACGTTGATCCCCTCTCCCTCTCCCCCAAATGCCATATTAGTCCATTCGAAAGTTGCTACAAACACACCTCCGTCCAATTTTACATGCAGACTGCTGAAAGATCCCATTGTAGGGAATGACTGTCGGCCTATATAAGTAATCGCTGATTCCTGGCACTGCAGCTGTTGTGGCTGAGTATCATGAGACACAATCTTCAATAAATTTAGAGCCAAAGTTCGGCCATGAATTTGTCTGCTGGCTCCGCTCCACACCTACAACTCTCAGCCTTTGACAATTCTGGCAATTTTGATAATTGCTCTCCAGCAATCTCACTTTCTGCCACAGTATAAAAGATAAATAGCAGCTTTAATTCATAGCATGTAATTAACTGTAACCCTTTCTGTGCCAGAGGGACGAACAATACGTTGTCCAGGTTTTCTCATATACCGCTCTGGCATATTAAAGTTCTAACAGTCATGCAATCACTATGTTTAACAACGAAAATACTTGGTTTAAAATAAACTGTAGCTGAAGGTATGGTCAGATCCAGTTTATTATATATCAAGATTGCCTTGCTGCGAGATTTGTTGGGCTGTTTAAAGAACAACTCCTACAACTCTGCTGCTGGCTCATGGTTTCAGGAGAAGATCAGAGAAGCGGCACGTCCAGTATATTTTTACACGGCTAAGCCATTTTTTAATGCTGTGGTTGTTCTGCAATAGGTCGCTAGATATTTAGGGATAAAATGAGGCTTAGAGAAGAACACATGCAGGCTGTCTCCTCGTCAGCCCGTTCCAGACTCTTACAGTCAGCTGGTTCAAATTACAAGTCTTCCCCACTGAAGGTTCCGTAAGCTACAAAAGGAAAAGGTCCACCTGCGGTCACAGGGGTCTGTACGGCCTGTACAGCAGAATTAAAAACAGATTTCTGGCAGGGAGGAAAGGTTGGTGTGCGTGGGGGGGCTTGCTGTGTAGAACTCACGGAGGTCTCAACCTTAGATCTGTCCCACCAGATGGGAGACCTCCTCTGCCTCCCCAGAGAACAATCTGCAGGCAGCTTAGGAAAGTAAATGCTTTTTGCAGGGGTGAAAAGGGAGGGAATAAAATCAACTATCATGCTAAGTCTAAATGCTCTAACGATGCAACACAGGATGTGTGATACCCGAGGGAGGTGGGAGCGTCCCACTGCTTATAAACAAGCGAGAATGGATGGATGAGGGGTATGAATAAAAAGAAGCTGTGAGTTTTATTGAGGCGATAAGCAACAGTTTCAATATCAGAGCAGCAGAGAAAGAAATGTTTGACTGTACAGCACATATCAGGGGCATGAAACGTTTACATAGGGACAAGCATAAGTATAGCGCTCCACACAACGTACAGATAGGCAATTAACGTTTAACGTTTGCTTTATGCTTTCCCATACCTCCCTAAAGTAATTCTAGTTAAGATTAAGAATTTCCAACCTTCCACTTTGGTTTAATCAAAATAATATCAGAGTAACATGTCATTCTTTTTCTAGCCATGATAATAATAATAATAGCAGGCAAAATGTGCACATGTATTTCATGTTAGGGCTGCATATTATATGGACCGAACAGTTCTGCATATTATGTGAGTGTTTTATAAGTGTGTGCCTGCATGTTATATTGATAATAGAGGAGTGTTATGTGATGGATAGATGGATGTAGGAGTGTGCGTCCACATGTTATATGATAGGTATTGTATGAGCAAGCATCTGCATATTATATGGGTGTTGTATGAGTGTACGCCTGCATGTTATATGGGTGTTGTATGAGTGTACGTCTGCATGTTATGTGGGTGTTGTATGAGTGCACGTCTGCATGTTATATGGGTGTTGTATGAATGTACGTCTGCATGTTATATGGGTGTTGTATGAATGTACGTCTGCATGTTATGTGGGTGTTATATGGGTGTTGTATGAGTGTACGTCTGCATGTTTAATGGGTGTTGTACGAGTGTACGTCTGCATGTTATATGGGTGTTGTATGAATGTATGTCTGCATGTTATGTGGGTGTTATATGGGTGTTGTATGAGTGTACGTCTGCATGTTATGTGGGTGTTATATGAGTGTACGTCTGCATGTTATGTGGGTGTTGTATGAGTGCACGTCTGCATGTTTAATGGGTGTTGTATGAGTGTACGTCTGCATGTTATATGGGTGTTGTATGAGTGCACGTCTACATGTTTAATGGGTGTTGTATGAGTGTACGTCTGCATGTTATATGGGTGTTGTATGAATGTATGTCTACATGTTATATGGGTGTTGTATGAATGTATGTCTGCATGTTATATGGGTGTTGTATGAATGTACGTCTGCATGTTATGTGGGTGTTATATGGGTGTTGTATGAGTGTACGTCTGCATGTTATGTGGGTGTTATATGGGTGTTGTATGAGTGCACGTCTGCATGTTTAATGGGTGTTGTATGAGTGTACGCCTGCATGTTTTGTAGGTGTTGTATGAGTGTACGCCTGCATGTTTTGTAGGTGTTGTATGAGTGTACGCCTGCATGTTATATGGGTGTTGTAAAAGTGTTTGGCTACATGTTATTTTGGTATTATAGGAGTGTGCAGCCAAATTATATAGTGGTGTTTTATGAGAGTTTGGATGTATGTTGTGTGGCTAGATGTTATATTGGTAATATACGACTGTGTGAATGCATGTTATATTGGTAATATACGACTGTGTGAATGCATGTTATATTGGTAATATATGAGTGAGTGGCTGCATGTTATATTGGTAATATATGAGTGAGGGGCTGCATGTAACATTTGTAATATACGAGTGAGGGGCTGCATGTAACATTTGTAATATACGAGTGAGGGGCTGCATGTAACATTTGTAATATACGAGTGAGGGGCTGCATGTAACATTTGTAATATACGAGTGAGGGGCTGCATGTAACATTTGTAATATACGAGTGAGGGGCTGCATGTAACATTGGTAATATACGAGTGTGTGGCTGCATGTTACATTGGTAATATATGAGTGTGTGGCTGCATGTTACATTGGTAATATATGAGTGTGTGGCTGCATGTTACATTGGTAATATATGAGTGTGTGGCTGCATGTTACATTGGTAATATATGAGTGTGTGGCTGCATGTTACATTGGTAATATATGAGTGTGTGGCTGCATGTTACATTGGTAATATATGAGTGTGTGGCTGCATGTTACATTGGTAATATATGAGTGTGTGGCTGCATGTTACATTGGTAATATATGAGTGTGTGGCTGCATGTTACATTGGTAATATATGAGTGTGTGGCTGCATGTTACATTGGTAATATATGAGTGTGTGGCTGCATGTTACATTGGTAATATATGAGTGTGTGGCTGCATGTTACATTGGTAATATATGAGTGTGTGGCTGCATGTTACAATGGTAATATATGAGTGAGTGGCTGCATGTTACATTGGTAACAGCAGCAATGCATCAAGGTACCAGCCCATAGGATGCTTCCATCTACCTGATGTCCTCGTCACCTAACTTTTAAGGGCTGCTGTCACCCACAATGTGACTTGAAAGGTTACTTTGGGGCTGATGCACAGGTTCCTAAAGTAAATATTGGGAGAGATGAACGAATTTTGTTGTATCTATTCTGTGCATACAAGTTCCTGGTGGTGGCCCCCTGTTTAGGTTGATATATGCTGTGAGGGGGGAGAGGGCGGGGTATCAAGACAGACTAGCACTGTAAAACCAGAATTCAGTAACCGTTAAACACAACGAAACTTTCAATTTGAGAGGACTTGGGGAATGTTACTACAGTATTATGCTGCAACATAAATAATCCAGAACCACTGAAAGTACTCAAACCGTCATTGTTACTAAATCACTGGATATTCCACAAGAAAGTGTGCACTGTCTGTGACTTATCCAATCTTTTAAAACATATTTAGAGAGCGACAAGGCAATATCAACTAATGAAGACTCAGCGAATACTGAATTTTTTTAAAAAAAATTTAAAACAGGAATCCTTTAAGAACCGTATTCATTTTGGTCTAATTGCTTTTCAAATTAGGGTCCAAACGCCTTGGAACAGTTACAATAACAAGCTCTAAAGAACGCGCTGCCCAAAACGCTTTCCTTCAGGGCTAATTAAAGGCTCATCAACCCCAAAGAACAATGACAGTCTGCGGCAGCAATTACACGCAGAGCATTGGAAACTGCGAACAGGAAGACCTCCTGCCAAACGAAACAGGCATCTTCACATCAATATTACTGGGTAAACATAAAACGCGAGCAAAGCTTCTTAATTCTAGGCTTAAAGTGAACCTTTCCACAAATCAGCATCAAAATATCTGGTTCAGATATAAAAACGCAATAATGATCATTCACTGCATACATTAAAGAATAGCATCATGGGAGTTGTAGTTTCTCCAAAGCTGGGGACTTACCATCACCACCCCCGTATTAATTTAAACTTACTTGAGCTTTGTGCTCAGGTCTGTTCTATGAGATGCGTTTCCATCCTTCTGTAGCCAACAACGCTAAGTTGGCAGACTTCACAAGTATTACTGCAGTTTATATCTTTAGAATTCTGGCATTAAGTTGGAATCTGAAACGATGAACCTGCCCTTCAGCAATGAAGTTGTTAATAAAGACGACACAGCTGTGTGTTTCCATTTCATAGGCGCTGCTACCCTGTATGTCACTCCTGTCAGGTGGCGAGAACACGCTGCCCTTAAAATACATTACGTACCTTTCAGTGATAAGCCTCCACCGCCGCTGTCCGACTCACTGTCAGAGTCAAACAGTTCTTTAAATTCTCGCTTATCGTCATCCTTCTTCTCCAGTTTCCTCCTCTTAATCTCTGGGAGGTTTAAGTCTTCCATCTTAAACGGGGGGAGAAGGAAACAAGGGGACACCATTAAAAATGCACAGAAATAGGGAACAGGAGGCAAAGAACAAATAGAAATATGCAGGGTCATTCATCAAAGTGAGAATTTCACATTTTAGGCCCAAGTAGCCGAACTGATAGCATTGCGGACATAGACACTTCCAATACGGATATTTGAAAGTTCCCTTTGAAATCTCATTTTGGTAAATAACTCTGACGATGAATTGGAAAACGGACAAATTCAAAGGCCACATATATCTGCTTACAGAAAAAGCAAGTGTACGAGTGACTATCTTTACAGTTTCCGCTACCCCCAAACACGGACACACGATACTCCTGAGGTTATAATAGTACAGAACTGACGCAATCACAAGAACAAGGTCTGTCACTTTCTTACTTGTTTAAACTCTGACAAAGTCACCCCTGGATAACCTGCTAGTAGAGTCATTCTTGGCCTTCAAGCCTGATGCACTAGAGGCCAACATGAATGATGCTATGGTGGGCATTAGTGTGGCATTTTGGTTTTGTGTGAACGGAACACACAGTCAGATTTGTGGACGACATCACTGACATGAATCTGAACCAGAAGAAATGAGAAGAAATCATTAAGTGGTCCCAACACGTTGGACAAGGTCCGCCAGCGTGTGACTGACCATTCTATGTTTCCGTGTCAACAAATGGCTGATAGAACACGGGTGAGGGTCTAACTGGATCAATGACTTGGTGCAGATGCAAATCGGATCATATAATGTCAACATTTACATTGAATGGGGGGTTTGAGTAACCTGTCCGTTATAAAAGTTGCTGGTGTCAGTCATCAGCCGCTTTTTTTGCAGCAGCAGGTAATTTGTGCCCCTTGTTAATAAGCAAGCGATAATGAGATAACAGGAAACTAGCAAGAGACTCCCAATCTGGCATTTTTTATTTCCTCAATTTTTTTCTGTTATTGAAGTAGCCGAGGCCTCTGCTCGTTAATCTGATGCTCCTAATGAAGGAGCTAACGACTGCTGCCACCCTTCCACAGCGGCATCATTAGAGGCTGTTAGAAGCTCCTGGAAAAATGCTTAGCGCTGTAATTATTAGCACTGACGAGAGCCAAAAGCTCTCTCACACACACACACACGGAGACACACACACGAGCAGACACAGCAGACAGCCGTCACATTTACCTGGACACACACACAAACATACTGACTCACTTGCACGAACACCTAGTAATTCAGGGAAAAGGAAGGGAATTATATTGTCTCCTCTTTATCCCACATTTCAGAGTTCAGCAGATCCATATTAACCCTCTTATAACTGGAGCTCAAAGTGATAACTTTCAAAAGGTTTTATCAGCTTTTCTGCCTCTACAGTATTTGTGTATATATATATATATATATATATATTTTTTTTTTTTTTAAATGAATAAAAAATAAAATAAAAATAAAAATATATCTTTAAGAGAATGCTCTAAGCATCCATAACCGCTTCTGCAATTGGCAATGAGCAATTTTCTCGGGGGTGAGAGGGGAGGGAATTGAGGGTTTACAATGTATCATCTACACAAAGCACTAAAAAAAATGAAGATGGTCAATGTGGCCTCAAATGTTCCTTTCAAAAAATTATCCTTTCATAATTAAATTATGATATTTGTATAATATATGTATTATTTACAATGGATGAGGTAACATAGCCTATAGACGTTTAAGCAGGGTTCTCTTCAACCTATTGTTCCTGTAAGTTTTTGTAACTGTCTCATTTATTGTTAAATCTCCCCCTTTGATAATATTGTAAAACGCTACGGAATATGCTGGCGCTACATAAATACCAGTAATAATATTAATAATAATAATAGCCCCATATGATACATGTAACATTGCCTCAACTTTCACGGGATCACCAAGCTTACTCAAATTATATTATATTATATGGACATACCTGCTTCTACGTCGAATTTTACACCAATGTTTATGCATTAAAGTGCACCTGTAGATACAGCATTGTGAGAAAACACAGGAATTCCTCTATACAATTAGCAAGCCAAACTGCGAGAAACTGTATCACCGAAATATTACTTGTACCAGCTAATATATATGTAGGATACTCATCATGAAACGGCAACTTGTGCAGATGATTGATTTGTTGACACGACTCAACCCTAACCAGCGTCCTTGCTAAATATTGAATATATGGGACATGTCCAAAAAAATAAGTTCCAAAAAAATTAACATTTCCCAGAAAAACGAGACTTGCGGTTACATTTTACCGTACAATATCTGAACAATTTTAAGATTTGTACATTAACAGGTGCTATGCCATCTAGAGATAACCTTAAAAAATAAAATTTAAAAACCTTGGGCTTTTATTGACCAACATGGAAATTTTGGAGAGCCATCAAGTGAACTGCAGATTTTCTGCCCAAACAGTCAAGCTAGTGTGATACCAAAGTTGGAGGATTTGCTAATTTGGTCTCAAACTTGCAATCCCCTTGTCAGGTCTCCAGAAGTCAGTGCCGATGTGATATTTCTACATGAGTGCTCTCGGGGTGATAGTCTAAATATCACTAAGGCCAGTGCGCTATAAAGCGAACTAGTCTTCTACAGCCCTGTCTCTTTCATCCGTATTTCTCATCCGCTACTTACAAAACGGCCCCCCTGCAGCTTTACACCAAAGGCTTTGTGAGTATCCCCAGCATTCAAAAGACCAAGGACAGGAAAATATCAGTAAAAACAAAGATTCTCCTTTTTTCTCAGGAAGCCAAGCAGGTAGGGAGAGCCACAGCGCCTCCTACTGGGGATTAGGACTCAGACAGTAACCCAGCCAAACCTGACGCTTCTTTAATCTCTTGAGCCTGCAGCTCCTGCAATGGATTAGCATTATGTAAATAATCATTTGAATCTCATGACACATTCGTGTCAGGGCTGCAGCCGAGCTCGGAGTTCCTCTGGGAGCAGCGCTCACTCACAAGCTTGCAAAGATTCCTACAGCTGACTGACAGGCCTGCACGCCATCGCTCTACTCCTCCACAACGGAGATCCATAGGGCGACAGGGCCCTTCGTAGCAGAGATTTTCCTTTCACCAGCAAACACTGCCACAGCAATTCATTCTGAGTTCACAAAAATCCCAAAACATTAACAATTTCCTGTGATTACTAAGCAAATGAATCCCTTTGTGTCAGCAAATCTAGTAAACAAAGGGTATTTGAAACGCCATCCACATAAAAATAATTTTAAAATAATTTTTTTTTTAAAGCATGATTGCTTTGCAATCCTAAATTTTAGCTACTGCTAAGCCAATCCACAAAGCAGAGGATAAATATATATATAAACATAAAACACAACACATCGAAACAGGAAGGTTTACAGAAAATCAGTATGGGTACAATGGATAAGGGGGGGCCTGGAACATGGCTTTAGATGCACACTTCATACACTAGTTCACCCATCTCCTATGACAAGCTAAAATATCCGAATCTCTTTACCAAACCCCCAAAGGCCAGCTCCAGCAATGTCAACTTCACATCCCACCCATCCACACAGTAACATTATGCACCCACCAGCCCATTTTACTGACGTTTAGGGAATATGGGGGAAACAAGGAGAAACATTAATAAACAGGCACTTTATCCCACGGCTGCAGGACTGGCAACGTTTCGGTTTACAAAATAATCTTTACCCAAAGATAGTGTGATTTAATATCACTTTACATGCGATCAGAACACGCGGAACACTTTGGAAGTTGCCAACAGGCTTCATTTGTCGAGCTAGCCCCTCCAGTTCCTGAACCTTGGTAGAATGAGAAATGCCAGGAATGGGTTAATTCCCATTTACTGTGCAGTAAAGCACTTGTCTATATATTGGGAGGGAAAGGGGGGGGGGTCACACTTACCCTCTCTTTGCCGCTGATCTCCAGCTGAATCTCCTTCTCACGCAGCTTCTTCCAGCTGACATAATATTTGGCCAGGGGGGTCCCGTCATCTTTTATCTGTTTCTCCCACTGCAACTGAATGAAGGGAGAAAATATGTAATTTAAAAAGCAGTTTTTCAGTTCCCATTGGTGTCATGAGACCTCAGTTTGTATATTATTCCTAATAAACACTATAGCATAGGTGTTACACCTAAAAACCACAAACACTCTAAGAACAAATATGTTCATTGACGGGTTATGGTGCATGGAGGTCCCTTGTCACTGTGAACCCCCATACTGCAGATGGAATGCATTCTCCCTCTGTCGTGAAAGGAATACGTTTTTAATTTTGCGTGTAAAGTGGTATACACTACGCACATCCACCGCAGGTCAGACCTGACGAGAGGAACTGCAGTTGGACTTTATCTTAACTCCATTTTTTGCTCCTTACCAATGGATGAGCTCTTTAAATAACATAAGGAACTTTGCTCGGTCAACAGATGTGTAACTGTGCAAAGCAACATAGTGATATTTTGGTTTATTTGGGTTCAAATCTAAATGCAGAAATAGAAGTTCATATTCTGCAGTGGTTGGTATTAATTTGCCTTTGTCTCCCTAGAAGGATTGTGCCGATACTCTCTGCCAGAATACCTTGCTTAAATTCTAATTTGACGTGGAGTGAGCCTGAGCTTCCCTTTGGAGGTGGGTTGTGACAGTTTGGGAGCCGGTTAGCGGATCTCGGCTGATCCGGCAGACACGTGTGCTGCCAGGGTGCTACTGTAAACAATCCAAGGGGATCTTTAAGACCAAGTCTTGTGGAAAATGAATTGTAATATTTTCATGTCAGACTTTTGAAAAGGAAATCGTCTTCTCCCCCCTGCCCACCCCAACAAACTTCCCTCGCCTACAAATTCATGATATAACATCTACAATCATGAATAGCGCCTGTGCTGTAGTGAATGACGCACAAAGTACTTTTTCAGGCAAAATGAGTGACAGGCCATTAAAAAAATTAAATTAATAATAAATACATTTTGAAAACGGAGGTCCGGAAGCAGTAATGTTCTAAAGAGCCAAGAAATGAACCAGGCTTTGTTGCTCGTCACAAAGATCACGGTCATCAACGTACCTACTGCTTGTACCAAATTATTTTTCTTTCACAATTATCAGGGGTTATACGTAAAAATACAACAACCATTTGACTTGGAAAGAGCCTGAGTTTCCCTTTGCTCACATTTACCTCCTCCCGAAAAAAACGCACACTGCACTGGAGGAAAACCATTTAAAAACTGTGTGCAATTACTCTGTGATAATTAAATCCCTGGGGAGCTTTTAGTCCTTTGTGTGATTATTCGGTAATCCCCCACTGGTGTATTTGACGTCACCAGAAGACAAAGTTCCGGATTTCCACCAGGTAAGATGTTCACCTCTGGGTAGACATTTCATGTGACATAAGACAGAACGTTGAGGAAGAGGTACATCGAATGCACAAGCAATTAAACACTGACAGTGCGTAGAGAAACAGACAATAAACATCTCAAGGAGAACATCTCTGGAACACAATTTACATTGTGAGATGGCTTCAGAGTTCTTTGATGAGCAAAAAACCAGCACAACGATGGCATCATACATTTTAACCTTGTATGGTTAAAGAAAACTCCTAAACTACTTTAAAAAACAAAAAACAAACATACACAAAGGGCAAACCTTAAAGTAGAACCCATTTGTCCTCAGTGTCCCCCTTTTAGATAGTTACACGTACCTCTGCATGCTTCAGCATCACCTCATTAAAAGATCATGAAAATTAAATCATATGGTTTATGGGAAATTTCAGGAATTTAGACAATCTGAGGACATGATTTCTTTTAGATATCGGAAGCATCATCATCACATGGTTTTCCTGGTAAAAAGACAGGAGTCTCACCAGTCTAGTACTCAATGAGTTAATTTATTAATGGGAATCTTTCATTCAAATGATAACCTAGTAAATGGCAATAGGGTTTGCATTTAATTGATTTAAAACACTATCATCACATTAACCCTTCGTATGAAGCTCATATTTCCTATATTTTGTATGTGTGCACAAACATAACGTTTTGATCTTTATTGGGCTGAGTTTAGAATCCTGATCCCCCCTACCCAATAAATGTATATTTAGTGTTATTTTACTGTGCAGCCAACCATTAGCAGGGTTGGACAGCAATGCGAGGTTGGCTATGGCTTTAGGTTTAGTAGTATCCACAGGTGGTACATTCATCAGGGAAAAAGTAAAAAAAATTCAGTTAGGTTTATTGAAACAAATCCATGTCAAACAGATGTATTTAACCCCTTAATAACAAAACAGCACCGTGACTATGTCCCTGTAGAATGCATTTTCCTTATCCATTTCATGAAGAAGTAAAAAACAAAAACAATTAAGACATAAGTCCAAAATACAATATACTAATCGGTATTTTAATAGCCACATTTATAAGCTATTCACTACACAACACTCTGGCGTGCTGACCGTTAACAATGACCTAATTTGGGGCCTGTAATTTAAGAGACCCCCAATGCCCTCTTTTTCCCCCCCCTAGATCCAGGCGTATCTTCCTAACATGGTGGCACCACCTGCAATCCCAGCGCAATGCCTCATAGTGCTGCAGAGACCACAGCACACGGGCGTCTCTGATCCGACACTTTCAGATTGCTTCTGTCCCTGCGAGGTGGTGCCAGAGTGTCTGTGGAGTGCTCCTGGCACTCCCGGCCCCCTGATTTATATTACCAGCAGTCTGCCATTAAAATATTTATGAAGGCATTACATCCTTGCGTGCTGTTCTAGGGTTGCAGAGGAGATCAAGCTCCGTCAGCCAGCAAACAACACAATGCTAATTACCAAGATTTATCTGTTCCCTCTGGAGCCAGAGGTGGCTGCAATGTACTGCAGAGCAATACAGGGGAGGTCTTTCCGGCAATAAGGGGGAACGAGGAGGGGGTCAGATGACAGTTACTGCCTTTCATAGGATAAAAAGGTCAGACTCGTGTTCCACTCAGTGCACCCTGTTTATGTGCATGGGGAAAGAGGGGGAAAGAGGGGGAAAGAGGGAGAAACCCCGCCCCCCCCCACACAAAAAAAACAAAACAAAAACAGTACGTCTCTGTCATGTCCTAAACCACATGGCAAGTTTCACAACGCCGAACGTGCCTTCTGTTCATTGTGTCACAGATCATTCTTTGTAATGCTACATTGTAAGGATTCCAATTTAATATCAACTCACCTATCTCAAAGATGTAATCGCACTCCCACTCTATGAAACCATGTGCAATGTCACTGTGATTCTTTAGAATGTAAGCTTGTTGAAACAGCCCACATCATCTACTCTGTCTGTTTCAGTCCAAACTAATTTTGGTTATAAAGTGCAAATAAATGGAAAAAGTGGTGAGAGCACTCAATATAAATAAAACATTTTTACCAATATTGTCATAGACATATACCTAAAAAATATAAAAATAAAAGACCATAGGGTAATATAGTTTGCACTTATATTAAAACCACAAATAAATGGTCAAACTCACATATAAGTGCAAACTATATTACCCTATGGTCTTTTATTTTTACATTTTTTAGGTATATGTCTATGACAATATTGGTAAAAATGTTTTATTTATATTGAGTGCCCTCACCACTTTTTCTATTTGCACTTTGTTACACTATATTTGTGTGTGTTGAGTGATCCACACAGGTGTTAAGAGCACCGAATATTCACTATTTCCAACATATTGTATATTTTATATAATTTTGATTATAATTTATAGGCTCAATATTAATAAAATTACTGACAACTAACCAGCTGTAGTTTCCAATCAGTTAGCAAAACAAAGCATAGGGGAACATTAGATATTATTAGATCATTAGGTATATTGTAGAGTATTTGCCAGTTCAGAAAGTGTTGCCATGGCTATGAACTCAGTGAGTGCAGTAGCCGTCTAAAAAGCAGGGTGTATTGAGCTGCTACAAGTTTTCAAAACAGTTGTACAGGCCAACTACAGTCAACGGTATTTACTAAACTATGTATTGTCAGGAATTCAAAGTGATTTTCAAAATGTTAGTCCAAAAATACCGAACCTGCAAATTCTCCAAGTTTGTTAGATTTGTAGTTCAGCAAATGTGGCCTAAAATTTTAAATTCTTTGGATTTCTAGCAATTCACACTTTAGTGGATAAGTCCGTATCTGTAGAATAAGCTAAACTCAGCAATTAGTACCAGTACTGTACTAGGCCTTGGGATCAGTACCAAGTAAAGGGCTATTGCCAGGACAAACTAAATGTGATGGCAATAGCTCACTAGTGTTCTTGATTTGCAATGCAACCAAGCTGCTAAAGGGTTAATTTTGTAAAAAATAAGAATAAAGAGTTAGCAGCTGTAATATTTTAAACAAAACATTTTGCATGGTCTGGTTTCTATCAGGAATGTGTTGGTTGTTAGAAGTACGTTTTAACACGACCCACTGTTATATGATTTTTTTGCTTCTTCTTTCAGTGTAAAAAGGGGGAACCATCTAGGACGTGAAAAACTGTTCAGGTAACAAATCATTAACATTTGGAAAGAAGCATTTACTAATACCTAAATACAGACTATAGGTTTGTAGCAGAGATGCTTTATTCATTTACTCTATCAGTGTCATGACCTCACATTTCAGATCTTATTCTGAAAAAGCATGATGAGGTTCTGTGAAATATAAACTATATCGTGCTTGGAACACTGTGTATGATGCTCATCACATGTTCATGGAAAAATGCATCACACATTTATTCTAAAACATCACTATTACACCAGGCATCGGATCGTAGTGTATGGTGCTGCTGCAAAGGATTCTGGGTGTAGTCAAGTCCAGCAGGAAAATGGTTAGAATGTTAAGGCAGGCTGATCTAGCAAAAACCAAAGAAAAGAAAGTTACCTGCGGTCTCTCCTTAATCCCTATGGATATTTAGACAAATGGAGGTCATTCAGTTGCTCCAATGGCCATTGGAGGGAATGCCCGCCTGCCAACGTAAAGGCAGACCCCCCTAAGCGGGTCCTAACACTGACCCTTCAGCCTGCTTCCTTGAGCTTCTGGCAAAGATATATCTCTAATGAGACAGAGAAGGGTATTTTTTATATACACCCCTATATACTTATTAATCCTTAACAGGGAACACATGGGATGGGCGGCAGTATTGTAACAAGGCTGTGTGATACAAAGTAAATTCAAATACAAAAAGAGAAGTCCTGCGCTCACTCCCATCATTACTGGGACCCTATGGGTCCCAACACTGACCCTTCAGCCTGCTTCCTTGAGCTGGGCTGATCTAGCGTCTGCCAAGGACTGGAGGTGTACTCACCACGGCCGCCTTGTCAGACACCCCAAAGGCGCACTTCTGCCTCTTGCTGGTGATGTAGGCTGAGTTCTCTTGGATTTTCTCCAGCAGTTGGCGCATCGGCTTGCAGTAATTGGAAACTTTACATTCCTTCAGAAAAGATTTCAGCTGCAAGGGCAAAAGAACAAAATTAAAAAAAAACAAAAAACACATCTCTCTTGAGGTTTGCCAATATATGTCACAGTAATGAATTGTACACTGGACCTCTTCTCATAATGTGAACTAATTATGAAAATAACACACCTATATAAGGAATATGTTAATAACCCCTCTCTCTAATAAAGCTAGAGTTAACCCATTAACGAGGCATACTAGGTAACAGGTGTTTGTACAATGGGGGAGGGTATCAAGAGGATTTTTTTAAAGCAAAATTCTAATGGTTTAGTAATCACTTGATACATTCAATTGGTTTCCATGGTTACTGCACCACTTTGAGAATTAAACAGGTTCTATTTTGGGAACTAAACGCTGAACCACATTTTACGGTTTTCCACAGTGATTCCTCTTTATTTAGCCCTTTGCTCCTGAATAGAACCTGTTTTCACCTTGATAAAACCGTGTTGCAAATATGTCTTCTGTGAATCTTTATTGATCATGACTTTTTCCAAGCGAACTCCTTTAACCAATTACTAACTTGAGGTTCACTGTAGACTAAAATGAGCGACTTAAATACTTTTTTTTGTATGGGAGCCCAATAACGATGTGATGTTAAAAAAAAAAAAAAAATGTAAGAGAGCAAGAAAATGTGCTGCTAATCCTTGGCCTCTTGAGCAATTCCCCCCACAAAGCCCCCGCCTTTGTACACAAACCCCGAGGCCGCAGCACCACAAAGCTCAGAGCGGCTGTTTGCACATCTGCAGTCGTGCTGAGAGAAACCCCCTCTGGCAGCCGACTGTGGGCCCTGTTCCCAACTATCCTCCTGGAGTGGCGTGTACACACATCTGGGATCGGGCAGGGATCAGGGAGGGAAGCGGCTTACAGAGCCCTGAGCCGCAGACAGCCAGGGGGTCTCCTATGTGTCAACGTGTGGTCTAATGGATGACGCATGAGAAGAGGTAGGTTGCAGGATGCAAGTTTCTAAATTTCCATGCTAACGTCAGCTTTATATACGCGGCAGCCCAGCCTGTCTGTGTATGACCTACAGCCTGCTACATCTGGTTCCCTCTGGACCGTGTAATGTGTCTATCCTATTTCCAATTGCGGCGTTCCGATTACTAAAACACAGAGCAGCGAATGAAAGTGAAGGCCCAGCTTTCCATGATCAGGCAGGGGCGCAGAACTCCCTGGTCTGCGCAGGCAAAGTACAAATTCTATACTTTGTATCGACACTCACATACACACGGCCCAGGGAATGTAATCAGAGGGCCACATCCAGCACTGTATAGTTACTTTCACAAGCTACAGGATATAGTGGGATTACGAAAACCAATATGGTACTGAGAAAGAGGGCATAAGGGACGCTATAAAAAAAACAAGGCGTCTTGTGGAAGTGAGAAAGTAGAATTTGTTGTTCAGCGAACGGCACCATAATTAAAATGGAATGAATGACCTGCAGTTACTAAAACATCCTGAATCCCTCGCAGCTGCGGGCTCAAAATAGAATAACTGTGAGCACTTGCTGCCTTCCAACAAGAAAACAGATCTTTGACAATCATCCAAAACCCTGCCTGTAACCCCAGCGCTCCTGAATGGAGACACAGAAAGCAGCGGCTGCCTGCGATCTGCGAATGTTCTCCCACGTACAGGGTTAATGGAAGCAAGTAATAACTGTAAGCTGCTCCGGAGCTGGGAATTGCAGTCTGCCAAAACAACTCTGCTGCCTCGCTTTCTCTCTCAGCATGGGGGAGAACAGAGTATGTCACACACAGAGAGAGAGTGAGAACGAACTTCACCCGGGAGTCAGGAGCCAAACCAGCCTGTGATTAGCAAGAAGAGACGCTGACAGTGACACACGCTCTTTCATAACAAGGCTGAGCAACTTTCCACTTTATAGCAGACAACTCCCACAACACTCAGCTGGCTTACAGCAAGTTTTGTGCAAACATACACCAGGTCGTGTTCCTGTATGAGGTGGAAAGAAACGATAGCTTGAGAGAATGCTTGGCTAAACCTCCCAGAATGCTCTTCATTCAACTTGCCAAGCGACTCCAATTTGTTGTAAACAAGCCAATAGGCAAAAGCCTTTACCCAACCCTTAAAAAGGTCTCTTCCCAGGGTTTTTAACATTACTTTCACATTTTATCTACATTTAATATGTTAGGTGTATAAAATGAAACTCAGCACCATAACCACTGCAATCCAATATAGTGGTCATGGTGCCAGGAGTGCCCTGGCACCTTCGTAGAGTAAGTTGTTTAAAAAAAAAAAAAATCACTTCAACAATCTCTAGGTAGTGGTATGTATCAAAGAAACATCCGCAGGAATGCCAGGACCCAATGTTTCTCAGTAGAACATTGTCCCAAGCATAACACTGCCTTTGCCGGCCTGCCTTCTTCCCATAGTGCATCCTGCTGCCAACTCTTCCCCAGGTAAAGGACGCACACACCCAGCCATCCACCTGATCTAAAAGAAACCGTGATTCATCAGACCAGGCAACCTTCTATTGCTCCACGGTCCAGTTCTGATGCTCACATTCCCATTGAAGGCACTTTTGGCGATGGAAAGGGGTCATCGTGGGCATTCTGACCGGTCTGGGTTATGCAGCACCATACGCACAGTACTGAGATGCCCTGACACCTTTTTATCATGGCCAGCATTAGGGTTTTTCAGCTATTTGAGCTACAGAAGCTCTTCTGTGTGACTGAACCAGAAAGGGTGGTCTTTACTCCCATGTGCATCACTGAGCCTTGGGCTCCCATGACCTTGAGGCCAGATCACCAGTTTTACTTCCAACCACCACTTTTTGTGGGTACTGAGTCCTGCATACCGGGAACACCCCACAAGACTTGCCGTTTTGGAGATGTTCCAAGTCAGATCACTATTTGGCCTTTGTCAAAGCCACTCGGATCTTTTCACTTGCCCATTCCAACACATGGAATTCAAGAACTGACTGTTCACTTGCTGCCTAATATATCCCAACCCTTAACAGGTGCCGCTGTAATGATGTTATTCACTTAACCAGTCAGTGGTTTTAATGTTATTGTTGATCATTGTATAAAATGGCATCTTGGAAAATAAATGTATTTTTTCCACAAACATTGCAGAAATGTATTATATAATCTCTTTAAAAGTTGTGTCTCTTTAAATGATGGCAGGATTATACGGTCAGACTTTTTGGACTAAAAGACAGGCAAGAAATAAACAGACATATCTGGGGAGATGTCTAACCAATCTCATTCATGCCTAACCCCCATTATCCTCCTGCACACAAACCAGTCTCCTGGTACCCTACAAGTAAGCCAAAGATTAAAACTGTTCTGAGGATGATGCTAGTACAGCAGGGCTGGAAATGCGGTCTGTGTTGTATAGAATCTATCCCAGGCGATGAAAGCTCTGTCTTTTTACATACAGGCACTGCTGGGCAGAGATTGCATATGACAGCTCGGCCTGTGAACTCCTGCCAGCTGGATAGAGAGATTTAATCAGGGGCCCTCTCCAAGTGAAATCTCAGACAGGAGGCAACACACAAAATTCTCTAGCACAGGAGAGATGTACGGTGTCTGCAATCCTCTGTCTATTAGGATCAAGAGGAGGAACAAAATAAACTATTTTACTGCCAGAGAATAATCAGGGCCAGGCGAGTGCCCAAACGCTGCCCTGGAAAATCAGCATCTCCTCATAGAAATGTATTGAATAAATGCATCTCTATGAGGAAAGTTCAGCATTTCCATGCAGAGCATTGAGACTCTGAACATCAGTTTTGCACACTGTGCAGCACTGCATCAGGAAGCACCTCTAGTAGCCATCTGAGCAGTGGCCACTGGGTGTGTCCCTAAGTGGTTATGTAAACACTACCTTTTCTCTGAAAAGACAGTATTTACAACAAAAAACCAGCAGGGAAACTAATGATACCCACCTGAACAACTACACTAAACAGTAGTTGTTCTGGTGACTATACTGTCCCTTTAAGTGCAAATAATAAAAAAAAAAAAAGTAAACCATTTATTTTCATGGTAAATGATATATTTATGGCACAAGGAGATGTTAATGTCTCAATATTTTAATCGCTTACATTATAAAAAAGAGAAACAGACTTTCAAAAGTAGTGTCTGGAGGTGACACTAGGGGACAGTGCATTGCAAGAATTGTTAAAGGGACACTAAAGTCACCAGAACAACTACAGCTTATTGAATTTGTTCTGGTGAGTAGAATCATTACCTTTAGGCTTTTTGCTGTAAACACTGTCTTTTCAGAGAAAATGCCGTGTTTACATTACAGCCTAGTGATAACTTCACTGGCCACTCCTTAGATAGCTGTTAGAGATCCTTCCTGGGTCATGGCTGCCTAAAATGCATCCAAACATTCAGTGTCTCCTCCCTCTGCATGCAGACACTGAACTTTCCTCACAGAGATTCATTGATTCAATTCATCTCTATGAGGAGATGCTGATTGGCCAGGGCTGTGTTTGAAGCATGCTGGCTCTGTCCCTGATCTGCCTCTTTGTCAGTCTCAGCCAATCCTATGGGGACGCATTGTGATTGGATCAGGCTACCACTTCTGATGATGTCAGCAGGCAGTGGGCAGATCTAAAGGAAACAGGGACAAAGTATGCTGCTGCACACTTGAATACAAGTAAGATTTTACTATATTTATGGAGGCATGAGGGGCCCAGGGGGACTAGATGGTGGTTGTAACCCTACAGGGTCAGGAATACATGTTTGGGTTCCTCACCCTATAGTGCTCCTTTAAAGAATAAAACACAAAGCGAGAATTATCATCAGTCAGATTTTATTACCTGGAGAATGCATGGAAGAACCAGTTCTGGGAAACCTATGTAGTGAGCCTGGCCGTACAGATATTCTAAAATCTGGTCATAAATCTGTTCAATGAGTCCGTCCTACAAAGTGAAAGAAACCAGAGTGTGAATCAGTGATATATCCAGTAAATAAAAGAATATGCAAATTGATAAATAAATCACATGACTAAAGAAAATCCCAATCACGCCCTCCTGCACCTCAATAACGGATAGTGGGGGCAATCATCAATTTGCCAACAAAATAAGGCACAACAATTACTATCTGAACCAGCATTGCTTCTAAAGCTGATATGAAGATGTAACTTTAACAGTATACGGTTCTTTTGCTATAAAATCATTCCAGAAGAAGATAGTGACAGCAAGTGACACCAAATTAATGTTTTTGTGAAATGGTAATGGACCACTACAATGTGCAACTCTTGTGAGTTCCGTGGATGCCAATAAGCCACAGTGTTAATTTTGTCGATTAATAATTTTAGTCAAATGTTATTTGACTAAAATTTATTGATTTAGTGTACTAAAACTAAAAAAATTCAGGTGGCTAAAATGCGACTAAAAGTTAAAATGGCATTTTAGTCAAAAGACTGACTAAAACTAAATTAAAATTTGCTGCCAAAATTGACACTGCATAGAGGGGCTGTGGAAGGGGCAAAAGAGACAGACCAGGGCTTGGGAGAGAGACACCTAGAGGGCCTGGGAGGACACAAAGAGACAGAGGGGCCGGGGAAGGAAAAAAGACAGATCTACTGGAGATTTAGTCGACTAAAACTAAAACATTTCTGATGCTTACAATACGACTAAAACAAAAATAGCTTTTTAGTCAAAAGAATATGACTAAAACGAAATTTGCCGCCAAAATTAACACCGCTGTACAGCATTGATGGAAATGTAGCTGATGTTCCACCAAGGTAATCTTGGGTGATAGGAGAGTAATTTTCAAGGCACAGGACAAAGAATACAGGAGAAAGTAGATTGTTTTCATTTAATACCAGGCAGAAATCTGCTGTGTTTTACCTACACATAAAGCGTATCAAAAAATTAACACCATAGGCTGGTTATTGGTTAAACTGGAAATGGACAAGGGAATTACAAATTTTAGGCGAAGATATCCAAGCGAAAAAAAAAAGCCAAATTTGAGAATCTTTCCAGTTGTACTATTTTGGACAAATCCATAGTTAGTTGCTGGTTGAGTGAATAGCCCTGTGGGTATCGGGGTACAGGTTTTAGCGCAGCTAATGATATGTTACCCTGTAGACTTTCTCCTGGAGGTTGGTGTTAGACAATTTCAGGATCACCGCAAAGTTGATGGGCTTCACGCTGATCCGACCCGGCCTCTTGTTAAAGTTCACCTGTTGCAATATCTGAAAAAGATTTTATAATCATAAATAAATGGATAAATCGTAAACGTAGATCCTCGCAGAATGTTTGTGAATGCATCGGAGACAGCACCATGTAAAAACAAACAAACAAACAAAAACGAGTAGCCATTACATCTCACGATACTATTCGAACAATTTTTGTCTGTCCTTTAAGGGTGGAAGCATATTACGCAAAAGTGTTTTTCTACAACGAAAACTACAGAGCATGTCATATTGTACACACAAATGGTTCCTAATTTCCACGCTCAAGTAAATGGAAGTGCGAGGATTGAAGGCCATTTTCATCAGATATGGAGGCCAGAGGAAGCATGTTAGATATTTAGAGGTATTTGTTTTATTGATTAACGTATACATTATTTAAAAAGGAGTTGTAAATACTGCCTGGAGCTAGTTTTCCATGTTTTATATTATTTTATGGATTCTTAAAGAGACAATATCATTGGTTAACCGTAATGTATAAAAAATATATTTAATCTATTCAAACTATAGCACATTTGCCATTTGCAGAAAACCTGCTTTTTAGTGTGGGGATGACCATTTTGTAATTGGTTCATAATTATCAAATTCTCTGTAGCAGCTCCCAAGAAAGGTATAAATAAAAAAATACACATACACATATATATATATATATATATATATATATATATATAAAAACTGAAAAATTAAGGTACAGAACATTTTTATTTGTAAAATTGCTACTTGATGGCTTTACACAACTCCTGACGGTAGAGCCATTTTTAAGTGTTTTTCTCACATTATGACAGTTTGCCCCCACTACTTAAATAACGGTGAATCTTTATTCTATTTGAGAATAGTACTAAATGGCCTGTCAAGGAGGTATATTGAGGTGAGCTAGGACTAATTAGAGGAATGTGGAAGCTGATTAGATGATTTGTAGTGCGGGATAACTTGAATATCCTAGAGCAGAGCTCTTTAATATGCATCGTGTGTCACAATACAATACACATTGACGCACAGCACCAAAATCTCAATATTCGCAACAGGAAATAAACATGAAACAGGCTGACATAGGAGACGGGGTAAAATATGCTCCATTCAGTAGGTTTAAAAAAAAAAAAAAAAAGGCAGCCGGAACTTCACAGAAGCAGTAACAATTTGAGAAGAATTAAAAACTGCATGGACAGCTGGGACTTTAACAGATACCAATTTTGTCAATAAAAATTGTCCACTTTATGATATAAGATGAAATCAGGTTTATTCACTAAACTTTAAAAAGCAGTTAATTAAAAATTGGGATGGAAAAGGTTAGGCATAAATAGTTGGCAAATTTCTCCAATTACGAAATAGTTGCACCGTGGTGACAGCAATCACCCATCCATGACATGGCATATTCTTTTTGACTGACAAATTGTGGGTTTGCCCTACTGCAGAAAAACAGATAAAGAATCAGATGTTATGTCCCAACTCTGTCATTGTACAGTTAGAGGACTGTATTGTACTTATCTCTGAGATATAGTATATTAAAAGGACAGCCCACCACCCAAAAACAAAATGTAAAAAACAATGTTTAGTAGATATAATCCCGATGTAAACATGCATGTATTTAATAATGTATTTTTTCATTGTGGTTATATCTATAAACAGCTTGAAAAAGCTACAGATCTCATATCTGCAGCCTTTGAAAACCCTCCCCCTTCTCCCCAGACTTTCTGTGGCTGTCCAATCACAGACTCCCAGTGCAGCTCAATGAGAAGTCTTTGAAAGGCAAGTGCTCTGGGCAATTGACTGCCTCTTGAGTTTATCTCCACTGAGCTAATCAAAACAGGAAGTAACAGGAACGGTTGTCTGATTGACAGACAGGGGTGTGTTACAGAGTTAAAGGAACTTTACTGAGTCTGGAACATAATCAAGTATTCCTGACCTTATTGTGTTAAAAACTCTATATAGCCCCCCTAAATATAGTGAAATATTACCTTTATTCCAGCCTGCTGCTGCTGGCTCTTCCCTGGTCTGTCTGTTTGGCTGACACCATCTGAAGTGGTGATCTCAGCCAATCACTTTCCTTTCCCATAGGAAAGCATTAGATTGGCTGAGATTGTCAAGGATCTAGTGGACTAAAACTAAAAAAATTCAGATAACTAAAATGCGACTAAAAGCTAAAATGGCATTTTAGTCAAAAAACTGACTAAAACTAAATTAAAATTTGCTGCCAAAATTAACACTGCATAGAGGAGCAGTGGAAGGGGCAAAAGAGACATGCACAAAGGATTGGCTGAGATTGTCAAGGAGGCAGAGCCAGCACAGACCAAACAGTCCTGGCCAATCAGCATCTCCTTATAGAGATTAATGCATAGCTATGAGGAAAGTTCAGTGTCTCCAATCAGAGGGTGGAGACACTAAATGTCAGTCACACTGTGCAGAACTGCCCCAGGAAACACCTCTAATAGCCATCTGAGGAGTGGCCAGTGGGGTTATCCCTAGACTAATGTAAGCACTGCATTTTCTCTGACAAAACAGTGTTTACTGCAAAAAGCCTGAAGGGAATGATTCTACTCACCAGAACAAATACAATAAGCTGTAGTTGTTCTAATGATTATAGTGTCCACTTAATGTGCCTCCTGTGTAAGGGTCGGACGGGTGAGTTTTGTTTACCTTCCAGTCCTCGATGCGCTGGTTTACGTGTGGAAGCTCCGCCTTCTTGTTTGAAACTATCTGGTTGAAATAGAGTTTTACTCAGCTATTTCATCGGAAGTACCTCTAGTTACCACTTATTATTATTGGCAATTATAAACCACCAGCATATTCAGCAGCACTGTTCAATAGCAGGGTTAAAACTGAGGGACATTGGCACCTTGACCACTTCATTGAAATAAGGTGGTTTGTGTGCCTATAGAGTTCCTCTGGTTAAAATGCCAATTTCTACTAAAACCTGCACTTTTTGCTAAATGAAAAAAAGAGTACATATTTTATACACAATACATTTCAGCAAGCTAAAGTGTTCTAGTGGATGAAGCGTTCTGTTAAGGCCGAAAAAAAAAAAAGGGGGAAGAATGGAAGGACCAGGGTTAACAGGATAAAGGACAAACTCCACTGTCTAAAATTATCTTTTTTTTATTTATTTTTTTACATCATTGCTGTATAGTATATCACATTTAACTGTGGTTGCTTTTGGAACTATACAGTACATTAAAAGCCTTTTTTGCCTTTCAAAAAAGTTATCATCTTATATAGATATCTCCGGCCCTTTAAAGACCAGCATTATTTCATTTGGACATCACGATCTCTTCCCTAAAGACCCTAGGCCAGTAATGTATGTGCTCCTACTCTGCATTAGCAGCCATATACAGACCTTGAAATGAGTGGACATTCCAAGTTGATATACGATCTTTAAAAGGATAGCTTGCTATAATGGAATTATTCCATCACTCGTACTTAAGGGAGTAAAGGGCAGTCTGGCTACTAGTTCACTTGAGTCGTGTATTTCACCAACAGTTAAATAAAACCGCAAAAAAACACAATTTTACAAGCAAAATAAAATAAAATCGCTATCAGGTGTTTCTACGAGAGGCTTCCACTGTGAAATACATTTATTAATTTGAAAAAGGGTCTTACAGAACCATTAGTGAAATAAAATCTGTAAACCTCCTGCCTGGTCTTTAAAGGTCATCGTCAAAACACACCTCAGGTGTAGCAAGCTGATTAACCACTCTACTTTATTCCTGTTTTTTTCCTACAATGCAATACCCACATTAATTTAAGAACACAATTAGCAAGACATTTTTATAGTGATCAATATCGGCCAAGGATTTGAGAATCCTTATATAGTTTGTGAGCCAGAGATTTAACAATATATCTGGAAAGCACTAAGTCAGCTTCGTCAATATACTTCATTAGCGAGCACAACGTGCACATAATGGATAACAATTCTGCGGGTGCCGCACGCCTCCAGACACCCATCTCTGGCGTACGTAGCAAAAATGGAGGCCAAAATAGACATAAAGCGGATATTTAAAGTCACAGTGACAAGCATGATGAAGGCCAATACCTACATGTTGCTTTTCACTTATTTATTTATAAAATATTTTATCAGGAAAGATACATTGAGATTTCTCTCGTTTTCAAGTGTGTTCTGGGTAGTGCTATAATGCTGCACCTGTTCTCAAGCAAGGATGCCTCCACTATTTAGTTCCTTACAGACGATTTAACTGAAGTTCCATGTCCTAGGCCTCGGCTGTCTCCCCATTCACACTGGGTGAACCTGCACACTTTCAAAGAGGTCTATTCCAATGGGTTGGTGAGAAGAACCTTAAGAGTTGTGACCTACTACACTCCTAATGCATGTGAATAATGAAAGATTTGTATATTGCAGACACGGACACGGTCAATAAACTCTGAACACAAAAGTAAGAGTCCAAATAGTGTGGATAATTTGTATCAATCAGAGGTTTTTAAAGATCCTAGTAATTAAATATGGCTATGAATCACAGTCTTGAAATTCAGTAGAGGAACAAAAGCGTATGGTTAATGTCCTAAAGGAAGACAGAACGTACACTACTGGCAGGAGGCGTCCAACATATTTCAACTCTGTCATTTCCCTGAAAGTGAGCAACACATGAGGCGCCTATCTGGCAGTGCAAGGGTTAACTCTATATTAACCGTTTCCATGTGCTCTATATTAACCGTTTCCATGTGCCCTGTCATTTTAAGATTAATACAGACAGCCAGACTGCTGGGACTTTGCAAAAGAACTGGAAGTGTTATTTAAGCACATGGAGACAATTACGGGAGGCCACAGTGTGTTAGAGAAGAATCCACGGGGTGCCACGCTAAACATGCGCATGGTGTCATGTAGAGCATGTGTTTTTCCATCAGCAAGTCCTGGCAGGATCTGCCAAACAGGCAGTCAGTAGGTGGTGGGCTGCCGGGTTCCGAGAAAGGCACATCTGGCTGCTGTCAGCTAGCCCAGTTTCCTTGTGTAGGATCTCGGTATCATGTGCAAGAAAAGCCTCAATATCTGCTGCCCTGGCATGTCATTAAGAGATAAATGGCTGCCGGTGACATCATTCCCAGCACATTGAAAAGCAGTTAACCCTTTCTAGCAACAAAAAGGCTAAACAAAGATTACCTAGACCAATACCTTAAAGAGAAACATAACCACCAGGATACAACGGCACATCTAGTAAAAAGGTTTTTTGAGTATCACCCCTTCTCACCCCAAAGTTTTACAATCCGCTATCAACTCAGGATTAATCAGCCTGCAGCAGACTACATTTCCCATGATGCTTAGCCAGTTTTTCAGATGGTGGAGCATCATGGCAACTGTAGTTCTGTCTGACATAATGGTTGACAAACAGAGTACATAAAATGTATACCTAATGTGTAGAAATTTTCACCCTATAATCTTCTCTATTCCAACAAAACCAAAGGTCAAGATTAAAGGAAATGTCAATACTAAAGGAAAGTTGTATTTCCAACACTAAACATTCCTCTGCCACCTCGCCATCGCGATCCCACCCTCCCTTACAGATAAAAGGTTCCTCATAAGAAACCATTAATTCAATGCTTTCCTATGGGGGATTTAAAGACACTGGACTCAAAACACGAGGACCACCCGTGTCGTTTCATTAGGTCAAACTCCATGAGACAGCAGGAACCGCCTCTAGTGGCTACCTGGTAGACAGCCATTGGAGGCAGTCTTAACCCTGCAATGTAAACATTGCAGTTTTTCTAAAAACAGGGCTAAGGGGGACTGGGACACTGTACCCAGACCCCTTCAATGAGACGAAGGGGTCTGGGTGCCTACAGGCTTACTGTAATGGTAAAGAGGCTAGGACAGTGTTCAGAAAACTGACCAACAGTGTTTCTTTGTGTACAATGTCCATTGCCCACTCCCTAGACACATACATAACTGCTTCCATTGAATTGTCCAAGGACCTGAACAGTCAGAATCAATAGCTCACTCACACTATGCAAGTCAAGCCTCCTTCGCTGTGCGGTGACGGATTATGGACTCAAAACACAGCTCCCTATACAGCTCAGAACACTGTGCTCTAAAGCATAGTAGAGAGCATTGTTGCACATGCTCACAGCACAGCTCCTACAAGTGAAAGAGGTTAACTTGCAATATGCAAGCAGACTGTAAATTGTCATACTCTAAACGTACTTGGGACAGCTCAATGAGACGTCAGTGTGAGCTGGGTAAAGCCTGGGTCCCAAAGACAATGACAACCCCCCTCCCCACTCCTCCAAAATAAATGTAAATTTAGGAGGTCAAATTTCATAAACCACAATTTCATAAACTACAATAAGCTGTAATGGCTATGCTGTTTTGGGTGTAAAAGTGAATACCTAGTTTTAATTGGAGCAGTGTGGGAAGGAATAGAGGATTCCCTACCACCCCCTGAAGTTATTTTCTTTAACTGTAGGCCATCATTAATAGTTAATTTGATATATTTCCATAGGGCTTGCGAACCTACGTAGGCGTACATAATAAATACTTTAAAACCGATGATCTATCTACAGATATCGCTGTATTTAAAGGGGGAACCGTCATTTTCTTATGTTTACATTTCACCTATATTTTGAAATTATGTCTTTGTGATGTTTGACAAATAAAATTAAATGTAGAAATACACAAATCTGCCCAGAAACTGGCCGTCTCCATCTAAGCTTCTTGAAAATATTTTTTATAAATTTGCCCCCTTTCTGCCATTGAATATAATTGAACAAAAACAGAGCATCACATGCAAAACGGTTAACATAAGTTTTATTTCAATAGTGTAATTCAGCGGTTCCCAACCTGTGGTACACGTACCCCAAGGGGTACAATTCAGTGCCCCTGGGGGTACGCGAAAAGGTCTGGGTTACAGTGGCGGTGCCGGCCGCCGCACAGGCTGGGAACCGCTGCCTGAGTGTATTGGGTAGCCCATGCACTTTGGGCCACCCAATACACGTGTGCCTTCAAGGGTCCGGTCGCGCGCTGCGATGGATTAATGGTGCGACCAGACCACTGTGTTACCTGCAGCAAGAACTGGGAGGAAGTAAAAGCTTGTAACTATTTCCTCCCAACTCGCACCCAGAGCACAATGCTCGGGAGAGGATCAGGATGCCAAATACCACCAGACCCAGTCAGCCAAAAGATAGAATTTGTATATCTGTATGTCTGTTAGTCTGTATGTGTGTATCTGTATGTCAGGGAGGGCAGAGACGGACCAGCGGGCGCTGTGTGCAATAGACCCGCAACCCCAGGGGAAGCCTATCCATGCCACCTCTCCAAAATATAGGGAGGCTGGGTGGGTTTCAATTAAAAGAATATTAAAATTAGTGTTTCTGTTTAGGTGACTGGTCCCCCTCTGAGAAAATAAATTTTACTTACCTGTTTGCAGAGCGTGGTTTGAGTGATGACCACTAGAGGTATTACTAAGCAGCAATGTAAACACGGTCTTTTCTCTGAAAAAGCAGTGTTTACATTTAAAAAGCCTGGATGGACAAGCTATAGACACCAGAACCACTATATGAAGCTGCAGTGGTTCTGGTGACTATAGTGTCCATCTAAGAATTCTATTTTTGTCTCTGAAAATTAAGCTTTGTTAGTTAAAAAATAAAAAAATAAAAATACTGACTCCTAGATTATAAGCATATTTGTCAAGCTCTGGTGTATTTGCATGTGTATGCACACAATGTGTGTCAGTATGTGTATCTGTGTGTCAGGATATGTATCTGTATGTGTTTCAATGTGTGTGTCAACGTGTGTATCTGAATGTGTGTCAGGGTATGAATCCTTAAGTGTATCAGTGTATGTGTATGTGTATGTGTATCTGCATGTTTGGCAGTGTGTGTGTGTGTGTGTGTGTGTGTGTGTATCTGCATGTGTGTCAGGGTGTTTATCTCTGTGTCAGGGTATGTATCTGTATTTGTTTCAGTGTATGTATCTATGTGTGTGTGTGTATCTGTGTGTCAGCGTGTGTCAGTGTATGTGTTTTATGTATATGTGTGTATCTGCATGTTTGTAAGTGTGTCTCTGTGTATCTGCATGTGTGTCAGAGTGTGTATCTCCATGTTAGTGTGTCTGTGTGTTAGGGTATGTGTCTTTATTTGTGTCAGTTTATGTATCTATGTGTCTGTGTATCTGCATGTGCGTCAGGGTGTGTATCTGTGTGTCATGGTATGTATCTTGTGATAAAGTGAAGGCAGATAGGCCTTTTAACCCCAGGGGAAGTACGTGTAGTTTGTGTGTTGCACAACACAAAGCTTTGTTTAGTTATGGGCCCCTGGGGTGGAGCATTTGGAGAGAAGGGTGGGCCAGTGCTCCACTCCACAGTTTAGTGGTTTTCTGGGGAGACATAGATCCAGGCCAGGGTTTTTTGGACCGTCTCCAACCCACTGCTCAGCTGCAGTTAATCAGCTGTTGCAGTGGGAATAAACCCCTCCCTGCTAGGCAGGTAAAAAAGGGATTGCTGGCTTCTCCCAGGAAGCAGGTAGGAGAGAGGCTGTTCTCTCCAGATAGAGAGTCAAGGAGACTAGGCACTGGGAGTGCAGAAAGGAAGCAGTCAAGGCTGGCTTGGAGCACTGGGAGTGCAGGAGGAAGCAGTCAAGGCTGGCTTGGAGCACTGGGAGTGCAGAAAGGAAAGCAGTCAGGGCAAGGCTGGCTTGGAGCACTGGGAGTGAAGAAAGAAAAGCAACAGGCTAGCTAGCAGAGTGTTGCTATCTAATACGGTTGGTGCAATATGTTTTTGTTAGTTTGACCCTGATAGAGAGGGATATTCAAAGTGAGTCAGTGCTCAGACTAGCTAGGTTTTTGTTTAAATGGAAACCTGTTATATTTATGTTTTCATTTGCTGCTGCCTCATAAGTAAACTTACAAATAAAGTGCCTGGAATGAAGTTGCATTAAAAGACTGTGCATGTTTTTGCCCTAGAGGACCGTTCTACCTGCTGACAAGGATCACAATCTGTATGTCAGGGTGTGTTTCAAGGTATGTATCCTTAAGTGTGTCAGTGTATGTATCTGTGTGTGTATGGGGGCATGTGTCGGGGCGTGTGTCAGGGTGTGTATCTGTGTGGGTCTCTCTGTGTGTCTGTGTGTCAGGGTATGTGTCTACATGTGTGTCAGTGTCTGTATCTGCATGTTTCTCAGTGCCTATATCTGCATGTGTGTCAGTATCTGCTTGTGTGTCAGTGTCTATCTGCATACAGATAGGTTCCTATATCTGCATGTGTGTCAGTATCTACACGTGTGTCACTGTATCTGTGTTCGCATATGTATGTCAGTGTGGGTATCTTTGTATGTGTCAGTGCACGCATCTGTGTGAGTCAGGATATGTATCTGTGTATCTGCATGTGTGTCAGTGTATGTATCTGCTTATGTGTCAGGATATGGATTTGTGTGTCAGTGTTTTATTCTGTCTGTATCATTAGGTTTGTGTATCATTGTATCTGTGCACCTGTATGTATTTCAGTGTGCATATCTGCGGGTGTGTTTGTGTATCTATATGCGTGTCTGCATGTGTAACACTTTGTGTGTCTGGGGCAGAGGAGAGGCACGGAGGGTCTGGGGCGGAGGAGAGGCACGGAGGGTCTGGGACGGAGGAGAGGCACGGAGGGTCTGGGACGGAGGAGAGGCACGGAGGGTCTGGGACGGAGGAGAGGCAGGAAGAGCATGGGGCAGAGAAAAAGGGGAGATTGAACAGAGAAAAATGTATAAATTTGAAATAAATGCAACTATATTAATTACAACATTTTGCTAATGTGAGGGGTACAATTTATGGAAATAGACTGCCATGGGGTACTCAAGTGAAAAAAGGTTGGGTACCACAGGTGTAATTTACAAATAAGTGATAGTTTCCTCTTTAACCCCTTAAGGACCAAACTTCTGGAATAAAAGGGAATCATGACATGTCACACATGTCATGTGTCCTTAAGGGGTTAAAGGGTTACTCCAACCAAAAACACTGTTTTGGTCAGAGTAACCCATCCTGTATCGGTACAACCTCCACTAAAAGGGGTGGGGGGGGGACGGCTGGGGGGACACGGGCTGCATAAGTACGATCTATCATCTTTCCAGCCAATGTACTAACCAGACTTATCCTATGACCAGAGTATCTACACATCAGTATTATATAATGAAGGAACCAGGACACACATGTTAGCTTTCAGTAAAACTTATTAAAATAATTTCAACAGCAGGCTGTGATTTCACAATCACCATGATTAATCTATTCCACTCTACTTGACTCTGAAAAATGGCTCACAGATACCAATGAAAACCAAATATCAAAATGTGGTGTTTTGAAGAGAAGGAGGCAGTATAGTTTTTAAGACTAAATGATTCCAAGAAGCTATCCCAGATCTGTAAATCTTTAGCAAACCATAAACTTGACAGTCATACTTGAGGTTACGTCTGGAGATACCCACACTGTTGCAAAGTACAAAACCCACCATTTTCCTTTGAGACAGATTCCTTATTATATATTATTTCCGGGTTAATTATGGGTAGACCTACAAAATACGAACCAGAACCACAGATCTAGGGACCTACAATATCAGGCTGTCACAGGACTAGTGTGCGAAAATCGTCAGTGGAAGAGTGCAGGATACCGGAGCCAGGAACCTGCCGGGTGGGGAGTGGGCTAAAGAGAAGCTATTTAGCTGGCAGAGGCCGAGAGGATGTGGGCTGGACAGAGTCCTACAGCTGCAGAAGCATTTCCTTCCACTGACTGAATAAGGTCTTGGCTGAGGGACAGACTGAGCATCACTAGGCTACACGAACCTCCGGTGCTTACTTTTCCCATCCCTCCTCTACCAAAAGCCAAACTGTGGCCAGATCATCAACAACCCCCTCCACCCAAACCTCATCCCCGCCTGCCCTGTCTCTGCCGGATCTGGCTTCAGAACCCAGACCAGATAGCATAATGAAGAAGGCCTAAGTGGAAAACTAAATTAAGAGATGGGGGTAGTATGGAATCATTACGTTCCTCACCAGGAGGAAAATTTAGAGAGGGTGGGCATAGTGCAGCTGTAGATGTACAAAATAGCTCTCCATGCCCTGATTATGATTAGCGGGAATTTTATCACCCTGAGGCAATATCTTGCAGGATATGATGGTGGGAAGACATGGTGCTTAGCAACTCTTTCGGCACATTTCTACAGCTCTGCTAATAGAAACTCAGCTTGTTAACCTGTTGCATGCAGACAGTGCCGCAGTACGCAGTGAGAAATCTCAATGCGTAGGATGTTACAACATCCTGAAATGCAGGCACAAACTCTGGCATCTGAATCGTTAGGTTCTTCAATACCATCTCGTGCCATTTGATTTTCACTGTCAAAGTAATTAATATTGCTTTAATTTCAATCGCTCGCCCAACCTCTAAAGGGACAGGATGGTTTTGCACTCTAGCACTTTACGTTTAAGAGTCATTCTGCCATTTTTACGGTTCTTCACTTATAAGTTTCCTTTTTTTCAGCACTCCCATACAATACATATCTATATTTTTAGTACAATCATTGTTATTGTATAATATTTAAAAACATCATTAGTTATGGCTTTTTGGGGAAAATTAGATAAACCCACTTTTAAAATTTTTTAGAAACAAATGCTACTTAAAAAACCCAAAAAAAACAAAAAAAAACAATAAATTTAACTAAGTACTACTATATATGTAAATAGTTTTGGGATAATCTTGTATACTAATTCAAATTTGTTGTGCTGGATGTGCAAAAAAATTAAAATAAAAATAGAAAACTTCAAAGTACAAAGTGGCATCTTTAAACTTTTTTTTTTTTTTTAAATCTAGTATTTAGTACTTCTGTAAGTAGGGGACTCCAGTGATGTCACTAGTGACATCAGCAGTTGAATTCCTCTTGCCAGAAAATGCACAATGCTGTATCGGTGCAGTGTGGTCAAAATGTGACTGACTGTAACACTGATTTACAAAACTCTACGGTTCTGGGAGCGGGGGTCAAATTCAAATTAAAGTTCTATTCAAAGCAGTAATTAGAAGCAAAACACATTTTCCCCTAAAAAAATTCCCCCACTCTGCCCCACACAGTATTTTACTGGTACAGAAAAAAATTCCACGGAGACTTTAATAGCAATCACCCTGGCAGGAAGTATATCCTAAGGTCAAATGTTACCCAATTAAATCCTTGTAAAACCAATAGGTATTTTTGTGTGCAAAGCAAACAATATTAGAAACATTTATAAGTGCTTAGTTGTCGTATATAAACCTGGCATACAAATATGAGTCAGTTTAAATGGATGCTAACTATTTTCGACTCCTTTTATACAAGCAAAAAGCACACATACACATTTAGTGCACTGGGGATTTTAGGTACTATGTAAGACACATACCATTTTGTGGAGTGGAAATGCAAACGCAATGGCAACATTAAATTACTAGTTTACACAGAAAATAGGATCACTTTAATTTTTAAAGGGACACAGTTGGCACCCAGACTGCTTCAGCTCATTGAAGTGGTCTGGGTGCCAACTCCCATCACTCTTAAGTTTTTATAAACTGCAATAATTACCTTGCAGGGTTAAGTCCTCCTCTAGTGGCTGTCTACCAGACAGTCACTAGAGGGACTTCTGGCTTCTTAGACGACTGTCGTCTAAATGACGTTGGACGTCCACACGCTATGCATGAGGACTTCCAGCGTCACCGGAATCCCCATAGGAAAGCACTGAATAATGCATTCCTATGGGGAGATCCTAATGTGAGCAGGGCTGTTGGCGCGCACGCGTATTAGATCTCCCCACCGGCGGGGAAGAGCGTGGGCAGAGCCTGACCCAGCGCCGAAGGACATCAGCGCTGGATTCAGGTGTCTGAAGGGTTTATAACCCCTTCAGCGATGTGGAATGGGGGGCGAGAGGGAGAGGGGCACTGCGGGATTCTCTAGTGCCAGGAAAACGGGCTTGTTTTCCTGGCACTGGAGATTCCCTTTAACTAGATGACTAGACTAGTTCTGAAAACAAGCATAACTCACTGAAGAAACAGGAATATTCACTAAAGTGTGAACAGTCAGGAGTTCAAATTGCATTCAAAGTGAATTTGTAATTTTAGGCCTCAATAGCCAAATTGAATAAATTCTTCCGGACCTAAAATTTGAAATTCACATGAACTCCTAAGAATTGACACTTTAGTGAAGTTGACTGTGCGGGCTCCGGAAGACCAGCTGATCGCCCATGAAAGCTTTTAAACTTCAAATTAATTGTATCGAAGAACATGCACGTAGCTTTACACCATTCGCATTGCAATGTCACAAAGCAGTTTTGGATGTAAACGAGTCCCATCCATTTGAAACATTTCGCGATACATAAAAGTTCGGAGGCACTTTCAACTCCAGATGTGATCTGACAAGAAAGGTCAATAAGAAACATGGACGAGAAGAACACATTACCTCCAGGATAAAGGGTATTATTGGAATGAAGACGCCCGTACTTTCAGAGAGCAGCGTCAGAGCCCGGACACAGTGAATCCTCAGAGGAAAGTAACGTGGGGTGGGAACAAGTCTGCAACGGGAGAGCAACAATTAAATTAAATGAATTAAAGTTACACATGGACTGCCAGAAAGCAGAAAAGGTTGGGAATGGTGTTACAAATGGAAATATTGCAATTTAACGTGTTACTCCAATCTGACTTGTAGATACCCCTTCTGTGCTGGCAAGGAGGAGGCCACGGCAGCGCCGAGGGGGACTTGGCACTGGAGAGAAGGTGAGTAATTCTCACACCCCCCCTCCGCAGGTAGGTAGGCAGAAAGGGATGTGGGGGCTAAAACTAGAGACATACGGACTGTGAAGCAAGACATACAGATATGTATTCCTAATGCTACAGTGTCCCTTTAACAGGGAGGTGAGATGGAGTTGTTTATTTGCAGGATAAAGAGGTGTGGACTTCAACATTTATTTTTATTTTTTTGCACCTTACAAAAACATAAATATAGGGATATGTAAGCATAATACTAAAAATCGTGAAAAGTGATAGTTTCCCTTAAAAACATTTAACGTATTAGAGATATATTTTTAAGTGATAAATCCCTATATGTACATATATTTATTTTCTTTGTTTATGTACTTGATATGCAATGTAAGTAAATGCAGAAGAAACAAGAGGCATTTTGCCGCCTCCTTTCACATCCGCTGTCTTCCCATCAGAGGGTTAATAAATTGGAATTACAAAGCCTGGTTTGCTGTGTGTCACAAGACTCCCATGTCACGCACACAGCCAAAGAGCTCCTCAAACAAGAGCTGACTTTATCGGCGCTATGTTTGATGTTGCGTTGACATGCTGGCTGAATAGCTGGCTCAGCTCATGAAAAGGTCTCAAACTGGTTGTGGCAGTTGACCAGAAAAGACAACTTCTCAACTTGGCTGTTTTGCAATTTTATTCAGCTCAGCAATCTCAAGGGCTTGCGCAATAGCGCCACCTTCTGGATTATGTCAGTGATCCAATGCCCTATGAAATCGTTATGGAAGTTTTAATAATGCTTAACTTTAGAACAATGCTCTTGATTTAATAATTTAAAGGATCACTATAGGGTCAGGAACACAAACATTTATTTCTGACCCTATAGTGCCAAACCCATTTAGATGGCTTGCCCCCACCTTAGCATTTAAAACTGACCTTATTTCCAGCGCCGCACGGGTGTGCCGATGCTGGCCCCACCCCTTTGTGACATAGGGAAAGCATTGGATTGGCTAAAATCTGCATGGGGGCTGGGCCAATGCCATTTTGGACAATCAGGACCTCCTCATAGAGATGCACTGAATCAATGCATCTCTGTGAGGAAAATTCAGCGTCTCCATGCAGAGCGTGGGGACGCTGAACGGCAGAGCTGCCTACTGTGCAGCACTGAGCCAGGAAGCACCTCCAGAGGAAAATGCCTGAAAGTAGCTATTATACTCCCCAGAACAAATACATTAAGCTGTAATTGTTCTGGTGACTATAGGAAGGTTTAAACTTTTATAGGGGGACAAGCCACCTAAATGGTGGGTTAAACACTATAGGGTCAGGAATATATGTTTGTATTCCTGACCCTATAGTGATCCTTTAATTCAAGGTATATTTAAAAGGAACACCATAGGGTCAGGAACACAAACATGTATTCCTGACCCAACTGTGTTTAACACACCCCTCCATCGAAGTAGTGGCCACTTGGAGGTGTCCCTAGGGGCAATGTAAACACTGCCTTTTCTCTAAAAAAGGCAGTGTATGCATAAAAATGCCTGAAGGGAGCTATTATACTCACCAGAAAAACTACATTAGGTTATAGTTCTAGTGACTATAGTGTCCCTTTAACAGTTAACATCAAAACAACAGAACTAGAAAAAAATCAAGCTGTGCTTTCAGTCCAGTTATTCTAGCCTTAAATTTGAAATTTTCTGATACATCCCTGAGGCTGAATTTTGCAAGGATTTATGGGATATGACGAACGTTCGCTGAACAATGTCAGGATTAGCCACTTCCTGGTTTGATAAGAGCTCATAGGAACCCTGGAAATTTTCAACAAAAACCAACTTTACAGGTAACTACACCTCTTATTTTATTTTTTTCATGTGTTATTTTGGTGGTGGGGGAGATACTATGCTTTTGCTCCAGGCTGGGCTTTTCTCATACACACAAATTTAAAGGGACACTATAGTGTTAGGAATACACTATAGAAACCCTGTGCGACTCTGAGCACCTCCCTCTCCCGCCATGAAAGGGTTCAAACTCTGTAAACACCCGATTCTAGCACCTATGTTCCTAGGCATTAGGCCTTTCCCATAGAAAAGCACTAACTTCAATGCTTCACTATGGGGATTTTCAACACGCTGGATGTCCTTATGCAAAGCGTGAGGATGTCCAGCGACATTTCACAGAGTCAAACTCTCTGAAACTGCAGGAAGTGCCTCTAGTGACTGTCTACCAGTCTTGAGCCTGCAATGTAAAAGTGTAATGTTTTACACCGCAGGGTTAAGGGGAGAGGGACAATGCACCCGGACTACTCCAATGAGATAAAGTGGACTGCATGCCTATAGTGAACCTTTAAACGTTGTAAGTGTGTAATATGTTGAAGCATCTGTTTCCTTTAAATCGGTTAATATTGTCATTTACCAATCAGCCAACCTGAAACCAAGACCTAGAGGATACTGTTATCGTAGCTGCAAAATTGCACACTTTATGTCAGACAGCTAAAGGCCAATTACTCACAACAGCTATGGGTGTGAATTGTCAGCCCAAAGACATTGTTTTGTCGAAGGGCTAAAAGACACATTGCTGAAATTTGCACGGTATGCAAATTATACAAAAGCCATAAGTGGTGTTCTATGTAAGATTTGAGATGACTCTTCTTACCTGATGCAGCCTGTGATGACTTGGGCGAGTGGGTAAATCAGTGGCTCCATGACTTCATTAGGGTGGAGAGTGCTTAGCACCCGACACCAAAGATATAAACAGTGAATGTACTGCCAGTTGTACACAGACTGATACGCCCCCTTAAACAAACAAGAAAACAATAATTGTAACAGGTCTGTCTTCATTTTACACAATAGGTATTTGTGGGATATCATGTGCTCCCCATATACATTATATGTAATACAGAGTAGCAATGGCGTTGACATTACAAAATCGAGATAATAAATTTCAAAGCACAACAAAAGCCAATGGACTCTTGAGTATAGCAGGGATATCAAACTACGCCCCTCCTCCCACAGAAAATGAAGGCTTAAAATTCCCAGAATTCTCTGAATGTGATAAAAAGCAAGAGAATCATGGGAATTGTAGTTCATCAACTTATAGAAAGGAAGACAGAGTTTGAGTTGACTGATATATGACATTCAAATATATTGACACATCTGCATAGACAACACTTTTCGACAGAGGTTCGTGATCATTAACAGGGTTAAACACAAACTCCGAAGTGTAGCACATTAATGTAAGGATTGTAAAACTATAAACTAAGTGATTATAGCCATGTTGAAGAATTTTTGCAATTCGGGTTTTAATTTGCTACAATTTGGAATTTACCAAATAACTTGGTTAACTAAAACAGATGGCAGAAATAGGGTTAAATATGTTACAATTACACTAGCAATGTGTGAAAATAATGCAGCACTCTGATAAGAGGTCACTTAGAAGCCAATTTTGTGATTATACAGGCCGATCTGGTGCCACTCTTCAAACACAATGGAAACATTAGAAATAAAATAAAAAAATCAGTGATCTAAACAGGATTTCTGCTTAACACCAGGATTCCGGTTACAGCGGAGCCAGGTCTGTTTGCTGTATAAACCTGTCACTTTGAATCTGCATCCAACTGGAGTGAAAGGTATCCCTCACTGCTGAAGGACTGGAAAATACATAGGAGGCCTCTGCCTAACAAGCCAATAATACAGCAGGATGGCCACCCAGTCACACTATTCTGTCTCTCGTTCCACACACTAACGAGCAGAAATCAGCAGGAGGCACTCATTAGCTCAGGGAGTGACTGAGCAGCATGGGCGAGTTACAAGCTCGTCTGACACACGAGTAGTAATGGGCGAAGCGTTCAGGCACGTCCTCATAAGAACCCACTCTGTTAACCCAATACGGTTCAGGAGCCTTTTAGAATGAACCGAAATGGAAAATGGAGGGAGAATATAACGTGGTATACATTTCCCCTGTACAGGATGGAGTGACTGAATATCCGTACTACATAAAGCACACACGTATGTTCACCCATACATTAACCCATAACTGAAACTGTAATTGTGCGGTAGCAAAGATTCCCTATGAAACGGCTTGTACTATTCACATATCACCAAGGGCTTAAATGAATATGTAAAAAAGCAGGATATGTGCGTTCAAATGAGTGTACTTATGTGGATAATTACATTATAACCTTTGGAACGCAGATCCAATTCTAGGGATCTCTACCTTCCAAATTTGTATTCAAGAGAAATATCTGAATGGAAATTAAAGATTGATTTTTTTTCTCAAGTTAACAAATAAAGCCCAACAGCGCATGTCCCACTGCAACGTGAACTTCAGAAAACATATTTGTATAATTTTCCTGCTGAGTATAAAAGTCTGAGGAAAACAAAAATTAAGAAAACATTTTTTAAATGTAACTTTTGCTGCACTAAAATTCAGGGCTCAGCAAATATTTCAAAGAAAATCCCCTTCCCGATACTTTAATAATGGAATACATGGTCGATTGTGCTGTCTGATGTTTTAGAATTACTGTGCGGATAACACCTATAAAATTAAGAAAAGAGAGAGAAAAAAAAAAAAGAAAAAAAACAGCCGACTAGGACGCATCGGCCAGCTTGCTACAGCATTAAAGAAAAAGCAATCCAGGAAAAAAATAATTGGCTTGTATGGAGCTGTCTGAGCTGTTGAGTGAGAGGACGTTAGATAACACCATCCAATTAGGGGGGGGTTTCCCTGCAACTAAATCCTACAGGCAGACTGCATAAAGAACAGACAAACAAATGCATAAATAGAACACATATACGAGTAAGAGGGCCTAATCCAGGTACTGGATGTTGTCAGCCAAGAACACATTCAACTGTATTCACTAAAATAGGAAATTTGCAGAACTAAGATGGTAACGGCAAATTTGAAACAAAAATAGCTGAATTGGAAAAGCACTCAAACTCGGCTGTTTGTTTATTCTTTAGATTTCAGACTGAAACCAGCAGGTGTTGATTACCCACAATATTCAGTTTAACAAATAACACTCATGCTACACCTTGGAGTTAATGGATACTAAATATTTTACACTTAAAAAAAAAAAAATTACAAAAAATAAAAATAAAAAAAAGTTTCTTTCATTTTTCCTTAGAATCCGGGAGCTCCACTACTCCTACAACATGTATAAAAACATATAAGAATGCCTTGTTCCTCTATAATAGAAAAGTGAACACACACACAAAAAAAAAAAGAGCAAAAACACACGTATTGGAACTTTAAATGTACATTGAAGCTGCAGGATGCATGTTTCTTTAAATAAAACACGTAGCAGGTCAACGGAGACCTTTACATTAAACAACGGAGCAGAAAAACATGTTAATATTTTATGCCTGTATAGTAAAAGTAGTCAAGGCTAAAAGAGTAAAAAACCTCTAAAATGCTTTGGGCGTACATATAACTATCCAGAATCACATTTCTCATCCATGATAACAGACGAGATGGGTTGGATTTTACAATTATGCCACAAACTATTTTTTTAATATATATATTTAGTAAGATGACCTGCCTATCCCTTAGTATAGGGTTTCTTGCTGGTTGTCCATGGGGAGAAGAAACCAAATGGGACATAACCCAAACCCAGACCAAATAGAAGGAATGGATGCAAGGCTCAGACACCAAAGGCATCTGGTGCATGATCTGAGTGTCTATAAACTCTAATAGCCTTTAAATTAATGAAGAAGGGATTGGACACAGATCCAGACACCTCAAATGGGGTTAATTGTAATTCCATTAACATGCAAATACCAAACAAGAACCCATCTCAAGTAGTCTAGAGTGGAGACAGGTGGCCAGTTAGACCTACTACAGTGGCAAGCCGGGCATGCAGAGTTTCTAGTCTATGACAGATCAGCATTTTAGGTTTGAAAAATTTGACTAGCAAACAACAGAACAAGTACATTTCGGATACTGAACTTTAGTGCTTATTCATGTAGGTAAATCCTATTGGCCTAACAAATATATTGTAATGTAGGTACCAACATTCTCGAAAGAAAGTTTCACACTATTCATCTTAACCAAAATCGTGTTGGTTTTTTTTGTCAAATTTCTAAATCCTCAATAAACACATTTCCCTGCTTGTGTGCAAATATAGTGACTTTTCTCACTTGTTTCCAGTAATGTCTTCTCGCCTATATTACGACACAATTAGGGTAATTTGCTAAAGTGTGCTATGGAGAACTAACAAAAATTATTACTTTTAGGACAATAACACTCAACTGGAAAACCAGTTCGAAACATCACCAATTTGGCTATTCTAGCCCAACATTTGAAATACCCCTGTCAGTTCTGCATTAGATAAAACCTGTGGTTTTCCAGAAGGTAGAATGTGACACTATAGTCACAAAAACAACTTTAGTTTAATGATGCAGTTTTGGTGTATATATCATGACCTCAATTCTCTGCCATTTAGGAGTTAAATCGCTTTGTTTATGCAGCTGGAGTCACACCTCTATGCACAGCCTTTTCATAAACATTTCCTGTAAAGTAAGATCTAATGTTTACACTTCCTTTATTGCCAATTCTGTTTAATTTATAATTTCGTATCTTCTACTCTTGTTAATTGCTTACCAGACCTGGCAGGAGCCTCTTGTATGTGATTAAAGTTCAATTTACAGAGCAGAAGATAAAAACTAAATCTTATGTAAGGAAACATCTGATTGAAAATGAAAACTTTGTTTTTTTTCATGCAGGCTGTATCAGTCACAGCCAGGGATGGTGTGGCTAGAGCTGCATAAACAGAAACAAAAGTAATTTAACTCCTAAATGTAAGAGAAATAAAAAAAAATTAGACCTTAGAAACATGATCTATATGCCAAAATTGCTTCATTAAGCTAAAGTTGTTTTGGCAACATATATTTTTATTTGATCAAAAATACCGTATTTACTTGAATCTAATGCGCACCTCAGTTTTTTAAACCTGGAAGCTGTGAAATGTTTTTGCTGGGGAATACTACCATATAACATAGTGCTACAATGAAAATGTTTATTGCCAAATGAAATAACACTGATGGTATTTAAATTTTAGTGTTACATGTTAACTCTTTCTTAAGTTCTCTTTCAGGAACAAAATTTGCCTGTGTAAATTTGCCAGAATGAAATTCGCCTGTTTAAATTCACTGGAAAATTTAGAATTTTGCCCCGATTGTAATGCGCCATCGAATCTAAAGCACATTAAAATTCTGGAAACTTTATTTTACAAAAAAGGTGTGCATTACATTCAAGAAAATACAGTATATCTATCTCAAGAGAGACAAAAACAAATAAGCCATTTTTTTCTAAAATAAATACCATTTTATACTTTTCTTATTAGCATTTCAGATCAGTTGCTCGAATTGCGCAACATACTGTATATACACATAGATATACATCAGTGCTTGTGTGTATTATTCACATATTATTTGTAACAGTCATCAGCTGCCAACAACCAGTCCCCAAGTTACAAATAAAATGAGTCTGGCGGAAAATAAAATCAGTGTTGTGTTGGAAACAAACCTGCTTTTAATTCAAAGATGTCATTGAACTTATCTGTTAGACCTAGTCAACTAACTGGAAGAGACCTTGTTGCATCTTTGCCAGAAGAGAGAGAAAAGAACATCCACTGTGATAATATGTTCAGAGGAAAACACTAGTGGGTGGGAGTACATTCTATATATGGTTTCTGCACAAGACAAGCACCTTCCACTCAACTCACCTTCTTTTTGAGGGTCATGGCACTGCGCAAGTGGATGGCAAGCTGACGGATATATACAAAAATGTGTTGATAAGATGCCTGAACATCGAGTGAGTACATTTCAGTCAAAGAGCGCTGCATGAAGTTGATCATTGGCAGAACGTTGGGTGATGTGAATTTGGAATTCTTGACGTATGCGATGTACATTTTCTGTGAGAAATACAAAGGGCAATAATTATAGAATATTTATTCTGCCTATACATACATACAATACAATAACGTAAATAAATAACAGAAAAGGTTTTGTGACCGAGTCCATTTACGGTTTGCTCTCAGGGTACAATGAGCATCACACCTGGTGAGCATGAGTTCTTTTTATCTGCAGATTTCTTATATGTGCCCTTTTACAATTGAAACAAAATATAATGAACTCCTTAACATAGTGTATCCATAACTATGCTACTTAGATCTGGTTTGATCCCAGTAAGGATGGGGGGGGGGGGAAACACTGCAGAGTTCAATCACTGGCATACCCAAATCATCAGCGTTTAGCAAGCAGAACATGGAGTTAAATCATTTAAATAACACCAATACATTTCCAGTAATAGATTGCAGCCTACCTGCTGTGAAACCCACTATGCTATTTATAGCAGGTAGTTAATCCTTCTCTTTTTGTGAAACAGTCATGAATTATTTTACGGAGACTGAAATAGCTGGGTGAATACTGGGAAATATCGTCTTAGCGTGACAGACAGAAAATACATTATTATTATTATTATTTTATTATTTATATAGCGCCATCACATTCCGTAGCACTGTACATTGGGTGGACTAACAGAGATGTAATTTTAACCAGACAATTGGACATACAGGAACAGAGAGGTGGAGGGCCCTGCTCAATAAGCTTACATTCTACAGGGAGTGCGGTATTGTGACACAAAGGGTAAAAGTAGGGGTACGAAGTAGGTTGTTAGAAAAGTATACACTGAGGGCTTAGTAGGTAATCTTTGACAGTTGCAGGAGAGGAGTCATGGGGGTGGGGGATAAAAACCTTTCTTGAAGAAGTGAGTTTTCAATGATTTTTTTGAATGAGTGGAGACTGGGTGAAAGTCTTACGGAGAAGGGAAGGGCGTTCCACAGAAGATGTGCTACATGTCAGTTTATTAAAGAGACATTATAGGTACCCAGACCACTTCATCTTATTGAAGTGGTCTGGGTGCAGTCCCTGTCCCCTTAGCCCAATAGAAACTGCAATGTTTATATTGCAGGGTTAAGACTACAAGGGTTAAGTTTAACTCTGTGAAACGACGCTAGACATCCTTACGCTGTGCATAAAGACGTCCATCAAGTCCATGCTTTCCTATGGTGAAGGCCTAATGTGCATTCGCATTAGCTTTCCCATATCGGCTGACATCAGAGAAAGAACCCAAGCCAGCGCCAAATGATCTCTGTGCTGGAATCAGATAAGTGTTTAAAGTGTTATTTAACCCTTTTGAGGCCTGCTTATGTCCTTGGCTTCATTTATGCAAATGGATGCGGCTTGTATTTTTATTCAGTACGTATTTGTCTTATACATAAGTTTACTGTAAACTACGTATGAGACAAATACATTAAAATGAAATGGGGAAATTATGAACAATGTTGAAAGCTAGTAGGCTGTTGGGGAGCAGACATGGTAGGATGGAGGGATATAGTTGTAGATTATTGAATATTATAGTACTTTGACTTTTGGATAACATACTCAAAGCCACTACTGGGCTGTCACCAAATAGAAATATTCACAGAATGAATGGTTAAGTAACATTTAATTTGTGTGTCAATTTATTATAAATTGGGAGGATTCCGTGCTCTTTATTATAGATAATGTTCTTCTCATACATGTCTTCTATTATAAAATCTTCTTAAAAAAATGTTTCAAGGGGGCGGGGCCTGACACTCATGGTGACTGGTTGTGTTTCTTGTGAGCTCCCAGGAACACACTAAGCAAACTTGCTATTTTGACGGAAATATCCAAAACTGGGCACCAAGCGACTTACCCCCAACTACATGTAAAAAGACCCGACCTGTGAATGCTTCTAACAGCCTTTTCAAGCACTCCAGACACCAAGATCCACTGAGGCCTAGTGAGCGTTGAGGAGGGGAGAGGCGGCCGCTCTCCCAGACTGGCGCAATCAAAGTGCTGAGCATGTACCTGGAGCCCTGCTACCCCCCCCTTTGGACCGGTGGGGGTTATCCCGGTCCCCACCCTGATGGCTCCCAAACCCCATCGGAGAGCCGCAGCAGAGCCGCAAACACCCGCGAGCAAGGTGGAGCACTACCTAAGATGGCGGACGACACGCGTCTGCTGACTCCTGGAGAGGAAATACCTGACACATACCAGCGCCTGGAGGCAATCTTCGACGCCTTTTGGAGGGCGCTGGAGAGCAGGCTGACACCCACGGAGACCATCAAGGCACCTCCTGAACCATCCCGCTACTTCCCGAAGCGCCTTGCTGCACACACCGCGAGCCCAGCATACCGGAGCCAGCGACGACGGCCTAAGCGGCGTAAGGCGGTAAAATTAGCCGGCCGGCAAACCCTGAAGCTCTTTAACCCCAGCACCATGCAGAAGGAAACACGCAGGGATGGTGAGGGGAGTAGAGAGCGACTGCTGCACAAAAATATGAAGACGTCTCCCCTGCCTGACAGCCTGAGAAGCCAAGCACTCTGGGTCATTACATTCCCTACAAGGGGGATAGGATGACCACCAAGATGGATCCCTGACCCCAGCGCCTACCCAGAATTGGGGCCATATTGGACTTCTGGTTTGCCATACTTGTGTTACCTGATGGCGTTACACTTTGCTTGCTACAACAGGTCCAGAGGGTAATGCAATCTAATCTGCTACCATTCATATAGGGTGCTAGCCAGGGTGTTGGGGCTGTCTGGGGTGGTAAACTCTACTGTACCCCTTACCTTACCATTACTATCTACACATAGTACCTATCTCTTAGCAGTAAGGGGATATGTCATACGCTTGTTACTTACTCTATTTTACTACTCTTATGTTTCACCAACGTTATTGCTACTATATACTATAAAATTGTGCATTGCCTAGCGATTACCCTACTTGTTACTTATGTTAAGCAGCTCGAGGAATGCCTTTGGGGTACCTCAAGCCAGTCTGTATCCATTATATGCACTGCAAAAATAAAAAATTCAAAAAAAATAAATAAAAAATAAAAAATGTTTCAAGCCCCACTATGCCAAAAAAACAAAAAACAAAAGCTAATGGACCATTAAAAAAGTCAGTAAACAACCTGCAGATTTTTTCATGTGAGAGAACAAAGACATTCATATTTTCCCGCATTTTAAAAATTGCATGATCAGGCTTTTTTTTATTATTATACATGGCCACGGTCAATATATTTTGTTTTTTCATGAATGTGTTATTCAAATAATACTTTAATGGAACACTTTAGTGAATACAAACATGTATTCCTACTGGCATAGTATTACCCTTCATATTAGGAGGCCCCACCCCTACTCCTGTGAGGGTCTGAAAGGTGAGTTTGACTTACCTTTCTTCTATTCTCGGTCAGTCTTCCTCCCTGGCTGAGATCATCATGGTTGATGATCTCCCCCCCCCCCATAGGAAAGCATTGGAAGGCTAGTGAGCTGCAAATCGCAACACTGCACCAAATCAAATGCTGTTCTAGGAGCAGAATTTGATTTAGAATCGAGTCTGATTCGGTACTCATAGAGAAGCGCCTCTAGCGGCTGTCAGGAAAACAGCCAACAAAGGTGTGTGTAACCCTGCAATGGAAACAATACGGCTTCTAGGAAACTGCAATGTTTTACATTGAAGGGTTAAAACTAAAGGGCACTGCACCCAGACCACTTCATGGGAGTGCCTTTAGTGGTCCTTCTAAGCAATGAATGATTGGCATTAACCCATTCCAGTTAAGAGTATGGAGTCACCGTCTATATACACCATCAGCACTCTACCTACAGAAGATATTTTGTTAACATTTTTGAAAGGATCCATTTAAGAAGAATAAAAAAAAATTCTACCTAAGATTTATTACAAAGGGACGGCAGATATTAAATATTCAACAATTACTCTGTTAAAGGCTTGCATGCTGCTCCGGAATTATATGAAAGGTTGGGAGAAATTTCATCTTAAAAAGGTATACAGGAAACACAAGCAAAGCTGGCAAGACATTTAATTACCTTTAGCACTGCATTGAGATAGGAATCCTGCCTGTGCCTGCAGATTTTATTCAGAACCAAGAAAGCCATGACTCTCACGGTTTCCTCTCCGGTGCTCCAGAGAACGATGGATTGCTGCTCAGACAGAGAAAAGGAAAGTTAGATAGGATCAGATGTAAACATGAAATATTGCATACATGGTAATCTACAACTGACGGAATATCGAAAGCAGCAGGGAACGGAAAATAAATAACAGGAAAAGTACAAAAATGGCCAAGTGAGGCTGACATATCACCATAAAAACATTACATGATCCTCGCCTTCTTAAAAGCAAAAATAGTTTTAAAAGCGTATGTCTGTTACGGTCTCTACTTTTTTTTTTTTTTTTTCTAATCCCTTAATTTGCAGGCAATCTAAAAGGAATTAAACTTTACAGCCCAGTTATCTTGTTTGAGGGAATGCTGACGTAGATTTGGTGCTTAGATTAAAACAAACTTACAAGTTTAGTATACCAAATCACAGAAAATGAGTAACGGACATAATGATATATTACTTGTAATGCATATCCCGTTTCCACCAAAAATATATTTCGCAAAAAAACAAAACAAAAAGGAATCTAGTCTGAGATACATTTTGTATTAACTGCAATAGATGTGTACAATTTATAATAAGCAATGATTATCAGATTGTAAGCTCATTGGCAGTAATTGATGCAGTGGTTATTACATAAAAGCCCACGTCCAGGCTTGTCTACTCCGCTATTGTCAGTCTAATTACAAACCCTGTTTATAAACATAAATATAACCAACTGCTAGTTTTATAAAGTGAGCATTGTGATGCCCCAGATGACACTGTTCCAATTGGCATAAACCCCTTTAACTTTGGAGATATTTTCTTGTATGCAATTCTGCTAGCATGATCCACACATTATAAAAATTCTAGGAAATATCTGCAGAATTAGGCCGGCCCATGGTTTGCAGAATATGTACAGTGACTATCATAGGGATATTTGATTAATCAAACATCCTAAAATAAATGTCTGAACACCAACCCACTTTTGCAGTTATCTCCAATGGTACTGGAACATATGAATAATTATTGTGAAGATCACAACTATGTTTTACCACATTTTGGTAGTCTCTGCAAACTTGAAAATAATAATATATTCAAAAAAAAAAAAAGTCTCCTTTAGATTCTCAATCTTTTAGCATGCTAATCAACTGAAAAGCAAAATTCTACGCTGAAACAGACTAGGCAACAATGAATGCTAAATAGCCAGATATGCTATGGTTCTCAGTACAGAAATATAAGTTATTTGGAGTTTTAGGATATTTAATGATTGATACCAAAAAATGGAAAATAAATATGCACGCACAAGAAGGAAACTAAAAAAGAATAATGTGTTTATAGTGGGAAAATACGGCACTTAAAATGTGGTTGGCAACCCTTCATTTGCACATGCTGTTATTTGAGCGTCAATACCCTAAGAGATCACAGAAATTAATTTCTCCAGTGGCCCCCTGGTTTGTCCTTCCTAACAGCTGTGTTACCCCTACATATAGGATAAATTGTCCTATTTATGGTCACCTTGAGCAGTAAGCGCGTATGCTTGGGAAAGCACAGGTAGTAAGGCACAATGGTGTTCACATGCTGGAGAAGGGCAGCTGCGACTGTGGATTCTGTTAGACAGGTCAGGAGCTATTGGACAAAAAAAATAATAAAATAAATATTGGTTAAATAGAGATTTGAGGCCTATTTCTCTACATACAATACTTAGTTACTTCAGGCACCAATAAAACATATATTCTCTAGCTTTTAATATTTTGCAGCATTCTGTATCTTTATTCTCAATGCTTCCTACTGTGTTATTAATTGGCTATTTTTCCATATTTTAATATATAATCCAGGGGTAAGCAACCTTTGGCACTCTAGATGATGTGGACTACATCTACCACAATGCTGGCAAAGCATCAAGGGAGATGTAGTCCACATCATCTGGGAGTAGTGAAGGTTGCCAACCCAAGATCGATACAATAAATCAAAGGAATGTGTCAATTCCACCCTGAAGTGTCTCACCAAGCTAGAATCAGTCATGTTTAAGATGAGAATATTTTGGTTCCAGAACATAAAAAAAAAAGACTTGTTCATTCACTTTCACTCTATAGGTTTCATTTAATTTGACTGATAAAGTCAAAGTTTCATGCAAATTAACACCTCTGCCGTCAGTCTCTGATACGACAAGCCTTTTCCTTAACTATGGCAGTTTAATGACCGTATGACACGCCTCCCCTTAACTAAAAGGAGGCATTCTGACAAAATCAGGGTTACTGACTGAACTGTGAATTGTCAAGAATTAAGAAGGGAAATTGAAAATGTATTTATGGGGTACGCAGGCAGGCATGCATGCTGCGAAAGTGCTTGGATTGAAAAAGTAACTTCTCTCATCTGGGGTCATAGTTCCAAGACAGCAGGGATATGGATGTGACTGTTACACGTTGCTGCAATTATAGAACACCGTGGGCTGGGAGACGAGGAGATTTGTTTTTAATGGACCACACCACACACATTGAAAGCACCTCAACCGGCTGAAGTCCTTTATGTGTGGACTATCAATTCAATGGCGGTTTTTAAAATTGCCAATGTATTTGGGAAATTGACACTTTTATCAATTAAAGGAACACTGCTGGCACCATAACAACTTAATAAAAATGTAGTCCTTGTGGTGCCTGGAGGTCCCTGGCACTGGCTCACCTTTAGGAGTTAAACCGTTCACAAACAGTTTAACCCCAAAGTCTGTTTTTGAACACTGGATCTCTTTGGTCCCTGTCTTTCCATTTGCTAAAAAGCTTCAAAATGGAATATTATGGCTGCTGCGGGAAGGGGCGCTGCAGATTGGCTGAGAGCAGTCAGCTGATGCTCACGGAAAATCAGTGGCTCCCCATTCACAAAAAAGCTTGAGAAACTGCTGCTTTGAGCCAGGGACCTCTTGGCACCATAACAACTTAAATTAGATAAAGTTGTTATAGTGCCCAAACTGGTATTTATTTTTAATTCATTTTAGTGTGGCGTATTTCTTTAAGGAGCGATGGGTGAGCCTTAATTACATTCTGATAACATCCAGTCAAGGCTAAGTGGAGGAAGGATGTGATATTGGTCAGACAGCCTGTACTGCGTGTTGGTAAAGTTTATTAATGTGACTCTAGAAGCACTTTGATTACCTTTGTGGCAGAGTTTAGGTACATTTTAATGTCCAGCCGAAGTTTCTTCCAAAGGTCACTGCTCGAAGGATTAGGTATTCTGTGAGAGAAAGGGGTGCAATGTGTGAAATGTTGAAAAGACAAAGTATTATTCTATTATACAAATAAACCCAGAGCAAGAAGGACCCATCTGAAAATCTACATAGTGTTTGAGAGGCATTCAATAAAGTAGATTTTACACAAACTGGGTGGGTAATAAGGTTTTAATTACACAGGTATTAAAATGAAATCAATATACCGTGTTGATTTATTTTACCCAACATGTAAAAAAAGTGTTCTACACAAATACAGTGGAAGGGATTATGTTGCTATGAATAAATATCGGCACCATGAACACATGCAGTAACACTGCCGCTAGACATTGTGCTAGATGAAGTACACTGTTGATGAAGGAGGGGGAAGGAAACTTCAGGTGAGTATATTCTACAACTTATACATGTACAGGTAAAATTAAAGGACCACTCTAGGCACCCAGACCACCTCAGCTTAATGAAGTGGTCTGGGTGCCAGGTCCAGATAGGCTTAACCCTTTCTGCTGTAAACGTAGCAGTTTCAGAGAAACTGCTATGTTTATAATAGGGTTAATCCAGCCTCAAGTGGCTGTCTCATTGTGATTTTTACAGTGAGAAGACGCTGCCGTCCATAGGAAATGCTTTCCTATAGACTGATTGAATGCGCGTGCGGCTCTTGCCGAGCATGCGCATTCGGCGGATGACGTTGGAAGAGGGAGGAGAGTCCCCGGCGCTGGAGAAAGGTAAGTGATTAGCCCCTTCCTCCCCCTTCAGCCCGGCGGGAGTGGGACCCAGAGGGTGGGGGGGACCCAAAGACCCTATAAAGCCAGGAAAACAAGATTGTTTTCCTGGCACTATAGTGGTCCTTTAATAACTACTCAGTGACAGTTGTGGCATCCACACAGATAGTGCCTAATTTTATTCCAGAAAAAGAATGAATATGATTTCAAACTTATAAAAGTGTCAACATTCTGCTGTGGTGTACAAATAGAGGGTTACAAACAAAACAATACACACGTACCAGTACAAAATGAAATGATGACTGTGCCTGTGAGCAGCAGTTCTATGCAAAAGTATAAAGTAGCACTGGTCAAGCGGCATTAACCTAGTAGGTCATGGGACTGCAGGAGTTGGGCTATACTAACAGAAGACCAGCAAAATCCAGACACGTTGGCTTCCCTCTTCCTAAGTGGAACCAAAGCATGGCAGTGACAGTAATATTCACAAGCACACACAAAACTTACTTTGATGCCTTGGCAGACTTAAAGGCAAGCTTCTTATCAAGGTGCACGAACAGATCACGGATGCAAAAAGAAATCAAGGCATTGAACACTGAGAAGCAGAAACCGCACTATTAAAATATGGTTACAGATAACATTACAGTATTAAAGCATTGGCGAGTTTCACTAGAAAAAGAAGACAATTACCTATGATGTTCAACTACATCAAAGAGCAAATAACAGATTTGTTTTGCAAATGCCCAGTTTATTCTAACCATTATAGCCAGCTGTAGTGGTTATGGTGCCTGGAGTCAAACTGTTTTAGACACTGATCTGTTTTCCCACCAGTCCTTCCAGTTTGAACAACCAGGTTGTGTAACAAGGTTAATCTATAAAAAGTGCCAATTTCTATTGAAATCAGCGTTTTTTTGTAAAACATTCTTCATTGTCCTTCAACATCAGGCTTTGTTTCAGTGTGTTCTAAAACAAATGTTCTAACTTTCATTTGTGATTATGACAGTATTTGACTACAACGTTTGACTAAGTAGAAGGGAAATGACAGTGTCCAGATATATTAAAAAGTATCTCCAGTTTAAATACACTTGAAGAGACAGACAGAGCCCAGAATTTGTTTTCGCCACTAGCGAGTAGAAATTCACCTCTGGTGAACGTGCTATGGACCCACCAGGCAGTGGCATGTAACATGGCCTGGCTAGTAACATAGGACTTGAAATTTTAAGATATATACACACAGTATAATTCTATATATTAAAGTACAAATTATGGCCAATATTAGGTCTTATCAATTCTTTTATAATAAGTGTTTAGGCACGCGTCAATTCCAAGTAGTTTAACCCCCTAAGGACCAAACTTCTGGAATAAAAGCGGATCATGACATGTCACACATGTCATGTGTCCTTAAGGGGTTAAATAGTCTACTTACTACCAAATAACTAGGATTTTTTTCTCTCCAATGCATCAGGAAAAAAAACTCTTACATCTATGTTAAAGGGACACCTGATGCGTGAGGGAGGGGGGGGGTGCTCAATAGTGTAAGGAATATACAACTTGTATTTCATACACTATAGAATCACTTTAACCCCTTAAGGACACATGCCATGTGTGACATGTCATGATTCCCTTTTATTCCAGAAGTTTGGTCCTTAAGGGGTTAAATGATGCAGAGTAGGAAATAATTTTCATAAATTAGATTAAATTCTCCCAACATGCAAAGTCAGGTATCATCAAACGACATTTTGTGAAATAATATGGCTTGTTAGGTGTGTTTTAAAACAAATGTTTTAACGATCCCCTCAACAACTAGTGCACGAGATACTGGTTTAAGTTTGATTTATGGCACACATTTTTCTCTTTGCCATAGAGCTGGGAGGTGAACTTTGTAAGAAGAATTTCATCTCACCTGCGCTGTCAGCCACTTTGAATTTACTGGGGTCATCTCCTTCTTCACCACTAGTAGTCGCCACTGCTGCTTTGAAAGCCTGAGCTATCTCATGGAACAACCTGGGCCTCAGATTAACCTGGACACAAATGATAAGGAAGCGCCATAATTTTAGCTAATATGCCAACAACATACAGGTATTCAGTAAAATCTGATTTTATCAATAAGCTGACTATGTATACATGAAATGATAATATATACAAAGAGATAATATATACTACGGACGCATAGCGAGTGATAAATGTATCAGCATTTTTGAAAGTTAAAACTCAACTCACTTTGGAGTCTGACTTCCAATGCTCCACCATCTTCATGGTGACGATGATTTGATCGAGTTTCTTCTTTTTTACTGGAGCGGCTTCTTTTCCCTCCTCACCGTCAGCATCATCGTCATCTTCGTCATCGCCCATTTCCTGTATTAATCCACATAATTAAAATGTGTTTGTAAATGGCAGATAATTGAGCAGTGAAACTTCAGAGGCATGATCTGTACACAAAGAAAATGCTTCATCAAGCTAAATGTGTTTTGGTGACTTTAAGTGTCCCCCTTTCCTCTCTTTAATAGAAAATAAAAATTTTAAATAACTGTATTCCCTACATGGGGCAATCATCTTTCACACTGATTTTCACAAGTAGTTGCAAGTCACATTTTGCTATTCCAGTGGATGACATGCATTGATTGACATGTACAAATTGCATGTCATTTGTACAAATTCCATTATAAAATAATTTCGCTCTCTGCAATATCATTAAGGAAAGTTTGTTATCTAACCGAAGCGGACAGCCACAGTTGCAGGAGTCTATAAAGTGGCATGTATCAGTTAAGACACACACTTTTTTCAGTACTAGTAGGCTGCAATATTCTAGCATTTGCTTTTATTACAGAAAATATTTACAACCACGTTTAATGTCACTAATAACCTTCACAATGACCAACAAGTATATATCATATTTGCTTCAAAGGAGTGTTTCTTAGTAATTTTCTAACAAAGTACCAGCTATAGGGACAAAATCCAAAGTGTATATCTAAAAATATACCTTTTTGTACCCATAATAGTACCGCATCAAGAGGATAAAAGTTAATTCAGGAGACATTGTAACAGAAGTTATTCAATAAAAAAAATATATATATACTTTACATGTCCTCCTGACCCTATAGTGTTAAAAACACTCTAGCTACCATTGACTCCTCCCCCCCCCCTAAATATAGTAAAATCTTACCTTTATTTTAGTCTGCTGCTGGCTCTGCCCCTTATCTGCTTGCTTGGCTGACATCATCAGTAATGATCTGAGCCAATCACCATGCTTCCCCAGTCAAACGCCACCCTGGCTAGTCAGCCTCTCCTCATAGAGATGAACTGAATCAATGCATCTCTATGAGGAAAGTTCTGTGGCTCAAGTTCAGCACCCCATTTAAGCATGTTAAGGTGAGTGTAACCCCCCCCAGCCACCCCCCATGTTCCATGGGGGGAAGACATTGAATATCAGTGCAATGTCCCATGAAGAACCATCTGAGGAGTGGCCACTGAAGGTGCCCGTAGGCAGTAATGTAAACACTGTTGCAAAAAGCCTGCATTGATTGACTACACTCACCAGAATAACTGCAATAAGCTATAGTTGTTCTGGTGACTATAGTGTCCCTTTAAACATACTTTGCAATACAGGAACCTAAACAAATCTAGGTTCCATTTCAGGAAGCGCATAGGAAGGCTGTGCAAGTCACAAGCAGGGAGGTGTAACTAAGGCTGTAAAATGTCCCTCTGTGAACAGTTTATTGGGTCAGACTGCAGTTGCAGGCACACCCCTTCTACACCAGGAAGACATGCTCCAATCCAGTTAGGAGCATCTCAGTCTGGTCTACTGGAAGAAAAATATCCCGTAAGTCCCTGTAGAGGAGAGGATATAAGTAGTGTATTCCCAAAGAACAGTTAATAATAATTTACCAGACGACAGCTGCGATCGGTTTATACACAGCTTGGTTCCTGGTTTAGTGAACCAGACTGTGTACTGTGTTTTAGAACTATGGACCGTGCATGTACAGTCTATGGTTCGACTCTCTGTTGAGGAGAGAAAGCCTTCCCTATTGTGTATGCAGTGTGTACACACAAGCATAAAATAGATTAAATTAGCACTGTATACATAGGACTCTGGGCTGTCTGATTTTTAACAAATCACAGCCGCTAGATCCACTCGCAGTAATGAGAATTGGCTCAGGATGCAAAGTACTTATAATGCTTACACTATTGCTTTAAATGCCACATTTATGCATGTGATGTTTTTCGTCTATAACCACTTCCTCCTTGAACCCAAAAATGGCTGCAAGAAGTGAAGATGGGTAGAAATCTGGTAACGTAAGAAAGTGAATAACAGAGATAGTGATAGATATACAAAGCTGCCGTCCAGGACTTTGACAGCATTGGGCTATCACACTAGTCGACGTGCTTGCTGTACCAATCTGAACTTAAACTAAGCAATCCTGTCCTTCGTTTAAAAACAAGCAACAAAAATCAAGGCCAGCAAACCAGAGTAGGCATGTGGCTGCATGGGACAAAATGTGTAAAAGGTCTTTCATCAATGGCAAATGTGTATTTATCAGAGCACTGGTTGAAAGAAACTGGACTAACATACACATATTGAGGAAAGACGCAGAGATCACGCTCAGCTTGTCAGTCATTTTATAGACACTATTACCTCCAGGTGATCAGGCAGCTGGTGGACACCACTCTCTTCATCAGAGCTGTCTGAATCATCAAAGTTAAGCAGTGTGTTATCGTTTTTTTCAAGGAATTTGTAGAACTCTGGGTCCTTCTTTTTTAGGCGGGAGAGCTGGTCCTTGTGTTCTGATGCTTTGCCTATAACTTTCTTAACTTTCCTTTATGAAAACAATAAAAATAAATACAACACATGAAAGCAGAAGTCAAAATACACTGAGAAAGCATCTTTAACCCCTTAAGGACACATGACATGCGTGACATGTCATGATTCCCTTTTATTCCAGAAGTTTGGTCCTTAAGGGGCTAAACCACTCCTAAAGCATCACTGAAGGACCAGTTTACTTATATCCTTTTTAACAGATTTCGGGTTCTCCTGCTATCATAGCCATGCATTTAATATCATTTTTAAAGGGGAAATTATAGTTTCTTTTGATACCATATTTTATATTCATAACACAAAAAAATAAAAAATAAAGGAATTGGGGGGTTGCATTTAAGGGAAACTATAGTGCCAGGATAGGAAAAGTAACAAATAGATATAGGATCACGGTTTTAAAGCTAAACCTTTGCAAAAATGACATACTGAGATTAGAGCTTTAGTATTGGTCACAAAATCCAAAACCACTACACAAAAGTATATACTATAGAAAATACATCCCCCATGCTACTTAACCAAGGGCATTTTGACACTTATCACTAAACTATTTTATCAACAACATCGGTCAAATCTAATGGTTAGATCTGATATTTTTGTATTTTTCAAGTTTTATTTTCATTACGACCATATACATCCCAATACTGTAAAGAACCCTTTTTTTATGATGCCAAACCCATAATTATATTTTGCTACTGTCCTAGAGAACAATGATACCCCAACTTGTATACCCCCCAAATCCAACTCCTAATCCCACCCGAGTGACTCCCTCTGCCGATGTCAGTACTGTATGACTGCATCATGAAAGTCTCTCTCTCTGGGTGCAGGCTCAGGATCACTGTGACTGAGAGCCATGGTAACTTGTATTGATTTAAAGGGCTATGGTTCCAGTTAACAGTGTGGCTCCCCAGTACCAGCGGTATATGAGTTCAACAGGAGTTAAACCCCTGCACTGCGAGATGGCATAAACAGTGATGTGGTCCTTAAAGGGCTAATTCAGGAACAAACCATCATATAGGTCCTACACTATAGACAGTAGGGGGGAAATCATATAACAAAGAACATATATACTCTACCTTCAGAAGTTTAGCTCTATTTTCCACTCCTTATGGGTGCTGGTTTACATAATACTTTATTTAGAAGTAGAATTTGGAACAATTTCTCCATGCGGCATGGATATCTTTAGAGGTTTTTATTATGTGACTCCCCATTTACTCCTCTCACTTCTTGCACTATTTACAAAGTACTGAATGTTACAGCTATATAATTCACTGCCAGACAACTGCTATCAGAATTATCGCTGGATACAACCACCTAACTGATATGAAAGCTGTGGAACTCGACCTATGCTGGCAGCCTCTGAAAACCTATCGACATAGAGGACAAGACCTTACTTTGCTCCAGTTTTTGTCTTTGCTGCCATTTTCTTTTGCACTTTTGACGTTTTTCTTTGTAGTTCTGAGTTGTCACCATTGATTTCCTCTGCAGATTCTCCATCACCTTCAGAGTCAAACCCAGAAGTCAAAAAGTCATCTACATTAAGGTCAGCAAGTTTTCTAGAGGAAAAAGAAATCAGAGTAAATATCAAAGGGACACTCGAGGCATCAGAAAAAGAACTGCTTCATGTAGTGGTTCTGAGGAAAGACCTTGCCCTTGCAGGCTCAGCAGTGCAAACGTTGCCTTTTCTCATAAAAGGCAGTGTTTACATTGCTGCCTAAAGCCACCACTAGTGGATGTCACTGGAGCAGCTACAAGAGGGACTTCCTGAGTAATGTCCTGCAAAGATTGCAGGCCTGACTTTTATCTCCACGCTGTGCGGGGATACACTGAGTCCCTGTTACACATGCGCACTAGCCTCCAGATTGCTGCAACAAGACTGCCACTACCAGAGGAATAAAGGAGCACACAATAGTTGAAACAACTAGTACGACACTCTAATTTTAGGAATTCCTAACACTAGAGAGTTCATTTAATCATCTGCCACAGAAAGAGAAAATAAAAACAGGACACTCCAAACTCCATAACCACTACAGCCTACTGTAATCAAATTCATTCTCACTTGCCTCTTGGACGAGCACAAGATGGAAGTGAGATCTTTTCATACACAAGCAGTGGTTTTACGGTTTCCCTACAAGAAGCATTTTGGAGCAGCGCGACGACTGCTGCGCATGTGTCTGGCCTTCCAAACTGTTCCCAAGGATTGGTCAGACGATCACCACTATTAATAAGCTCGCAGTGGGAGAACTGAGCTGTGCCAATTAGAACCTCTTGCCACTGGGTTTAGAAGTTTGTTTGTTTGTTTTTAAACTTGATGGGGGATCCTGAATCAAAACAAGCAAATACCCACTCCAACACTAAATAAAAAGATTAACTTGTAAAACTGAAAAGTTCATTTTGTTTGATAAGGGTTATTTACTAAAGTGTGATTCATTTGGTTATGCAGATCTTGGTGTGTTGTAGTAAAGCAAAATCCTAAGACTTGTTTTGACATAGTAATGATATAATAATAAACCATAGCAATAACACCCATAAAAAGTCACCCATTGTAAGTGTGCGTGATGTCAGAGTACTCGACTGACAAGAAACATCCAGCGGGTCAGCTAGGTTTTCAGATATTTTATGTAAAGAATCTTTGTTTTTCACAAACAACTGTATGTAAAAAATTACACACTTCTATCCATATACCTGTAGTTACATAAAGGCATAAAGCTGTAACCCACACTCTACTATAGGTCAGGCTCACAGTTTGTTCTACTCTTATTTTATGAAGGAAAAAAAAAACGTGCAAAACCTCAGACACACTTTGCCAATTTTCTTTACGAGCATTGATTTTACTGTGATGTCTTTACACTATTGAATGTTGATATATATGCACATATGTACATAGACCATTATAGAAAGGTTAAAATTTGCAGGATAGAATTGAAAGGTTTAGTTGAGACATTTTGGCCTAAAATATTAAATTCACCATGAGTTCCCAACAATTCCCATTTTAGTGAAAAAAAAAATGTAAGAGTTATGCAGTTAGGCTATTTTGAACAGATTTCTTTAATTCAAATTTGAATTCCCAACAACGGACACTAAACTATTCATTAAATGCAACATTTTAGCAAATTAAAGGATCATTATAGGCACCCAGGCCACTTCATCTCAATGGCGTGGTCTGGGTGCAGTGATCCTTTAAATGTAACCCTGCATTGTAAAGCATTGCCATTTATTAGAAACAGTAATGCTTGCATTGCAGGGTTAAATGCTGTTTATGGCAGGGTTAGTGGCTATCTTCACACAGCTAACCCGCATTTAATTGGAGTATTAGTGTTGTCTGCGCATGCGTTTCTCAGCCCAAAATTTCTCTACGAAGAACATTGAATTGGATGTTTTAAAGCACAGACATGACTCCGCAGATGTCAGATCAAACAGCTTCAGGGGATCGATCTAGGTCCAGGAAAAGATTAAGCACTACCCTTTATTCCCATTTTTATTTAGATTTAGGGGGAGCCCTGAATCTAACTAAAGAGAACACAATAGCAATAGAGCATTGTATTATTAATGTTTCTAAGTGTTCCTTTAAATCTGAATGACAAGAGTTAAAACAAATTAAAATAAGATACTCTTAATCTGCAGAAATCTGAAATTAAAAGGGACACTATAGTCACCCAGACCACTTCAGCTTAATGAAGTGGTCTGGGTGCCAGGTCCCTCAGTTTTAACCCTTCAGATGTAAACAGTTTCGGAGAAACTGCTATGTTTACATTTGGGGTTAATCCAGCTTCTAGTGACTGTCTTCCGGACAGCTACTAGAGGCGGATCTGTGACGCTGGAGGCGAATTTCACCTCCATCGCGCAGAGTGTCCACAGAAAAGCATTGAGAAATGCTTTCCTATGGACACTTTGAATGCGCATACTGTTCCAGTGACGTCAGACGTGGAAGAGAGGTCACCAGCGCCGAGGGAGCCCGGCGCTGGATTAAGGTAAGTGGCTGAAGGGGTTTTAACCCCTTCAGCGTCACAGGAGGGGGACACCTCAGGGCACTATAGTGACAGGAAACCCGCTTTGTTTTCCTGACTCTATAGTGATCCTTTAATTAATAACCCCGTAAGGGTTTATTCACTAATGACCATTAAACAACATATTGCACTGAACTGAAAGTGAACTGGCAAAATTAATGTAAAAATATCCAAGCGGCGACTCTCTCTGAATTGTTGAATTTTTCCTTATCTGCCTTTTTAGCCCAAATTTTGTAATTCAGTTTTTCATTTCACTTCCATTCAGAACTCCAGTTCTAGTGAACTCAAAATTTCCGAAAAACAAAAATCTCTGTCCGGGGTAGGCAACATTCAGCACTCCAGATGTTGCAGACTACACCTCCCATGATGCTTTGCCAACATTATGGCTGTAAGTGCAGAAGGCTGCCTATCCCTGGATCTAGGGGAAAAATGTCTGATTTTTGGGAAATGGTGTCAGACTTAGCTAGTCACAGCCTGAATTTTGAGATTGAGTTTTCAATTCACTACAGCAGGGGTAGGCAACCTTTGGCACTCCAGATGTTGTGGACTACATCCCCCATAATGCTCTTTGGATTCATAATGCTGGCTAAGCATCATGGGATTCCCCTTATATAATCTGTAACCCACACCCATTCCTCTCATCCCCTTACTCCCCCCTGCACTATCTGCCCCTACCTTTTACCGGTGGCCGCCATGCTGCTCCTGCCTCCTCTGCAACGTGCTCTGCACTTCCTGTCCCACAATCCTACGCGGCTTCCTATTTGGTTCTATGGTTCACATATTTCCAGCTACAGGGAAAAAAACTAAGGGGGGAGGGCAGAAATAAAAAAATCCCCATCCCATTCACGTCTGAAATACCCTAGCGAAATTCTGTCGATTAGTTGAATAACCAATTCATCCGAAATTGCAAATAGCGGATTTCCAATGTGTATTGAAACGTCGCTTGATGTGTTATAAAATATGAGTCGGTCGGGCGCCAGACACAAGCTGTCAGCAATACAACTGTTTGTGTCTGATGTTATGCTGGGGCTGGAGAGATACATTGTTATTCCATCTAGCTCTCCCATGTCTAGATGTGTCTGTCTTAGTTTAGGGATTTAGTTATTATTTGGGGGGTATACTGACCCTTTTATTAATGCAATGAAGTGCTTTCTCAGTCAGTGACCTCATTATTTTGTATTAACCCACTAATGGCAATAAGAACATAATTATATGTCATCTCTAATTCTGTATAAAATTAGTTTAGCACAGATTTTATACAATGAATAATGTACATTTCGCATTAAATGCCCATTTTACCCCTTCATTTCCAGAAAAAAAAGAGAACTGTCAATCATCCTTAAACTCTGGGGGTGTCTCCATGCCCCCCAAAATGTGCCTTATTATTATTATTATAGCTTGTACTCAGGTTCAGATCCCATAGCTGTGTTTGACTGCTCTAGTCTAGCAATGTCCCAGTGTTTACACTCTATGACTGCTATTTGATATGGTATTATGGTGGGTCACTGTCCCCCTCCTGGATGAGATCCTGTGACAAGTGGCCTTAATATAGTTGTGTGATACTTGGACGAGAGTTCATGCTTCATATAAACTGGAGTTGTGGTATCTGCAGAGCAACCAGGAGCTGCCTTCATGAGCTTGTTCTGGTGGCAAAGTGTTGAAAGGGTAAGTAGAATCCACTCAAAAAAAAGTTACATATAATGTCCATCTATTACAAATGTAGTTATAAAAACAGTGATTGTAGGAAATCCTGTTTTCCAACAGAACATTGTATGCTGTATAACTGAGCTCTATTTCTGTGAGTGGTGTGTGCTGACTGAGTGTTGTGTGTGTGTGTGTGCTGTTGGGGAGGGGGGCTCAGTGTGTGTGTGTAGGTTGCTCACAGCTGTAGGAATGGCTGAGTGTGTGTGTCTGAGTGGTGTGTGAAATGTTCCCCCCTCATTACCTACCTTCTCTGGTAGTCTGTACTGGAGGGAGAGCAGGATTCATGGTGGTCTGGTGGAGGCTGTATAATCTGTACCAATATAAAATACAGACCACTCTAAGAGCACCCTCCCGGTTCCAAAGCTCAGCGGGGCGCTCTTAGAGTGGTCTGTTCTTGATAATGGTACAGACAGCAAGGCTCCCTTAACGAGGTGAGGAAGCCCACTGGAGCTGGAACCCATTGGGTCCCTGTTATGGGACGTGGCACTAGGCGGCCGACTTGGTCACCTAATGGTTCTGTATAGATGCCCCAGGCTGGGATAAGGAAGCTTTGGACAGCCTCAGACAGGAGCGTTAGCTGATGCTTTCAGCCAATCAGTAGCTTTCCATTCTTCATACGGCTTGAGAAACATACACAGTTTTGACGCTTTTAGCTAATCAACAGTGTCCCTCTCTGAGGCTTCCTAATTCAAGGCTTATAGTGGACAATAGTGCAAGGTGATGGCCAAAGCTAACCGGTGCTGAATTCAACATTTTGCAAATGGTTTAACCCATAAAGGTAAGCCCCAGGCCTCCTGGCACCACAACAACATCATTCTAATGAAGCTTAAAGGAACACTTTAGTGTTAGGCATAACACTAATAAGAATAAGATATATTTCTAACAATAAAATGTAAGTGTCCCTCTGCCCCCTGCATCCCTCCCTCCGTTCTTAATGCGCTCATTAGGCCTTCCTTATAAGAAAGCATTGACTCAATGCGTTCCTATGGGATTTTGCTTGATGCTGGAGTTCCTCATGTAAAGCATGAGAACGTCCAGCTTTATTTCACGGAGTCAAATTCTGTGAAACTGCGGCAAGCGCCTCTAGTTGCTGTCTGGTAGACAGCAACTAGAGGCAGTCTAAGCACTTATTGCAGTTTTTCTAACACTACACTGTTTACATTGCAGAGCTAAGAGGGACAGGGACACTGCGCCTAGACCACTTCAATGAGATTCAGGGGTCTGGGTGCCTATAGTGTGCCTTTAAATTTAAGCTTCACTTTAAAAATATTTATTGTGTGCCATGAATCGGGTTACCAGAAGTTCCTTGAGGCTGTAACCGCAGCCGGTTTGCCTATTTACCACTATAACATTTTAAAGCATAGAACTTAGCAGTGTTAACCAAACAGATATCCTAGCAATAATATTATATAGTTAGTAAGATTTCCTCTATTTAAAATATATCAATAATTGAGAATACAATATAAAATAGGGATTATCTTGGAAGCAATAAAGTTTTGTCTTTTAAATATTTTATTAAATAAATATATAAATATACACATATAAAATCCATTACAATCATTTACAGCAGAGTTTATAAGATTACATTACATGCTTGCAATATCAGTAAATAGAATAACGTACCCTCCTGAACAAGTTTAAACATCTTATTTGTTTATTGGGTAAGATGTCAACAAAGGAACATTGGATGAGAAACAATATTTTCCATTTCGAACAACTTGTCAGATTGCAAAATCTCTTAACCCTTTAAGGACACGTAACGTGTGACATGTCATGATTCCCTTTTATTCCAGAAGTTTGGTCCTTAAGGGGTTAAAGACAAAGTACACAGTTTACTTTTCATTCTAAAACTTTAAATATTTGTATTTGCTTATAACAATGCCATCCTAGCATACTCTGTCAGACCGTTTTAGAATACGTGGGTGCCACCAGGCGCCTGCGTTGCTAACAGACTTCTTGCACTGGAGAAGCTAATCACAAATGTTGACATTAATTAATTTGCTAAAAGAGTCAGCTGAGTACTGTCAGCCAATGAATAATGGGACAAGTTCCTGTATTGAACAAGTTTATAGCCGATTTATTCAGCTCAGATAAATTTAGAAGCAATAAGGGGGCTCGCGGTGTGCCCAGGTAAGTGTCAATCTGTGTTAATATGGTTTGACAAATTATGCTAGGACTGCACCAGGGTATTCTGGGCACCAACACCACTGCAATGGACAGGCCATGCATAAACATAGATTGCATATTACAAACACCAAGCACTGTTATCTTTACATCAATGACATGGTGAGCAGTTATTAATGTCACTGGGCCGTACAACTGATCATTTTAACCCTTTTAGGGATATTTGCTAAAGTGTGAATTGTCAGATATTCAAAGTTAATTCCACATAACTGGCAAAAATAGCAAATTTAAAAACTTGAAAGATTGAGGGGATCAAGCTGAAACACTGATGTTTTTTTAAAGACAGGTAAAAGCTAAGTCTTATTTTTAAGTCCTGTGAGTGCTATCCTTATATAATTGTTTATATATATTTAATCAGCGAAGTGGTCATTGTGCTCGGAGAAACCCTTGAGAATTGTCAGATATATAAAGTGAATCTCAAAAGTTAGTCCAAAATATCTGAATTAGAAAAAGACAGTTCTCTTTTCAGTTTGGCTATTTTGGCCTTAAAGGGACACAATATGCACCAAAACAACTTTAGCTTAATAAAGCAGTTTTGGTGTATAGACTATGCCCCTACGGTCTCACTGCTTAATTCTCTGCCAATTAGGAGTTAAATCACATTGTTTATAGGGATCTTACAATATGGAATACCCTGCCTTAATCTGGCAGCTCCAAACCCTGCATTCAGTGAATGGAGTAATTAGTCATGGAATACAATCACAAATAGTGCAGCACAGAATGTCACTGGTCGTTATGGGGTTAAACTCGTCATCATTTGCGCCAGTGCTCTGCCCCCTCGTTGTACAGCGCTGCGGATCATGCTGGCGCTATATGAATGGCTGTAACAGTGTAGCAGGACTTGGTTGCTATGGGTTCACGTTCCATTATAGAACGCTGAGTGGGAGCTGCAGATCCCCGGGATGGTGTCCCTGCTGCTGGCCGTGCTGTGAAAGGTACCTTCCTATGGTGACATTCCCAGGTCCCCTGTGCTGTACATCCAGTCCATGCAGCACGGAGCAGGGAGGAGCATGCTTAAAGCAGACAGCCGCCTGGTTGGCCCAGATTTGCGTCAGTTTCAGCCCCTGATAATTTGATATTCTGGAGAGGTTTCTGTTGCTCGGGATAATGACAAAGAACTCGGCTGCTCCGGGCCCGGGTACCGAAAGTTAGACACCAAGTAGCTCTGCTATGTGCCTCCCTGTAACATGATTCCGGGGTACCCAGACAGCATCATCAGCATCTCCTGCATCCCTCTCATCAGCACGGTGTGAGCTCTGCACCCACAGCCATATGTCTGTAAGTAGAGCTGCAGCCCTTCCTGGAGGCATGTGTGTGTCCTGGTCATGTTTACCCACCAGCACAGGGGACATTTATTTACATGCAATACTTCTTATATAGGGCAGAATAATTCGACTTTTAATTTCAGAAAGAGACCTTTGATTCATTATGACATGTGATGTGATATAAACCTTTATGTCTGTTTATCTGTATGTTTGATGGGGCTGTTTATTATATACATATATTATTTATTATTTATTTACTTATTATTGCCATTTATATAGCGCCAACAGATTCCGTAGCGCTTTACAATATTATGAGAGGGGATTTAACTATAAATAGGACAATTACAAATAAACTTACAGGAACAATAGGTTGAAGAGGACCCTGCTCAATCGAGCTTACATTCTATAGGAGGTGGGGTGTAAAACACAGTAGTACAGGATGTCTGTATTGACATGCTGGGTGCCTACATAAAGAAACACTATATAGATTACTGTTGTAGACAGTTTACTAATAATTTGTGTCTTTCTATTAGCTGTACCAGTATTTATAACAAGAGCAATATTAAGGCTACCTTGTGCCAGAGATATGGTTCCATTTAGGAGCCCTACCCTTGCAACCATAAACCTGAAAGATGAACCTTCATTTCTTGCAGTTGTTGTGGTTGTTGTGGGCCTTTGGATTGGCTGTACTGGCACAAGCCTAGAATTGGCTTTCTACTCCCCTCTCATGCCCCCATCTGTTTGTAAAAAAAAATGATCTTCTAGGTAGAATAACACATGTTAGAGCATAGGATGCTTATTCACTAGATCCTCATATTGGCAAGTATTGAGGTGTTGCAGGTTTCTCCAGCACAAGCAGAGTTAACAAAGCACTTAGATGCACCAGCAAAGGATGACTTGTTTTGAGATGACTCTGCTGTCTGGTTTGCTCTCTGCAGTTCTTTAGATCTGCTGCAGTGACTGGCAAGTCATGGAACAGACTGCACTGCAATGGGGAGAGTGTAGGAAAGAACTTAACCCAATCACAGTGTGTGCGCGCATGATCTGTTTGGTAGGTGGCTCTTATCATGTGTGCCCTAGCCATAATATGCCCTGTGTCATCTACATCTTGATGGAGCAACAATCTAAAGCACAATATAATGATTTATAACACCTCTTCTGCTTATTTTAAAAGGTGGATGTGTTGAGGCCCTCTTCTTTCTAGCCGTATGTACTAAAAGAGTTTTATTGTGTGAAAGTCTCTGCTTTTCTTCTTTTTTTGATAAGGGTGGTAGGGGCTATTTCACTGATAACGGAGCAACCGGAATTATAAAGCATTTTTATATCTGACTGAATGGAAAATCCTTCAGTGACAAAGACTTGGTTGTTAGACAACCAGGTATTAAATATACCAGGCAAGCGTGAAATGAGAGTATTCAGTGACATGATAGCCAGTCTTGGGTAGATTCACTTAAAGGGTTATATTTGTTGGCATTGACCAGGGGTAGGCTAGGCTTGTGCCGTGAACGTTCCTTTTTTTACTGGGCACAAGCAGACTGAAGAATTTAGCGTCATTGATCATTTGCACCGTCAAAGGGTTATTCACTGAACTCTGAACTGTGGTGAACTGAAATCCAAATCCCAAAATGTAATCCCAAAATATCTGAGTTGGACATATTTCCATACCGGCTATTTCAGCCTACGTTTTGGCGTTTGGATTTCATTTTGCTACAGTACAGAGTTTAGTAAATAAACCCTTTTGTTTGAACTTTTTAGCATAAATGCGAGACGTTATATTTGGATAAACCGTTCCAACAGAGGAACCTCATGCCAACTGTGAAGCATGGTCGTGGGCGTCTTATTATTTGGGGCTGCTATGCAGCGTCGTGACTCAGAAGTACAAAGAATCATTTAATTCATGAAAAGGCTTGAGTGAAATTACTCTGCAAACTAACAGCACCATCTTCCCAGCTTCTACTAAATTGCAGAGTAGCTTCATTCATTTTTGCATGAATGAAATTACTCGTGGTGACACATGCCCACATGAATCCATTAGGTCAACATACATAGGTCATACAAGAACTTGTATGGGTCAGTGGAAGCTATGCTTACACCATGATTCTATAAGGCACAAGGGGTGCTTATATGACTGCAGATATTTTAAGAGATTTCTGAAGTAGATAATGGGAGACAAGGGACCATAACCTAGTGCAAGCATAGGCAACCTTCGGCACGCCAGATGTTTTGGCCAGCATTATAGGTATAAGAGCATTATGAGGGGTGTAGTCCACAACATCTGGGGTGCCGAAAGTTGCCTACCCCTGACCTAGTGTTTCTCAACCTTTTACGGAGAGGACACTGACACATACACAAACATTTAGAAACATAAGACACTGACACACATTTACACACAGAGGAAACTAACATACACATCTACACACAGAGGACACTGACACACACATTTACAAACAGACCACACTGTCACCCCCACATTTACACACAGAGGACACTGACAAACACACAGAGGACACTGACACACACACTCACTGACAGACACACTGTCACTGATTTGACACACACTGACAAGACACTTACTGATACACACACTCAACGACAGGCACACAGTCTGATATGGCAGACACAATCTCACTAATTTGACAGACACACACTCTCACTGACAGACACCTACGCATTCTACGCAAACAGGCAGTAAATACTTTTTAAATTTTTTTACTTTTGCTTCTTTATTTTAATCAAAATGACAAACATACAGCTAATTTGTTAGTAACATGGCGTGTACTTTTTGTACTTAACATTTTATTGAGATTTTAAGTGCAATACAAAATATTGTACCGACAACGACCCGACACAGGAGATTTTCCCTCCAATTCATTAAAGAGAAGGGAGATGAACTGCTGTCCCCTGCAAGATCAAAGGAGAACTATCACCTGAACACTGTCTTTTAATATATTGAATCTGTCATCAATCAGTTTGACAGGAAATTGAATTTTTGTTAAATGAAATATATGGGGAAAAAAGGATAAAAACTCACCCTACCTTTTAGTATATGACCCTTCAACCATATACTTGCACCTCGGATCAGACAGTGTTTGAATGTGACAGTTAGTCGGTCTAATGATGTCACTGCACTGTGCAAGGTAGACCATAACTGTAACTATATTAAACTTTTTTTTTCTCGGATCGTCTGGATTGGCTACAGGTAGATGGCCTTTGTTGTCAGGCAGGTTCCCCAATTGCAATCTGACTGGAGGGTGAGTATTTAGGCCGGCGCGAGAGCCAGATCGTGCTTTGCAGTCCTAACAGCTTTAAAGCTCTCCTTATGTAGGACAGCATAGCACGCACTAATATTGGGGTGCGGTTAAGTATTACAAAGCTTTTTGTGGGTACAGATGGTGACAATGATCTAAACAGAATCAGTGTATAGAGGTTTTCAAATACTGTCTGACCCAAGGTGGATGTATATGGCTGAAGGATCTTGTCATATACTAAAGGTAGAGATGAGATTTTTCTCATTCATTCATTTTTTTTTTTTACTTATATTTAATTTAACAAAGAATCTATTTCCTATCATAATATGACGAAAGGATCATTTATTTAAATATAGTTTTGAGGTGACAGTTGCCCATTAAGACAGGTATCAAAATGGCATGTGCTGGTAGAAATATGTGCCATTATATGCCAACCTTGTGAACCCCTGTTCCTCTTACTGAACCATGTAAACTGCTCAGATTGCTGAAATTACCTCCCTTCTATCCGAACTAGATATTCCATAATGAATCCCTTGAAAAAAGATCTGTCACTACAGTAGCTGTGCACCTGTCGATTGGCTGAATTGCATGTGAAGTCCTGCCAAATATATCTGCATTCAGATTAGTTTGATACAGAACATTCACTATGCTTTTATATGTATCCTTTATCTTGAGACAAAAGAAATACAAGTGTATCTCTTTAAAGAGACATTCTTCTAAAATTAAGTGTAACACTTAAGGTGTTTTATACACTTAAATGGCCATTGGAGTAATACTAAAAAGAACTTGGCATAGTGCGCAAGTAACTTTTTTTTAAAATTATTATTGTATTTTAAACTCTGCCTAACCTTGTAAAGGGCATCATGTCGTGTGATATGGAGTAGATGCATATGGCATTTTATTGTGCATACACTAAATCCTCTATGGATTATCCCACATGGGAAGATCCCGTATAGAATGCCATTTTGTACATCTTGACTGGACAAGGCTTCTGGCAAAAAAAATCCAAAATTGGCAGTTCCAACGGTTTTAACAAAAGTTTCCTGTGAATTGTGAGTATAACAATCTGAACTCCGTTGAGGCTGTTTAAAAATTAATGTAGAGTACAAAAAAATCTACTAACTTTTATATGCTACATAAAATCCAAACTTACACATACAGATTTATCCTCTTAACCATGAATGATCTTGAATTTGACAGGAAAGTTATTCCCTCCCCCCTCTCCCCCCCCCCAAATAAGTGATTTAGAAACATAGCTGGCTTGACATATTTTTCTTTTCAAATATGCATTTTTGGGCCTAAACTTGTCAATTTCATAATGAATCTGCAACAATTTACAAGTTTAACAAGTAACCCTGACAGTGTTACTTCTTTCTCAGTAATTTAACAACTGCTGGTGCTGGTGCGGCCCCATCGGGTGGCCCATGCACTTCGGGCCACCCAAAGGGGACTGCTGAGGGGCACAACCCTTTCTTGCACCAGGGCCCTCTCCAAATTAGTTAATTTGATTTACTTTTTTTAACAGACACATGCATATATAGCTCTCTTGCGTTGGCTGTGGAGGCGTGGAGTGAAGTCAAAAAATGGTTTGACTCCGTACAATGGTACCAGGGAAGTTCTGGCACCATAACCACTTCAGCAAACTGTAGTCCTTATAAAGACTACGGCAAACTTTATAACCACTACAGCCCACCAGGAGTTACCTGGCCCAATTTCCTGATCATGGGGCAAACCGTTTTGCAATGGTGAGCGCCTTTTTATCTGGGTCCCAACCAGGTGCAGAGGGTTGTCTTGGTCAGTGATGCGCACCCTGCTTCTGCAGCTGAGAATGTTAGCTGACTGTCCTCAGCCAGTGAATGCAACTCTGCATAAAATATGCACAGAATTGTCATTAGCAGGTTAATGATGACACAATGACGTTGCCAGAGATGGAGTTACACCTCTGACAGCAAAGGGGTTAAATGTGCAGCTTTACATAGTGAAACTCTGCACATACCACACTCCAAGCATCATGACAACTTCAAATCACTGAAGTGATTATGGTGCTTGTAGTAATTCTTTAATATGTTGTATCAATGTTTGTAGAAATCTTGGAAATTATGGTCAATTAAAAACTACCAACCAACCTGGAGAAATCCACAATTTCGCTATATTAAAGGGAAACTTTAATTCAGAGCCACATACACGTATTTCTAGCATTTGCATAATTTACTTCACTTGTAGGTATTCAGACCCCCTTTAGAAATTAAGGATAAATTCACCTTTCTCCCCTTGCCACACCTTATTCGGCGCTCCTCCACGAGCGGAGATCATTATTACTGATAATTTCAGCCAACCCAGTGCTTTTTCCGTAGAGAAGTTCACAATTTAGGGAATAAACTCTAAAAACTAAAATGCGAAGTGTTATGATTATAATTTTGATCTGTATCTCTGAAAACTGAACGTGAGCTTGTTCTCATGGCTGTGGATTATTCTAGTGCTTAATATGCAAATCTTGCCGCCTGCTTCCGGGATTAGGTTTGAGTCATATACTTTAACATTTAATACTAAAGGCGTAATGAAAGAGACTCTCCAAGCGTCGTAGCAACCATAACAATCTGGCATAGGGGACAGTGCCAGGGGGCTCCCAGTTAATGACCACATCAAACTTTTCGTATATGGAGCTGCTGCCACGTGTTGAACTACATATATATCTGTTGGCCATTGGTTTGTAATATATGCACAGACAGCACTCTGCCCTTTAACACTACAGGGAGTGCAGAATTATTAGGCAAATTAGTATTTTGACCACATCATCCTCTTTATGCATGTTGTCTTACTCCAAGCTGTATAGGCTCGAAAGCCTACTACCAATTAAGCATATTAGGTGATGTGCATCTCTGTAATGAGAAGGGGTGTGGTCTAATGACATCAACACCCTATATCAGGTGTGCATAATTATTAGGCAACTTCCTTTCCTTTGGCAAAATGGGTCAAAAGAAGGACTTGACAGGCTCAGAAAAGTCAAAAATAGTGAGATATCTTGCAGAGGGATGCAGCACTCTTAAAATTGCAAAGCTTCTGAAGCGTGATCATCGAACAATCAAGCGTTTCATTCAAAATAGTTAACAGGGTCGCAAGAAGCGTGTGGAAAAACCAAGGCGCAAAATAACTGCCCATGAACTGAGAAAAGTCAAGCATGCAGCTGCCACGATGCCACTTGCCACCAGTTTGGCCATATTTCAGAGCTGCAACATCACTGGAGTGCCCAAAAGCACAAGGTGTGCAATACTCAGAGACATGGCCAAGGTAAGAAAGGCTGAAAGACGACCACCACTGAACAAGACACACAAGCTGAAACGTCAAGACTGGGCCAAGAAATATCTCAAGACTGATTTTTCTAAGGTTTTATGGACTGATGAAATGAGAGTGAGTCTTGATGGGCCAGATGGATGGGCCCGTGGCTGGATTGGTAAAGGGCAGAGAGCTCCAGTCCGACTCAGACGCCAGCAAGGTGGAGGTGGAGTACTGGTTTGGGCTGGTATCATCAAAGATGAGCTTGTGGGGCCTTTTCGGGTTGAGGATGGAGTCAAGCTCAACTCCCAGTCCTACTGCCAGTTCCTGGAAGACACCTTCTTCAAGCAGTGGTACAGGAAGAAGTCTGCATCCTTCAAGAAAAACATGATTTTCATGCAGGACAATGCTCCATCACACGCGTCCAAGTACTCCACAGCGTGGCTGGCAAGAAAGGGTATAAAAGAAGAAAATCTAATGACATGGCCTCCTTGTTCACCTGATCTGAACCCCATTGAGAACCTGTGGTCCATCATCAAATGTGAGATTTACAAGGAGGGAAAACAGTACACCTCTCTGAACAGTGTCTGGGAGGCTGTGGTTGCTGCTGCACGCAATGTTGATGGTGAACAGATCAAAACACTGACAGAATCCATGGATGGCAGGCTTTTGAGTGTCCTTGCAAAGAAAGGTGGCTATATTGGTCACTGATTTGTTTTTGTTTTGTTTTTGAATGTCAGAAATGCATATTTGTGAATGTTGAGATGTTATATTGGTTTCACTGGTAATAATAAATAATTGAAATGGGTATATATTTGTTTTTTGTTAAGTTGCCTAATAATTATGCACAGTAATAGTCACCTGCACACACAGATATCCCCCTAACATAGCTATAACTAAAAACAAACTAAAAACTACTTCCAAAAATATTCAGCTTTGATATTAATGAGTTTTTTGGGTTCATTGAGAACATGGTTGTTGTTCAATAATAAAATTAATCCTCAAAAATACAACTTGCCTAATAATTCTGCACTCCCTGTATATTAGGGCCAAGTTTGGAAGAGAAGTTTCAGCCACTTCCTCGTGTTTAGAGGGATCTCTGCTGAAGCTGCAAATCCTGGAGTTTGTTGATAATAATACATTAAAATAGGGGTCAGTTCAGTGCAACTTTGCCCACGTTTTGCCAGCCCTCGATGAGCCAAGTTGCAAATAGCTTACCAGATCAATGTTCACGTGCAGTTTTATTCTATTGCATGCCAAGTTATTTTTCTTATATGAAGTCTGATTTGGACATCTATGTGGCAGAATTATCCTAGGGGAAATTAATCAGTACATCTCATTAGTACATGCTGATATGACTCCAGGAACAGAGAAAAAAGCATATATTTTTTGGTAGAGGTGGGGTCAAATGTTCATATTTTAAACCTATTTTTTGTGCCACGCATGGCTGGCTTGGGGAGCAATTTTCCTAGAATTAAATGGTTGCTAACGCATCATCGCTGCTAATTAACATGATGGCTAAAAGAATAACTGCAACTGTATTAGGTACGGTAAGTATTAATGACGACAAAGTTTAATTTTGTGGCTACAAATGGTGAGAAAGATCTAAACAGAACCAGTGTGTGTAGGATATTACATCATAGAAAAAGTCCTATCCTGCGAAATCCATGGGAACTTGCTAATACAATGGAAGAATTCAAGGATTCCTGAGATAATCTTATGGCTTCGCAAAGTGGGAAACGTGAAGAATGAAGTGCTTTTCAGATAGGAAGTGGGTGGACAGATGTTTAAAATAGCTCTCATCTGTTACAAAAACGGAATACTGTCTCTGCGTATAATAGAGGCTTCTCCTTATAATTAAAGGGTAATAATTAAAGAGTATCTCAGTATTTATAGCAACATGACGTACGAGATTTCAATTTAACATTCAGGTAACGGGGAAATAAAATAAATTGTAATAGGAAAATACACGGTTTTATGTTTTGCAGTTTCTTTCATTGAGTCAGTCTGATTTTTGCTTCTTTTGTTAACAGATAAACATACACCAAGCTCTGTCAGCTAAAGAAGTCTAAACGCTACCTTTGTATATGTCAGGATTTAAGTATTTGTATATGTAGCCTGAGATAGCATATCAAACTGATTATTACATTGTTAAGTGGAATTTCTGCAAATTTCTGGAGTAGAAATGATCTGTTTCTATTGATGTCTACCACAATGTAATGTAAGCTGTGTGGATCTGCTAGGGAAAAGGGTTAATGTCGGGGATCGTTCCTGCCATTCAGTGCCTTAAAAAAATGCAATCCTTGTTTGATATTCCGTTTTATATTCATTTATGGACGCTGCATACATAGCGTCACTGTGTTCCAGGACAACAGAACAATCCCCTGTTTATCCATTGGCAGCGGATGTGGGTGGCAGATGTCATTGACGACATGAAATGTTGGATGTAGTGAGAATGTTTTTACCTTGGACGGATTTGCTGTCAGTGATGGAGACTGTGATATAAATACATGGTGATTAGAGTACTCACAGCCCGTGTCTGCCTTTAGTGGAAATTACATTGCATATGCTAGGATATGCATACATCAGAATAGCTTTAATTATCAAGAGAGTCCAAGTTGTTAAATCTGGGAGGACTAAGGTCAAAGTAATTCAAGTAAATGGTTATGGTGGTAGGAATCTGTATTTGCAGTGTTTTGTCACTTTTGTGCCAGGGGCTAGTTGCACACAAGACTCGAGATGCCAGGCGACAGACGTAATGAGGTTCTACCCTTACAGGCAGCACTGATAGTGTACCTCCAATGGGAAGCCTAGATCTCTTCTTCCTCTTTTCTTATGATCCCTCCTTGCCTTACTATACTCCTTACAAGTCCTCTATTGTTTGGGGGGGGAAGGTTGTAATATCCCACCTCCCTTCCCTGACTCGAATCACGCGCATGCGCTCTTTGTGCTAGAGAAAATGGTTCAATCAGATGCTTCTCTATGCAAAGCATTTGGTTGGACTATGGAAAAGGAATTAGTGCTGGGGTGTGGAAACACTCAAATTTGGCTTTGCCTAGTGCTGGATTCAAGGTACAATTTTATTTTTGTAATTTATTTACAAGGTTTGGGGTTTTGAGTTCTTTAGTTCAGTGAGCTTGGTGTGTATAATATATATATACAATACTTCCCAAATATATACATGTATGTGTGTGTGCACACTCGCACACATAATATATGCAAATCTCCTTATAAAGGTCCATTTTAGTGAATCTTGGCCCAGAAAAGTTAGTATGGCTATAGAATTCTATAAACTATAGAAAGGTAGACCAACAAGAATAGCTCAGTGAGACACGGAGCATGGCTGAAATGATCAACGGTTATTTGATAAAGAATAAATTAATGTGAACTGAAATTCAAGATGCAAAATGTTAGCTAAATTAGCCAAGCTGTCACTACAGCTGAGATGGAGATTGTTTCCAAAACAGCACCTTTGGCCTACATTTGTTAATTCAGTTTTCAGTTCACTACAATTGGAAGTTAAAGGAACACTCCGGTCACCATAACAACTTTGTAAAAATGAAGGGGTTTTTTTGGTGCCAGGTAGCCCCCGGGGCACTTTATTACCTACAGGGGTTAAACTTTTCTATAATGGCTTTACCGTAAAAGTTGCCTCCAGCACCGGATCTGCAGTTTCCCCAAATGATCCAGCTTCTGAAATTGTGTTTCAGGAAGCGCGGAGTGCCACCGAGCAGGTGGCGCCGCTGAGTGCTCTAGCCAAACAGTGGCACTGCGCACTTACTGAAGCCGGAATCCACCAAGGAAACTGCAGATCCGGCACTGGAGGCAAACTTTGGGATTAAACTTGAACGATTTAACTCCTTCAGGTAAATGCCTATGGGCCTCCTGACTCCATAACAACTTAATTTCATTGAAGTTGTAATGGTGACCTGAGTGTTTCTTTAAGTGATCTTAAACACCAGTGCATTAAGTTATAGCTCATTAAATAAGTTATTTTATTGCTGGTTTTGGTACGTAATGCACAGAGAAAGAAATGTCACTGAACTATTGTAGGCTGTAGGTAAAAATAACCATTCATGAAAAGTTTCCTTAAAGGAAATCTGCCTTTCGCACTTTGCTTACTCTTCTGGCACTCACTGGCCTGGGAGATTTTTCACAGCTATTGTGTAAGACAGTGTTTTGGCTGCAGCTTAAAATGTCTGAGCCTGGGGAGTAGGCGGTTGATGGAGTTCCTTTTTCTAGTAAAAAAATAAATAAAAAAGGTCTGTTTTCTGTATGGAGCTTGGCATGTTCAGAGGATTTGCACAAGGATTCTTGTTGCCCTAAGTAGGCTGTGATTTTTGATTTTCCTTTACATTCTCCATTCGTTCTCTTGTATTTGGCATGGCTCAAATGCTTGACCCTTGTAGTTTGCAGAACTTGACAGCCAACTCGTTATTCCCTATAAACAGGCCAGCACTGCCGGAACATGGAGGATTTGTTCAGCAAAGTGTTCCCACGCGTTTTTCGAGGGACAGTTCATCCAGCTCTGTTAACCCCTTGTAGCCCAAGCTTCTGTAAACTTAGTTAAAGCTTGGAATGGGAGAGAGTCCTACAATTCTGTTCAGTTTGTGCTTTTGTCAACAGTGTACTTTTGCAGAGAATACACACAGAATTCATTCAGAGCTTGACAAAAAGGCGGAGCTACCACTGTCACACGCTGTCAGTCTCCTAACCATCACTACTGACGGCTGAGGGGAAAAAGGCTTTTTCTATGGAGATTCCGGCAGTCTCCATAGACATCAGTGTTGTCCTCTCGCGCATGTATTGGTTCCTGGCAGATGAAGTACCAGGAGCTGAAGTGGAGGCACTGGATCAAGGTGGCAGCATCCATGTGGGACGGGTTAAATCAAGTAAAACCTAACTTTTCAGCACCACTGGTGCTATGATGTCACCATAGGGGGTCTTTTGCAAAATATGCAAAGATCCCAGAAGGTGACAGAGAAACTTTAAATATAACTTTCAGATACTGTTTTTTTAAACAAAATTATAGCCTACATATTTTTTTTCCAACAAATAATTGTACTTTACCTTTAAAAGTTCGACAGATCTGCTCTTATAATTAATCCTGCTGGAAGACTAGACTGTGTATTCCTGGGAAGAGCAAAAACATGGGGTGAGCTGTAAGCACATCTTAGAGCCCATCTATAACGTTAATTTATTCATTCATTATTAACAAATGTTAACAGACATATTATTTTGGGAGTTATTTTTGCTTCTTATGAATTTGGTTTTCCACATGTGTCTTTCAATAAAATGTTGGATTTCAACACTCATCACTTTCAGCATGCATTCAGGTTAATGTGAATGATAGATTACTGCCTCAATTTGGGATTTGTACCCTTGTATAGGTTCAAAAACAGCATGAAGAAGAATGGCAGAGATTATATCACACATATGTGGAATGAACGTTAGTACGCATGTTGAAATTAAGTTACAGCTGTCATCTACTCCAAAGTTCTAAAACTGAATGCATCATTGTCTTGGATCAGATGCAGTCATGATCCAGTGTTTATTTTTAGTCCACTCTTAATAAAATGTATAAATATTTCCAAACCTTCTTTGGTATGATGTCAGAACCTTTGATCAGAAGCATTTTGCCTCCAGGCTGCAGCACTGTTGGTAAGCTTGTACTTAATAACCTTTACTTAGGAATAAACTATCGCTAATAAGAATAAGCCCACTGGATCTTAAAACCAAACATAGAACATTGTAGGGTTTTGCAACTTATTATTTTTACAGATCACAAAATAAGCCATCGACGGAGGTGCCCTTGATAAAAAATAAAAGTAAAAAGTAGTACAGACATGGGGCAAAGTTCTAAAAATGGATCAATCACCATGGAAACTGACGGAATAAGGAGCAACATTCCTTTGCTTTCTGTATTTCCTGCACCACGTGCCAACCTTTTCCCCACAGTCACTTTTGATATGTAACCCCCACTGGATAAAACAATTGAAACTAATTTTCCAACTTGCTTGCTCTTAGCCCACAGCTTTTGTAGTAAATAGAATATTAGAAGCGCAAGGCAATCACCTGTATAGTTGTGCCACTGGATGTGCTACATTAGTAAAAAATGGCACTCCAGGGACTATAACGCTTTTTATTGCATCCCCTGCTGCTGGTCAGCCAGAGAGGTAGATGGCAGGCAGGGCAGGGGCAATGAGCTCAGTTATTGGCTGTTTTCAAAAAGCAGCTTCCTTGGGTTCCTTCCCCCCCTACAAATAATATTGCCCTCTAGGTAGCTATAGCACCGGGTTAGACTAGGAAAAAATCTGGACTAGGAATTTAAAGCACCTCTGTTGCTGCCTGGCGTCTTTTCATAATTTGCAAGAGCCCCTGACAGTGACATCGCTTTCGGGGCCCAGGGGCCTGTGGGCCAGGCAAAGGTGAGATTTACTTACCTAAACCTGTCCCTCATGGGCACTGCCACCCTTCTTCAGCTCTCTGTGCTTCAGCTGCCAGGAGCCGACATCGGCAATGTAATCTAGCGCATGCACGAGAGTACAACATTGGCGTCTGATGGAATGTGATTTTCTTTATGCTTTTTGATATTTAATATGTTCGTGAATAAACCTCTAGCATAAGTTTCAAAGTTTTAGCATAGTAAGATTTTTGGTTGTTTACAAGTTTGGACTTTATACCTTCTTTCCTACAGTTGCAAGAAAAAGTATGGGAACCCTGTGGAATGATATGGATTTCTGCACAAATTGGTCATAAAATGTGATCTGATCATCATCTAAGTCACAACAATAGACAATCCCAGTCTGCTTAAACTAATAACACACAAAGAATGAAATGTTGCCATGTTTTTATTGAACACACCATGTAAACATTCACAGTGCAGGTGGAAAAAGTATGTGAACCCTTGGATTTAATAACTAGTTGAACCTCCTTTGGCAGCAATAACTTCAACCAAACGTTTCCTGTAGTTGCAGATCAGACGTGCACAACGGTCAGGAGTAATTCTTGACCATTCCTCTTTACAGAACTGTTTCAGTTCAGCAATATTCTTGGGATGTCTGGTGTGAATCGCTTTCTTGAGGTCATGCCACAGCATCTCAATCGGGTTGAGGTCAGGACTCTGACTGGGCCACTTCAGAAGGCGTATTTTCTTCTGTTTAAGCCATTCTGTTGTTGATTTACTTCTATGCTTTGGGTCATTGTCCTGTTGCAACACCCATCTTCTGTTGAGCTTCAGCTGGTAGACAGATGGCCTTAAGTTCTCCTGCAAAATGTCTTGATAAACTTGGGAATTCATTTTTCCTTCGATGATAGCAATCCGTCCAGGCCCTGACGCAGCAAAGCAGCCCCAAACCATGATGCCCCCACCACCATACTTCACAGTTGGAATGAGGTTTTGATGTTGGCATGCTGTGCCTTTTTTCACCACACATAGTGTTGTGTGTTTCTTCCAAACAACTCAACTTTGGTTTCATCTGTCCACAGAATATTTTGCCAGTACTGCTGTGGAACATTCAGGTGCTCTTGTGCAAACTGTAAACGTGCAAGCAATGTTTTGTTTGGACAGCAGTGGCTTCCTGTGTGGTATCCTCCCATGAAATCCATTCTTGTTTAGTGTTTTACATATTGTAGATTCACTAACAGGGATGTTAGCATTTGCCAGTGACTTTTCTAAGTCTTTAGCTGACACTCTAGGATTCTTCTTCACCTCATTGAGCAGTCTGTGCTGTGCTCTTGCAGTCATCTTTACAGTACGGCCACTCCTATGGAGAGTAGCAGCAGTGCTGAACTTTCTCCATTTATAGACAATTTGTCTTACTGTGGACTGATGAACAGCAAGGCTTTTGGAGAAACTTTTATAACCCTTTCCAGCTTTATGTAAGTCAACAATTCTTAATCGTAGGTCTTCTGAGAGCTCTTTTGTGCGAGGATCATTCACATCAGGCAATGCTTCTCGTGAAAAGCAAACCCAGAACTGGTGTGTGTTTTTTATAGGGCAGGGCAGCTGTAACCAACACCTCCAATCTCATCTCATTGATTGGACTCCAGTTGGCTGACATCTCACTCCAATTAGCTCTTGGAGATGTCATTAGTCTAGGGGTTCACATACTTTTTCCACCTGCACTGTGAATGTTTACATGGTGTGTTCAATAAAAACATGGCAACATTTCATTCTTTGTGTGTTATTAGTTTAAGCAGACTGTGATTGTCTAATGTTGTGACTTAGATGATGATCAGATCACATTTTATGACCAATTTGTGCAGAAATCCATATCATTCCAAAGGGTTCACATAGTTTTTCTTGCAACTGTATATCCTACTCTTTTACTGCTGTTAAAGTCCTAATTAAACATCCCCCCTTATCTGCCCAGTAACAGCAGGAAAGTCCAAAACTCATCACCCCCCTTTTACTACCCTCTCTATATGTTAATACCAGGTGTAACTATCTGATTGGATAAAGAATAAAAGCACGCCTTGTTAAAGAACACAATATAACCTGGGGATATGCAATGGAATTTTGGAGATGTTACTGTGAACAACTTGTCTTTATCAGTTCACGGTGGCCTCTTCCCAGCGCTGCAGAGAGATTGCAGGACAAACAAGAGATTGCTAAATTACACAGAAGTCCATGGCAAAGAAGTGATTATTTTAAGAGGTATTCATTTTATTCTTACAGTGTCTATTGAGGATGCCACAGGATCGTCCACAGACAGAGCTAATTTCCATACAACCGTCACTGGTGATGGCTGGGGGAGATGACAAGGCTTGATGGCGGAGGAAAAATACTGAGACAAAGTAGTCCCTTCTTTGTCTCAATATATTTTTTGGCTGGGTTGGAATTTCAGTCATATTTTATCATTACTCTATCTGTGGTCAATGAAGGGGAGTGTTGTGTCATCACCAATAACACACTCAGCCCCCAAACTGGGTTATGTCATGTCATGCGCAGATCCGTGCTGAAGATCTCTCTGGTGTCCCCATACGTGGAATACACAAAGACAAAAGACTTACAGGGTTGTTGTGTGTTTGTGTATGGAGAGGTTGCTTGGGGTTTTGTATGCACTAGCAACTTGCTTGTAAGATTGTGGTGGGTCTACATGTGATATTTTATATGGAGTAGACTACCAGTGGTGTTTTGTGGAGGGATGGGGCGTGCATGTGGTGTTGCTTGTGTGGGGTACAGTACCTGTGGTGGTGTGTGCACATGAGGAGGCTGCTTTTGGGGAAACGGGTGTGGGGATTCTATTTGTGGGATTGCATGTGGGCTCACCCTGATACTGTGGAAGAAGCATGGACTTTGGTCTTTGGTCTGCACCTGCAGTAGGTGCAGAGCAAGGTTACTGGCTCTCCTTTCGCTTTGGAAGTTTATTAAATGTGAAATATAATGAACTGACAGAAAAACAGTAATCTTTACTTCGAATTTGATTGAAGAACAGTCCATCTTTGCAGTTCATTTGTCTTTACAGTACTGTTCACTGTTTAGTGAATAAACCGCTGTAACATATTCAGTGCACCCTGGTACAACTCCTTAGATTACCCAAAAATAAAAAAGGAATCCTCCACTTTCTTTCCATTCCATCACGGTGAAAAATGCAGCTTCACATATCCTGTAAACTATATAAATTCTCCTTATTTGCAAAATTATAGTACATTATATCGCTTTGAAATAACTTGGCAAGAAGGAGTAAGAGTTTGAGCGTCCAGTAGATAATAACAGACGGTAAACTGAAGACTGAGCAAAATGTCCTATAGTAGAAACAAAAATCATACACATTCAGCACCCAGTGCAAAGAACGTATTGCTGACTTTATGATCCAATCTCTGCTTACAGCAGATTATAGTTATGGTAAATCATAATATTTCTAGTGCCAGCATATTCTGCAGAGATGCACAATTCAAAAATACCAGATCAATCACAATGGAATACACCAGAACATGTTTTTATCGCAGTTTGTTGGGATTTATTCACTAAACAAAAATATGTAGTCGATTGAGAACCAAATTGCAAAACAAAATTTGTAAATTATTCACCCTCTCCCATCTGGACTCAGCATGAAAATTTCGACTTAAAGGGGACTCTATAGCCACCAGAATAGCTACACCTTATTGTATTTGTTCTAGTGAGTCTAATCATCCCCTTCAGACTTTGCTGTAAACACTGCCTTTTCAGAGAAATGACAGTGTTTACATTACAGCCTAGGGATACCTCCACTGGCCACTCCTCAGATGGCTACTAGAGGTGCTTCCTGGGGCAGTGCTGCAAAGTATGACTGACATTCAGTGTCTCCACCCTCTGCATGGAGACACTGAACTTTCATCATAGAGATGCATTTATTCAATGCATCTCTATGGGGAGATGCTAATTGGCCATGGTGGCATTTGGCTCTGCCCCCTCCCGTTGGCTGAGATCATCAGAATTGACAATCTCAGCCAATCCAATGCTTTCCTATGGCATCTAGATGGTGTTTATAACACTATAGGGATAGAAATATATGTTTTTGTTCTTGACCCTATAGTGTTCCTTTAAATTATACTGTCAATTTTTATTTCACTATAATTCCTTGTTTAGTGAATGAACACATTCTAATAGGTTGACTTTTTGCTCCTCCTCCTCTGACGATCACCGTATTTGCCCTGATGGAAGACACTTCCACAAGCAGGGCATACCTCTTTAGTTATGACGAGACGCTGGTTTCATTGGCAGCGTGCCCTCTTCAGAGCAAAGTGACATTACGCCACTCCATTCCTATACCCCCTAGTTGGCACTAACAGGGTTTTCATGGAAACCACATTTCTGTGGCGGCTATAGATGGACCTCCTATGGAAGGTCTTTTCTGCTCTCCCTGTCAATCAATTCCGTGGCAGTAAGTGTAAGGAGAAAATGCTATTTTTAAGTAGATTTTGTGATAAAATTTCAATAAATGGGTGGATAATTGGGATATAATGGAAACAGATACCAACAGGCAAAATTTTCAAATGTATCTATGATTACGGCATGATTCATGAGTGACACCTTTCGGAGCCTTTCCCATTTCATGCCATTCTTCTAAAGAAAAATAGACAATTCTTTTTCCCATTGTGTCATGTGTTTCCCATTGTGTAATGTAAGGACATTAAAAGTAATTTCTTCTTAATACAACAGTGTATCTGTTTCTCCAACTCCAATGCTATGTGTCTTATGGCTGTGCCTGACTTGCATTATGATGTCATTTGATAAATCTTTAATATTCATTTAAAGGGACAATCCAGGCATCACAACAACTTTAGTTTATGGTTTTGGGCCACTTCATTGATTTGTAGTGGTCATGGTGTCTGGGACCTGCATGTGCATTGTTTCACTATGAAATACTACACATACAGAGTTTAACCCCACTGCTACCAGATGTGTAACTCCACCTTTGGCAACATCATTGGGTGTTACTAGAGTTCTGACTGGCTACTGTCCATTCTGTGCAACATTTTGATTGCACAGAATATCAGCCATTGGCTGCGAGTTATCATCCAACACTCTCAGCTAATGAATGGCAATGGCTGTGGTCGGTCGCTGCTTGCGGAAGCGCGTCATCAGACCATCAGGGAGCTTCGGAATCAACACGGACCCAGGTAAGGGGGTAAACCATTCCTGAACGATTTGCCCTATAACCGGGGAACTGGGCCAGGGTACTCCTGGCATAATGACCACTACATGGGCTGTAGTGGTTCTAGTACTTGGAGTAACCCTATAAGTCAAGTTATAGGTGATTTTCTTAATGTTTTATTCAGTACTGTAAATTCCAAATAAGTGACAGTTTTCTTTAAAACAGGAAACAACATTTAAATTGGAAAAGTGTAGGGTTCTTGAATATGCGGAGGATATTATGTGAGTATTTTCTATGCTCTCAGCAGCCATATTACGCATCTCCTTGCCCTGACATACTTACTCATGCCGTGCTCACGCATCTACATTCTCTCACCATCCTGCAGGGGGGCACGTTAGTCATATACTTCCTGCTGTGACTACAGATGTCTAGAAATTGCTTCTTCTACAATAACTTTTTTTTTAACCAGCATTAATCAGCCTTATGTAGGTGTACTTCAGGATGCACCAGTATAATGAGGACGAGGAACATCTAGTGCTTTACAGTGGCATTTGCCTCCTATATATTTTTTTGTTTAGTTTTTTTATTATTTTCATTTACATCTTAAGTTATGTTGACTTAGTCATTTTATCCGCAAACACCTGTTCTCCGATCTGCGACAATATTACTGCATAGGAAGAAATGCATTTATAGATCATAACCTTTAATCGCATTTACCGCAATTACTATAATTCCTAATAATGACCTGTCAAGAATTAAACGATAATTTCCAATTTAAGACAAATAAAATAGCAAAATAGAAATGTTTTGGATTATTTTTCCAGTTTGAATAGTGTGGTTTAAAATAAGAATTTCACTTAAAAATTCACTTTTGCATTCTTGCCAATTCACATTTTAGAGAAAAGCACTGAATGACCTACTGGATAGATGTAATATTAAAGCCTGTGAATTGAAAGTGTTGTAAAGAGTATCTCTTTTATACCTAGGTCCATTCGTCCATTCGTCTCTCGTTGTGGACTGTGATTTTCCTATGTCAGGGATCCACAATCTTCCAAAATGTAAACATTTGAGTCTTTTTGAAAATTAGGGTATTTGTGAAGGGAGTGAATATGGTGTGGAAAAAAGTGCAATCCCAACTTTGTCTTTGCCAAACTTCAAGCTTTTTCTATGGCAGCCAACAGGGAAATGTCATTAGGACATTGTGTATATAGAAAGTATGGTGGATGAAACACAGAGTCAGGAGATCTGCAAAGCGTGAATCTGGGGTGGTGTCTGTGAGCGTGTTAGAGTTGGCTAATCAGGAGAAAGCCTGACAAGGGCTGCTGCACTATATGCGTAAATGTGAAGAAAGTGAAGTCCCCTGTTTCCACATGTTTGGAGACTAATCATCATATTATGGGCTTTCTATGAATCGTAGTGTAATTTAGAATAAAGGACCTTTATAACAGTCGGTGAGGACCAAATTTGACCAAAATTCTTCCTTGAATAGATGGACCTCTGTGGGCCTGTCATCTTATTGATGGGCCTCCAATGCATGGTTTGTTATTTGGGTTTTCTGTAGACATGGCTGCATGTTGGTTGGTGGATCATTGTCCAATTCACAGGTCAACTTTACCTACTTAGATCAGAGTCCATGTTGTGTATGTGTATGAATCCACATTTCACTTCTGAGGTGATTTTTTTACCTCCTTCACAGGGTACCAACAGGAGCAAAATATTGTGGTGAGCCACCTCCACATTTGTTAGGATAATTTATAAATGTAAATGACAACTCATAAAGTAATATTGTTGACCTCCGTACATGAACCAGTCTTACTTGATGTTATTTTTTTTTTTAGATGGCTTTAACCGAAGAAACTTAATTTCTGTAGCACGACTAAACAAAATGGTCTTTGCTATTGCAGCTAAAGTATATATATTTACCTGAATGTTTGAAGATGTTTTCTTGTTATTTTTGTGTTGGCCCTTAATTATATTGGGCCATATAACCTTTTACTGTTTATTTTGCAGCTTCAACGAGTGAAGCCAGTCAAGGAGAAATCAGGAGACCAGTCTCCGGCCATGGAATCGGCAGTGCAGCTTCTGAGCCGGGACAGTCACACCATATCCCACAATTCTAAGCGGCATTACCATGATGCCTTTGTGTGCATGAATAGAATGCGTCAACGGGGACTCCTATGTGATATCGTGCTTCACGTGGGAACCAAGGAAATCAAGGGCCATAAAGTGGTGCTGGCATCCTGCAGTCCTTATTTCCATGCCATGTTTACAAGTAAGTCCATGTCTGTGGCTACACGTCTGTTGATTTGTAGTAATATGTAATGTTATTGAATATGGATCTTCCAATAAGGCCATTGGCAATATATTGATAAGAAAACCAAACATTCCATGTCAAAGAATAAAAGATGAATAAAAGCTAATAAATCCATGGAAAGCCAAAACGTTTATCTCTGATTTTTGAATTTGACTGCCGTCAGCCAAGGACAAATTGGGTGTAAATGTCATATAAACAAAGTGCAGGAGCAGGTGACATACACCCACGGGTGCTTAGGGAACTTAGCTCAGCTATTTTTGATCATCAAGGACATAGACAATGCCAAACCACTTACATCCGTTGTTTTTAAGACATAGTGGAGCGGACTGTGGATTGTGTTCACCTTTTGCAGAAGCTGTTTAATAACAGAGTGACCCCTGGACACCTTACTGGACAGATACCAAGATGAAAATATTTTTTATTATTATTTGAGGGGCATAAAATCTTAGCAGCATATATTTGATTTTTTTTTTTTTTTTGCATATAAGCAAACTGTGAATAATTTGGAAAAAATGTCAGAGAGGGTTTCTGGAGACATTGTAATAAATTATGAGCACAAAGTGGTTTATAAACATCTCCAGAAACCAAATACGGAATTTATTTCCCCTAACACAGCCTTTAGCCTGATGTTTCTTTTTTTTTCTTACATTTTGTAACTGGAGAGAGAAATGTGTCTCTGGAGCATCTCCTGGCATGTGAATTTTGGGAGAGGATGTGAATTAATGGCAGTAGCTGCAAATAGCAACTCCTACCGGGGAGTGTAGCTTCTTCTAATCTCAGCCAGGCTGATGCAGTGTTAAAGGCACCCTAAGCATCAGGAATACCCACCACCAGATGCGAAGGAAAAAAGTATTTAAATTATTTACCAGTCTTGATGATCTCTACCAATCCAATGCTTTCCCCTATTAACGCATTGGGAGACTAGTGCGCATGCCTGGCAGAACCAGGTCTGCACTAATCAAATGGTCACTATTAAACCATCTGATAGAATAGTCGCCTTTAAATTGGCTATTGTGGTCTCTTGCCCAGTTTAGCACTGTGTTTAAAAAAAAAACAACTGGTAGACTGTAGTTTGCCCAAATTATGTTTTGATTCTTACTAATGAGCGCTGTGTGCAATGAAAAGTGTGAATGAAGATTTTCCATTTGACTTGTAAACCATGTCTTTCCTTTTGACCTGTAGATGAGATGAGTGAAAGCCGGCAGACACATGTAACCTTGCACGACATTGACCCCCAAGCCCTGGACCAGCTGGTACAGTATGCCTACACAGCAGAAATTGTAGTGGGTGAAGGTAATGTTCAGGTAAGTGTACACAAATTAATAACACTAATAAATAACACTAGTAACACGTTTAAACAGGAAATGTAGATTTAACTTTCTGCTTGTTCTTTATTGGGTTCTTGAGATTATTCTTACCCAACTCAATGATAGTTATTTAACGTGTTTGGCAGGATAAAATCCTGCAGTGATCTTGATGGGGAATCAAACCTGCGACTCTATCCACTGAACTATCTGGAAGGCCTTGTGATACAAGTTGCAATCTTATTTTCTTTATCATATGTTTAGAACATTTGTTACTTTCTTCTGTGAAGTGATTTATTGGAATTAGTTTCCCATTGTATCCTCTAAAACAATCACTTAAAGGGATGCTATAGGCATCAAAATAACTTTAATTTAACAGAGCAGATTGGGTGTATAGATTATTCTCCTGCAGTCTCACTGCTCATTCTCTGTTAAATCACTTTTGTTTAGGTTTATGCAGCCCTTGCCACACCTCCCCTGGCTCTGACTGACACAGCCTACATGAAAACAAAATGGTTTCATTTTCAATCAGATGTAACTAACTTTAATAGCTTTTATCTCCTGCTCTGCAAGTTAAGCCTTTCTCACACAAAGGAGGCACCAGCAGGGTCTAGCAAGCTTAGCAGTGCAATAAATAAGAAATTTTAAATTAGACAGAATTAGCAATAAAGGAAGTGTAAACATTAGATGACTCTTTATAGGAAGTGTTTAGGAACGGTGTGTAAGTCACATGCAAGGCGGTGTGACTAGGGCTGTATACACAAAGTGATTTAACTCCTGAATGGCAGATAATTGAGCAGTAAGACTGCAGGGGTATGATCTATACAACACTGAGCTCACTCGTTTCCCCCACCCGTAGTTTTAGGGATGGAGAATTAAAGTAACAGACTAGTTGGTCTGTCTGGCAACTCAGTCCTTATCTCATCCCAATTGGATAGGGCAAACACTGAATTATAGATGTTTCCAAAGTACAATGTCACAGGGATGCCGTGACACACACCAATCCTAGTTTAATACCAACTCCCTGAGCATCAAATATGCTGAAACTACCCACCAAGTATCACGTCGGTGTGATTCAAAGGAGGGTGGCTTCTCAAATGTCTTTATGCAAAACAAACAGAGACTGAAAAATAAAGATTTTAATACCTACTACATCGATGCTGATCAAATGCTACTCACTCCACATCTCCTACAAAGGCAAGGAGCCATCTTCAAAGAAACCTAGAGGGACACTATAGGCAGTGGCGTACTAAGAGGGGGGGCGGGGGGGGCGGTCCGCCCCGGGTGCCCCCCCCCACCCCCCCATGCTGCAGCCGCCCGAGCGCTCTGTACAGAGCCTCAGGCGGCTGCAGCTTTGCCCGGGTGGTGCTTCCATGAGGGCGGACCGCACCGCCCGGGCGCAGCCTGAGAAAGGGAGCTGACACTCCTGTCAGCTCCCTCACTGCAGCATGGTCCGCGGGTACAGGGAGCAGCTGTCTCCTGTACCCGGCCGGACTAACAGGAAGTGCACACTGAGGGGTGAGAGAAAATAGGAGCGGGGGTGAGAGAAATTAGGAGGGGGGTGAGAAAGAGAAATTGGGAGGAGGAGAAGGAAATTGGAGCGGGAGGAGAGATTGACATTCATTACATACACACAATGCACCCCTTGCACACAGAAAAACACACAGACACACATACACAATCAATGCAACCGTTACACACAATGCATCCCTTACACACACAGAAACACACAATGCATTCATTACACACACTTAATGCCCCGCTTACACACATTCAATGCATTCCATACATACACAGAAACACACCTTGCAGTCCTTACACATACAAACACAATTTCACACAATGCATTCCTTACACACATATCAGGACATCCCCTACACACTCCACCCCCTGTGAACAAACTCATTGGTGGAACATAAAGGTGGACCCTGGGACCCAGACCTTGAGCTGTGTAAAGGACCCCCAAAAAATGGAGCTGCTTCCCGTTCTCCCAGAACATTGATTTTTGTGACCACAGTTACAAACCGCCTCCAGAGAGCCTGTTCTGCACCAGACCAGTGGAGCCAGACTGCAGCTAGAGCCCATCATCATCCTCATCTGGTTGTAAGTAGGCAATCTAGTATATTATTTGTGGCACTAAGCTCTAATTTACCTCACATTAAAGAAACACTATAGTCCCCAGAACCACTTCAGCTTAATGTAGTGGTTCTGGTGTCTATAGCCTGTCCCTGCAGGCCTTTTAATGTAAACACGGCGGCACTGCAGCACTGGCGTTAGTTAACATGGCAAATCATATGGCTGGGGCATTGTGATGTCACATGGGGGGGCGGCAAACTTTACTTTTGCCTAGGGCGGCAAAAATCCTTGTACCGGCCCTGGCTGGAGGGGGCTGTGTGAGCTGTGGCCGCACAGTGTCCCATGGTAGTTAGGCCGCACGGAGGAAATGTGTATGTGTGACTGTCTGCCTGTGACTGTGTGTGACTGTCTGCCTGTAACTGAGTGTGTGACTGTCTGTCTGTAACTGAGTGTGTGACTGTCTGCCTGTAAATGTGTGTGTGGGGCTGCAGGGATTTTGTAGAAGGGGGTGGGGGTTTTGTATTGGGACAGGAGTCTTTATAAGGGGGGATAAGCAGGGGATTTGTGGAAGGGGGTTGCGGGGGTTTTGTAGATGGGGCAGTACAGGATTTGTAGAAGGGGCAGGACAGAGGTTTTGTAGGAGGGGCAGGGCAGGACAAGGGTTTTGTAGGAGGGGCTGACAACGGTTTTGCAAAGTTTACAAATTGTAAAAATAAAAGAAATAAAACCTTTAATATTTTTTACAGGTTTATTTATTTATTTATTTTTTGGGAGGAGGGGGGTGAGGGGGGGTGCCAAGCACAGGATCCGCCCCGGGTGCCAAATGCTCTAGGTACGCCCCTGACTATAGGCACCCCAGACCACTTCATCTCAGTGAAATGGTCCAGGTGCCATTTCCCCAGCGTTTTAACCGTGCAGGAATGATAATGTTTTCATTGTGGGGTTAAGCTCCCTCCTACTGACAGCCACTAGAGCTGCTTCCACAGAATCATGGAGTAAAACTGCACTGTTTACCATCTGATTGGTGCAGTGCATATTTCTTTTTGCTGCACATGCTCACCAACCTCCTATGACAAAAGGAAAGCAAAATCACCTTTTTAACCCTGACAGTGGGGGACGAGACACCTAAATGGTGACTAGGGTATTACAGTGTTGGGAATGCACATTTGTATTCCTAATGCTATAGTGTTCCTTTAAGTACCAGCCACAATGTGAAAATAAAGACATATACATTAAAAGTGAAAGAGAAAGTGAAAGAGGCTCAGCTTTAAAGCGGCACTGTCATGCCGAATCCCGTTTTTTTTTTAACCCCCCTCCCGCCTCCACTACATCCAATTGACCCACTAGTCACCCCCAAATGCCCCTAAGCCCCCCACATTACCTATTTTTTAATCCTTATTTTCTGCCCCGATCTTGATTCAGGGCGCCGCCATCTTTGTGTGGGTAGATGAAGTCCCTGTGGGACACGTCACCTGCCCACACTAGACAGACTGTGAGATTCCCGCACATGCCCAGTGAAACACCTGGACATGCGCACGGGAATTTCATCTATTCATTCATTCATCAGACAGACGAATGAGTGAATAGAAAGATCAGCCGAACAAACTAACACTATGTATCAGTGTTAGTTTGTTCGTTCAGTTTATTACAAGGAGGGAGCTACCGGCGTGCATCTCCCTCCTCGTAATATGTAAGTATAGAAGCGGCAGGGAGCAGTGCTCCCCACCACTTCATAAGCCCCCCCCAGGTCCCCCTCTCACTCTATGGGGGTCAATATGACCCCCATAATAGCACAAGGAAGATTAAAATCTCCCAAATGCCCCTACTCGCTATACCGCCTGTGGCTGCTCACTGTTGAAAAAAAATGACATAAATTACAATAAGGGGGGGAGGACCTATTGTCCTCCCCCCCTCCCCCACCCTGAGCGGCGGGTGGGGGCCATGAAGATAATGGGGGGGGGGGCCTACTGTCCTCCCCCCCGGCCCCCACCCCTGAGCGGTGGGTGGGGGCCCTAATAAAACAATAAGGGGGGGTACCTTCTGCCCTCCCCCCCTGGCCCCCACCCCTGAGCGGTGGGTGGGGGCCCCAGTAAAACAATAAGGGGGGGGACCTACTTCCTCCCCCCCTGGCACCCACCCCTGCGCAGTAGGTGGGGGCCCTAATAAAACAATAAGGGGGGGTGGACCTACTGTCCTCCCCCCCGGCCCCCACCCCTGAGCGGTGGGTGGGGGCCCTAAATAAAGATATGAGGGGGAACTTCTGTCCCCCCCCCCTGGCCCCCACCCCTGCGTGGTGGGTGGGGGCCCTAATAAAACAATAAGGGGGGGACCTACTGTCCTCCCCCCCTGGCCCCCACCCCTGAGCAGTGGGTGGGGGCCCTAATAAAACAATAAGGGGGGGGGACCTACTGTCCTCCCCCCCGGCCCCCACCCCTGCACGGTGGGTGGGGGCCCTAATAAAACAATAAGGGGGGGGAACCTACTGTCCTGGCCCCCACTCCTGAGCGGTGGGTGGGGGCCCCAGTAAAACAATAAGGGGGGGACCTACTGTCCTCCCCCCCTGGCCCCCACCCCTGAGCGGTGGGTGGGGGCCCTAAATGAAACACCCCAATCAAGGTGACTAGGGGTCCCAAGCCCCTAGTCACCCCCCCCACCCAAAAAAAACCTATCCCCTACCTACCCCCCTCACCCTAAAAATAGTGAGGGGGGAATAAAATAACTAACCTGTTAAAAAAAATTAAACTTACCATTTGACGTCTTCTTTTTTCTAAAATCTTCTTTCTTCAGCCCCCAAAAAGGCCAAATAAAATCCATTACACCCGTCGCACTTTAAAAAAAAAAAAAAAAGAACTTCAAAAGAACTTTCCCACGCTGTGTAAAATGACACAGAGCACTCTGATTGGGTGGCTTGAAAGCCACCCAATCAGAGTGCTCTGAGTCATTTTACACAGCGTGGGAAAATTCAAAAGAACTTTCCCACGCTTTGTAAAATGACTCAGAGCACTCTGATTGGCTTAAACCCACCAATCAGAGTGTTCTAAGCCTAATTGCAGGGCGGGGCAAGGCTTTATAAGCCTTGACCCGCCGTGCGGAGCTCAGTACGCGGCGTGCCCTCGAAGGGCGAACATGGATTAATTTTTTTTTGCGCTCGGTAGGTTTTTTTGGGTGGGGGGGGTGACTAGGGCCTTGGGACCCCTAGTCACCTTGATTGGGGGGGGTGTTTCATTTAGGGCCCCCACCCACCGCTCAGGGGTGGGGGCCAGGGGGGGGAGGACAGTAGGTCCCTCCCCCTTATTGTTTTACTGGGGCCCCCACCCACCGCTCAGGGGTGGGGCCCGGGGGGGAGGACAGTAGGTCCCCCCCCTTATTGTTTTATTGGGGCCCGGGGGAGGACAGTAGGTCCCCCCCTTATTGTTTTATTAGGGCCCCCACCCCTGCGGGGGCCAGAAGTTCCCCCCCATATCTTTATTTAGGGGCCCCACCCACCGCTCAGGGGTGGGGGCCGGGGGGGAGGACAGTAGGTCCCCCCCTTAATGTTTTATTAGGGCCCCACCCACCGCGCAGGGGTGGGGGCCAGGGGGGGAGGACAGTAGGTCCCCCCCTTATTGTTTTATTAGGGCCCCCACCCACCGCGCAGGGGTGGGGCCGGGGGGGGACAGAGGTTCCCCCCCATATCTTTATTTAGGGCCCCCACCCACCAATCAGGGGTGGGGGCCGGGGGGAGGACAGTAGGTTCCCCCCCCTCATTGTTTTATTAGGGCCCCCACCCACCGCGCAGGGGTGGGGGCCAGGGGGGGAGGACACTAGGTCCCCCCCCCTTATTGTTTTATTTGGGCCCCCACCCACTGCGCAGGGGTGGGGGCCAGGGGGGACAGAAGTTCCCCCCCATATCTTTATTTAGGGCCCCCACCCACCGCTCAGGGGTGGGGGCCGGGGGGGAGGACAGTAGGTTCCCCCCCCCATTGTTTTATTAGGGCCCCCACCCACCGCGCAGGGGTGGGGGCCAGGGGGGGAGGACACTAGGTCCCCCCCCTTATTGTTTTATTTTGGCCCGCACCCACTGCGCAGGGGTGGGGGCCGGGGGGGGACAGAAGTTCCCCCCCATATCTTTATTTAGGGCCCCCACCCACCGCTCAGGGGTGGGGGCCGGGGGGGAGGACAGTAGGTCCTCCCCCTTATTGTTTTATTAGGGCCCCCACCCACCGCGCAGGGGTGGGGGCCAGGGGGGGAGGACACTAGGTCCCCCCCCTTATTGTTTTACTAGGGCCCCCACCCACCGCGCAGGGGTGGGGGCCGGGGGGGGCCAGAAGTTCCCCCCCCATATCTTTATTTAGGGCCCCCACCCACCGCTCAGGGGTGGGGGCCAGGGGGAGACAGTAGGTCCCCCCCATCTTTATTTAGGGCCCCCACGGGCATGGGGGGTGGGGGGGGTTTATTAGTTTTTTTTTTTTTGCTTTTTGTTTTTTTTTTACAGTGAGCAGCTATAAGCTGCTCACTGCTTACTACACATGCCCCTACTCGCGGTATAGCGAGTAGGGGCATATTATTTACTAATACTAAGTCATCTTTACTTAGTATTAGTAAAGTTGGCTGAAAGTCCAATTTAGGTCTTTCAGCCTTTTAGTAGATAACTCCCTGATACCGTGGGAATGAGGGAGTTATCTACTAAGCAGCTGCAAGATGCAGCCGCGCCAATGAATAGGATCGGAGTTTCATTCATTAGAATGAAATTCCGATCCGAATAAAGTGCCGAATTGCGTTCTAAAAGAAACGAACATACTGTTGTCATTCAGTTAGAACGCAATTCGGCAGTTTTGTGTAAAGTGACAAGAAGCATCGCGGGAACACAGAGGGAAGGTAAGGATCATGGGAAAATTGCTCTGACCAGCGGAAATGAAGCACACTTTGCTCCTCCGCTGGTCAGAGCTGGTCAAGTGGAGGAATCCTCCATAAGGCAAAGAGTCCCTACTTTGTCTTATGATTTTAAAAAAAACTAAAGAAGACAGGAAGAAAAGAATAACAGATCCTGAGAGAGGGGGAGAAGAGGAAGAGATTGAGGAAAGGTAAGTTCGGCATGACAGTGCCGCTTTAACTCAGTATTTTCCCAGTGAATGAAATTTATGATCCACTTTTTATTCTGTAAATATAGTCAAACACAAATAAACCAAACTACTGCTGCAAAAGTTACTTCTTTTTTTTAAAACCCTGTTAGAGAAGAAGGCATTCTACTGTCTAAAAACAAGTCCACTGCAGTTTCACAATAACCAATAGGGGGCACCAAAGCAGCAATTTAATTTTTGAGAGAAAGTTTTTTTGTTTTTTTCTTTACAATAAAGAAAATTATTGTAGCTTCCCTCCTTTTTGCTGCCAACACATCTTCAAACTGCTGATCGTTGTAGATATTTATTGTAATATATAGCTGAGATATTTATCTGGGCCGCACTACCAGCATATTCCGTCTCATTGAGGCATAGCTAATTGCTGTAATCACCAGGTTGTAGTTAATGCTAAAGGACCTTTGTGAAGGCATCCCGCAGATAACAGTAGTGTTTATGTTCTTTATGCCACTCTTATGAGTATGAATGCTTATTGCTATTTTTATTTCTTTATTACTGGTATTTATAAAGAGCCAAACATTATATGTAATGTGCATACTTTGTTTTATGACAGCTGTTCGCTACTCTGGCTGATTTTTGCAGCTGCCATCTTTGTCCCATGGAAACGACAGCCATGTGTAATTACTAAACATTTTGTTATTCCAGTAATTATTATTATATGGCAGATCCTTTGATACTTCCTGAGGCAAATATATAGTGTGAACATTTGTGCTTACTTTTTGTAGCTTTTATTTATTTATTTATTTTTCCTAACATCCTTATGTTTCTCTCCCCATATTCAAAAGTGAAATCCAGACATGGACCCCATGCTCGCTGTGCTTAGAGGGGTATCAGCTACACCTCGCTGACGAGACTGAAAGAAGGCCAAATTGATTGTTCGGGGTTGCTGTATCTCTCGTGCAGAGAATGTAGTCACACTGTGCAGCACTGCCTCAGGAAGCACCTCTAGTAGCCATCTGAGGAGTGACCACTAGAGGCGCGCCCAAGCTGACTATACATACCAGAACAAATACATTAAGCTGTAGTTGCTCTGGTGACTATAGTGTCCATTTAATCCGCGCATGCGCATTAGACCCCGCTTGTCGCGGGACGGATGAGGGGGCAGAGCTTCGACTCATAGGGACATAGGTGCTGGGATAAGGTAACGTTTTTAACCTTTATTTACCGTTGGGGAGGGGGGAGGCAGAGGAATCAGTCGTGCCAGGAAGGCAGCTTTGTATTCCTGGCACTACAGTATACCTTTAAGTAACATATGTTTGTTTGATTGTATGTTAAAGGGAATGAATCATCACTTTTTATAAAATGCACCTCTAACTTATATTATTATTTTTTCATGCGATTTCCCCGTTCCTTTTAAATGTGCTGTAAAGATTTAGCCATTGACTTTACAATCCAGTTCAGTCCTGGCTCAGCCAGGAGGAGGAGAGACAAAAACATTGTTTCTCTCCCTTCACTTGCTACGTTCTCTCTTGGCCATTGATTATCTCCACCTCCATTAAGCTAATTGATACAAGTTGTGAGGAAGTCTTAGGATATTTTTTTATACATAAATAAATACGGGGTTTATAACTGTGATGGACAGTGAGCCAATGTGGGAACACTCTGTTCCAGAACAGATGTAAACACAGTGGAGTGGGATCTGTTTTATTTATGTTTTAGATGTCGAAAAACACATTGGGCATAGGTTCTCAAACCAGTATTTATGACCGAATAATAGTTCAGGTATTGGAATAGAAAAGGGAAATGCATGAATCCTGTACTGTTGCTTGGCCATGATGACTGACGTAGGGAATAAACAAAATATAAAAATTCTTGAGAAGTAACAGTTCCCGTTTAACACAGCTCTGTCACAACAAACTTAACTTTCGTTAATCGATTATTCTTTTCACCCTGTCTCTCAGTCCATTCTTCTTTTCTCTTCTATATTTTTAAAAATACATAAGGCTTCATGTATTTTCCTACACTTGACAAAGCTTGAGAAAGGGTGGACCTCAAGGCAAGCTCCATTTCCTTTGTTAAGTCAAAATTTTACAGAACACTGACCTGCTTGTTGTGTCCCTTGGGCTCCAATCTCGCACATCTCCAGTGTCTTAAACGTGCACCACACATTATGGAACAGGTATGCACAGAATCGAACGTGCAGGGCAGAAGTCAGAAGAAGGCAGAGATGATATGTCACTGCCAAGCTAAAAAAGATAAGATAGTGGCAGATACTAAGACTATTCGGCACCGAAATCTAAGAAAAACTATAAGGTAAAACTGAGGGACCAAGTGCAAAAAAAATATATTGGGGGACTAAAAAAAAAACCAAAAAACACGCCTAAGTCTTTGACAGAGCCGCTTTAAATGTGGTGAAAATATAGTTTTTGTAACTTCAATTATATTTGTTGTATCTGACACCATTGGTTCCAATCACTTGCTGTTTCGTGTATTCTGCAGATTTCTAGGCGTTTGTTTTTTGTTAATATTTTTTTCTTTTTCCATGTCTAAAGTAATACAGAAGTACAAATGTATGGAAACACATGTCCATCAATGTTTACATTGAACCGTGAATTGAGGTTTTTTTGTTTACATGTGCATATTATTCAAGGTGAAACATTTTGTACTTTTTAAAAGAAAAGAAAATATGTTCGGTGTCTCCAATGCTTTGCTGCTGGTCACCTAACTCTTTATTATACTTCGATGTGAATGAATCCAGCTGTGATAGCTTCCAAGGTCCAGTGTTGACATACCACCATATCCCCTTGCCAGACTCTCCTCCCAGCTGCCAGCCTACTACAACTCAATGGGGTGAGGGATGCTTGCTGCAAGTTCCTCCTCAGCCAGCTAGACCCTTCCAACTGCCTCGGGATCCGCAGCTTTGCCGACACACACTCCTGCAGCGATCTGTTGAAGTCTGCCCACAAGTATGTATTGCAGCACTTTGTGGAGGTGTCCAAGACAGAGGAGTTCATGCTCCTTCCACTGAAACAGGTGAGACATGGGGAGTCTTTTCTGCATTGATGCCGATTGCAATGCTTCTAATCTCCATAATCTTGGCAATGGCTGGAAATCCACATATTTTGTTCTCAGTTGTTTAAACATAGCGTGGTGTGAAGATCATGGTTAACGAGTCCAGCAGCATGGGCTGAGATTGGTCGCCTAGTATCCCTGTTAGGTCATAAGGTTCTATTAGTGTAAATAGTTATTTAGCGAGACTTGTACAATTTTATCCATCTTTCTTTCTTTCTAACCATGTTTCCAGCTCACCTCTCGCTAGGAAAGGTCTTATATTTCAAGTTTTTCAGCTCGAATTTACATTCACACTACAAGTAAATTACTCTGGCCTTGTCTAGAGATGTCTGGAGTTCTATGGCTGAAACTGTGTTTTTAATTCCCGTTTTCATGCAGTCTGCTCGATGTCATATAATTTCTGAGCGATCAATTAGACTCACCCCTCTCTGTATTATATTATGTTCTGTTGCTGTTGGTTAGGGAATTTTTTTTTGATAGATGCGATTGGCTGGAGTTGTTTATGGTCTTTGGATAGTCCCATTAAATTCTCTCATTTCTTTCCCCTTGCTGTTTCTATGCTTTCATTTCTTTCTCTAATTATTGTGTCTTTGTGTCCCTATAACAATATGTTGTAGACGTTTTTTTTTTTGTTTTTTTTTCATGAATTCTTCTTTTTCTCTACTTCATTCTCTTGGTATTGAATAGGTACTTGCAGTACTTGCAGTTTATGTCTTTTTTTTCTTCTCTCTCTCTCTCTCTTTTGTCCTCTGTCCCCAACAAAACCACCCTAGATTGAATATTGATTATTTTTTTTCTCTTCATCTTTCCAGATGAAGAATTGGTTTCTCTCATTGATTCTGAGTAGGTCATATGACTATGTTTTATACCAGTTGGTTTCTCCTACTCCCTATTTCAAATGCATATGAGTTTATTTAAATCTTTCTTAGAATATTGAGCATTTTCTCTTTTGCTGTTTATCTCATCTTGTAGGTGCTGGACTTAATTTCTAGTGATAGTCTCAATGTTCCCTCAGAAGAAGAGGTATACCGAGCTGTCCTAAACTGGGTCAAACACGATGTTGATGGCAGGAGACAGCATGTTCCTCGGGTGAGACAATTTGCAAGAATCTTATGAGGGTTTAACCAGCTTGAAACTAACCTGCATTGTTCTCACCAAAGCATTGCCCCAAACGCAAATTGCGTTGCGCATGTTTACAAAAAAAAAAAGATGTCTGCTTATCATGTAAACTTACACATATTTAGTACCTGACATATAGCACATTTCTGTTTTGTTTGATTTGGTAGAAACATCAATAAAGTCATTTTGGATACGTCAGGAGGTATTCTTTTTGGAAATGTATGTTACATAGTTCTACCAATTCACAAACTGGGTACATATTACTTTTTTTTTTGCACTGTACAACTTCATTTTCTTCCTCTTGATATTATTTTTTTTCTTCTCACCTATTTCATTAACATACAATAGAAAAGTGTCCAACAATATTTTTATTTTAAATGTTTCCCATTTATATATGGCTTTATTTTATGTCTGTACATGCTGAGTTTCTTTATATTGCTGTCAAGAATCCTGTAACTGTAACATATCTTCTACTGAATTTCATTACAATTCCACATATATTATGTCAAATTATTTATGTAGGGATTAGATGTTTATAACAAAGGACATTAATCTACAGTAAGAAATATTACATACCTGTATCTATTTTTTTACATATCTTATCACATAAGAAGCAGAACCATTTTCTCTCCACCCCTCATTCCCCAATATTAGGTCACCCACCTCCTGTATTTCGTCTATTAAATACGAGCAGTAGTTAACTCTACAATTGCTCTCTGCTGTCTGCAGCTGATGAAGTGTGTACGGCTTCCATTGCTGAGTAGGGATTTCCTGATAAGCAGTGTGGACACTGAGCTGCTTGTTCGTCATCACTCCGAATGTAAAGACCTGCTGATCGAGGCTCTCAAGTACCATCTGATGCCAGAACAGCGCGGAGTATTGAGTAATAGTCGAACCAGGCCTAGACGCTGCGAAGGAGCCAGCACTGTGCTGTTTGCAGTAGGTAAGGGGCAGAAACCAGTACATTTTTATTAAACTTCTTTAAACCGTTGTCCTTCCCCCACCTATCGATTAATTATTTGGCATAGTGTCAGCATAAACCTCTCTGTCAAAGAATTGCGCGGCGAGGGGAGAGTAGGAGAACATATAAACACAAAACAATATTTGGTGATCTCAACAGGCACTTAGTATAAATATGTGATAGGTGAACAGCAAAAACTCTCCAAAATTGGTCTGACTCTTCCCACTTAAAGGGACACTCCAGGCACCCAGACCACTTCTGCCCATTGGAGTGGTCTGGCTGCCAACTCCCACTACTCTTAACCCTGCAAGTGTAATTATTGCAGTTTTTTATAAACTGCAATAATTACCTTGCAGGGTTAACTCCACTTCTAGTGACTGTCTGCTAGACAGCCACTAGAGGGCACTTCGCTGGACGTCCTCACGCATCGCTCATTTTCCCATAGGAAAGCATTGAAATGCATTTTCAATGCTTTCCTATGGGGAGCGCTAATGCGCATTAGGTCTCCCCGGCCAGTGGGCGGGATTAGTCTCGCCCACCGGACGACGCAATGCAGAGGAGGAGCGGCGGCGGAGGAGGAAGCAGCAACGAGGGACATCGTCGGTGCCTCAGGTAAGTTACTGAAGGGGTTTTCACTCCTTCAGCAACCGGTGATTGGGGGGTGGGAGGGAGAGGGGACCTGCAGTGCCAGGAAAACAGATTGTTTTCCTGGCACTGGAGTTTCCCTTTAATTTGAAAGTGCAAAAATACAGTGTAACCATAAAATGAGGTGCGCTCAAAAAGGTATACATGAAAAAGAATACAAATAACAATAATAGTGCAGAACAATATATAATGTATGAAAAATAATACATACAAAGATAAGGAGGCTATAACCTAAGAAAAGTATAAAAAATGCTATGGATGTCAGTCTCTATGGATAATCCAGAAAAAGATAGAAAGATGTGGAACAAGGAGGGAAGGCAAGCTTAAATTAAGTGTTGCAGCTAGAACAAATGCTTAAGTAGTGCCAACTACTAACTGGATGTAGAGCCCAAGATTGGTTCTAATAATAGCACTTAAAACTCAGGATGCTCTTGATACTAGCACCAGGTCCGTTCACTCTGAGATCCTACGATATAACCCAAAACGTGTTCGTATAGCCACATGGCTAATCAATTAGAAACTCTGCCTAGTTCCAGCATGTAACTCAAGACGCATTTCGCACTGGCTTTGCTTCTTCAAATCAAGAGTAGAAGAGCCCTCCTACAATTCTCCTTCTTCTAAAAATGGCATTGTCTGGTTTGCAGGTGGTGGGAGTCTCTTTGCCATACATGGTGACTGTGAAGCATACGATACTCGGACTGACCGCTGGCACATGGTCGCTTCTATGTCTACTAGAAGAGCCCGAGTAGGTGTAGCAGCCATTGGAAACAAGCTGTATGCCGTAGGAGGGTAAGAAAAGACCAAATGTACATTTGTTCCCATATGTCCTTTATCCTATTCCTAGCAAATGTTCTCTACCTCTTTTATCATTTCAGATATGATGGCACATCCGATCTTGCCACGGTGGAGTCATATGACCCAGTTACAAATACATGGCAGCCAGAGGTCTCCATGGGAACACGGCGCAGCTGTTTAGGAGTCGCCGTACTCCATGGACTGTTGTATGCCGCTGGCGGATACGATGGTGCTTCTTGTTTAAACAGGTACCAAAGATTTAAATTACTAATGTCAAATATTAACTGGACTCAAAGGCTTAATATATTCATGGAGCGTTGAACTTTGAATAGAAACTGCTCCTACGGACAAGTTAAATATTTGGCAGACGGTATGCCATCAGCACTACATGTAACCTAACAATGTTAGATTTGTGAAATGGGCAAAAGGATTATTAAGAAATTCCAGAAACCCATATTTTTTTTTTTTATTCTTTATTTTTGAACAGCTCTCCAGCGTGAGAGGAACTGAAAGCACATATCAAAATAAAAAATAGCAAATCAAACAGTCTCCACAATAATCAGGAAGTATTACATTGTCATACATCTCTGTGTGGCCTGGCGGGAGAGCTGAGGGTTTCATGGTTTTTTTTTGTGTAGCTATGGGACTGTGCGAGTTTGTCCTGTCTAAATCTGTCTGAGTTAGGTCACGTTGCGGTAGTAAGATGGCAAGTGTGTTGGCATTTGTGCTGTTTCTAGAGTGGGTCTTAGGCTCGATATAGGGTTGTGTGGGCCAGTATGTACTAAAAGGTGAAATGAATAGGTAGTAGGACTAGGGTACTTGGTTAGTGTGGGTCCAGCGATATTATTTTTTGGACTGCGCTTTGTAAACAAGAAGCCTATTATCCTATGGTGGCTCCACATGGGTTATTGTTGCTCTTTAGGGTAACAGGCCCTAGCGAATGGTTTAAGAGCAGAGATACTTTTTTTTTTTTTTCAGGTGAGAAAAAGTATAATAAGGGATCTTAACTTAAATAAAACAACTTTCGAACCGCTCTGAATCATAGTCCTTAGTTAAACACATGAGTTAACACTATAGGGTCAGGAATACATGAGATCCTTTAAAAAGGAGCACAGACACATTTGGTAAAAATGCAGTTACTGATAAACAGCAGCAAGATGGAGGCAAAATACAGTCATATTTACTGATTGAAAGTAGAAAAAGGGTTTAACAGAGTGCAGTCAAACTGTGGTGTTCTGAGTAGATGTGCAGTAGAATGTAGGCGAACACAAACTTCATGCATGGTCACCTTGTGATAACTGAAGCATTGTGAGCATTGGTGTTTCTCTTTACTCTCATTGTGATATCTTATTTGTCACCGTTAATTATAGTGCAGAGCGTTATGACCCTCTGACTGGTACGTGGACTTCTATAGCAGCAATGAGCACCAGACGTAGATATGTCCGAGTGGCAACCCTAGGTAGGTCCTGGAGTGATATTTCAGAACCTTCACCAAACTGTAAGATATATTCACCAAAATATGTATTTTCTGATTCAAATATCTTTTTAGATGGAAATCTGTATGCGGTTGGGGGATATGACAGCTCTTCACACCTGGCTACAGTAGAAAAATATGAACCACAGGTAAGCACAGTAATTGCCACCAACTGATCACTGAACCAATTAACTGAATTTAAAGCAGAAAAGGTTGGATTTCAGTATTTATGAATCCCATAAGATAGTATAGTAACCTTTTCCGGACTGCCTGGGTGTCTAGAGCCATCAGTGATGTCCTGTTTGGTCTACTGAAAGTAAAACACAGACACCCTGTACAACACAGGCCCATTAACAGACACCCTGTACAACACAGGCCCATTAACAGACACCCTGTACAACACAGGCCCACTAACAGACAGCCTGTAAAACACAGGCCCACTAACAGACCCCCTGTACAATACAGGCCCACTAACAGACCCCCTGTACAACACAGGCCCACTAACATACACCCTGTACAACACAAATCCACTAACAGACACCCTGTACAACACAGATCCACTAACAGATACCCTGTACAACACAGACACACTAACAGACAGCCTGTAAAACACAGGCCCACTAAAAGACAGCCTGTAAAACGCAGGCCCACTAAAAGACAGCCTGTAGAACAGAGTCCCACTAACAGACACCCTGTACAACAGAGGCCCACTAACAGCCAGCCTGTACAACACAAGCCCACTAACAGACAGCCTGTACAACACAGGCCCACTAACAGCCAGCCTGTACAACACAGACCCACTAACAGACAGCCTGTAAAACACAGGCCCACTAACAGACAGCCTGCGCAACACAGGCCCACTAACAGACCCCCTGTACAATACAGGCCCACTAACAGACCCCCTGTACAACACAGGCCCACTAACATACACCCTGTACAACACAAATCCACTAACAGACACCCTGTACAACACAGATCCACTAACAGATACCTTGTACAACACAGACACACTAACAGACAGCCTGTAAGACACAGGCCCACTAAAAGACAGCCTGTAAAACACAGGCCCACTAAAAGACAGCCTGTAGAACAGAGTCCCACTAACAGACACCCTGTACAACAGAGGCCCACTAACAGCCAGCCTGTACAACACAAGCCCACTAACAGACAGCCTGTACAACACAGACTCACTAACAGACAGCCTGTAAAACACAGGCCCACTAACAGACAGCCTGCGCAACACAGACCCACTAACAAACAGCCTGTACAACACAGGCCCACTAACAGCCAGCCTGTACAACACAGACTCACTTACAGACAGCCTGTAAAACACAGGCCCACTAATAGACACCCTGTACAACACAGACCCACTAACAGACAGCCTGTACAACCCAGACCCACTAACAGATACCCTGTACAACACAGACACACTAACAGACAGCCTGTAAAACACAGGCCCACTAAAAGACAGCCTGTAAAACACAGGCCCACTAAAAGACAGCCTGTAGAACAGAGTCCCACTAACAGACACCCTGTACAACAGAGGCCCACTAACAGCCAGCCTGTACAACACAGGCCCACTAACAGACAGCCTGTACAACACAGGCCCACTAACAGCCAGCCTGTACAACACAGACTCACTAACAGACAGCCTGTAAAACACAGGCCCACTAACAGACAGCCTGCGCAACACAGACCCACTAACAGCCAGCCTGTACAACACAGACTCACTAACAGACGGCCTGTAAAACACAGGCCCACTAACAGACAGCCTGCGCAACACAGACCCACTAACAAACAGCCTGTACAACACAGGCCCACTAACAGCCAGCCTGTACAACACAGACTCACTTACAGACAGCCTGTAAAACACAGGCCCACTAATAGACACCCTGTACAACACAGACCCACTAACAGACAGCCTGTACAACCCAGACCCACTAACAGATACCCTGTACAACACAGACTCACTAACAGACAGCCTGTAAAACACAGGCCCACTAACAGACAGCCTGCGCAACACAGACCCACTAACAAACAGCCTGTACAACACAGGCCCACTAACAGACAGCCAGTAAAAGACAGGCCCACTAACAGACAGTCTATAATACACAAGCCACTGAGAGACTGTCTGTAAAACACAGGCCTACAAACAGACAGAATAAAAAGATGACAGTTTAACAGACACCAAGTAAAACCCAATAACTGTCATCCAGTGGTGGCTGGGGAAGTTTTAAGATGGTGGGATATCAGACTCCTCCCCCAATATTTTACTCTTCCCTATTCATACGTTGAAGAGGCCAATAGTATGCCTCCACTCATGGGCAGCTGGCTCTGCTGTCTAAATGGCAACTCATTGGAAATTCCTCCTTAACAGAGAGAAGGAGGAGCAAAACCTGCTTTCTGTCATGCCAAAATGCTCTCACCGCTACCAGTGAGGGGAAAGTGTCCTGCAGAACTGAAACCTATTACAGAATTAAAGAAACAGTACATTTTCCCCATTTATTATTATATATTTTTTTGCTTACCACCCCCCCTTCTGGAAAAGGAATCTTAGTGTTTCTAAACTACTGCAAATAAATGTTTTGCCCACATTAACCCCTTAATGACCTAGGACGGTTCAGGACCATCATCTGCATTTTTGCATTGCCGACCGGTGACGGTCCTGAACCGTCCTAACGGTCAGATGTACTTACCCAATCGCCGTCATTCCCCCGGCGGCGATCGGCGGTGCTCCCGTTGTGGGGAGACTGCCTGCAGCCCAGACAGCCTGCTCCCCATGGTGGATTAGGACCCCTGGGGCCATGTAATCGCTCAACACAGCGATCACATAGCCACAATAGGTGTCCATGTGTCTGCCTGCAGGAGGACTGCCTGTGCTGACAGGCAATCTCCCTGCAAGTGTAAAAAAAAAAAAAAAAATACATGTTAATGTTAATAAAAAAAATAATAATAATTATATATGTATATATATATATATATATATATGACATATAGACATATATTATATTTATATAATATATGTCTATATATCATATATATAATGTCATACTAAGTGTATTTTTATATTAATGTACTTATATTAATATAAAAATACACTTATAATTAAATTACACACGTGTATATATATATAATAACTATATATATATTGTGTATATATATTATTATAAAATACAAATAATAAAGAAATTAAAATAAATTTTAAAAAATTAAAATAATAATAAATTTTTTTTAAAAAATTATATCTATATGAAATTTTATTCTAACAGTATTTTGATAGTAATATATATATATTTATATCAAAATACACTTAGAATGAAATTGTATATATATCTATGTACATATAAATAAATAAAAATAATACGAAATATACACATGTCCATATACAAAATTACATAAATAATTATATAAATATACATGTAGACTTCAAATATATAAATATGCATATATATTTAAATTCTACATGCGTATTTATGTAATATTTTTACATAATTAAGTAATTTTATTAATTGCAACTTGAGGGACCTGCCTGCCAACCCAGGCCGAAAGTCCAGAGAATTTAATTTGCTAGCACTGTATTTTACCCTGTAACTTTCTATGACACCCTAAACCTGTACATGGGGGGTACCATTTTACTCAGGAGACTTCGCTGCACACAAATATTAGTGATTTAAAACAGTAAAACATATCACAGCGATGATATTGTCAGTGAAAGTGACTTTTTTCGCATTTTTCACACACAAACAGCACTTTTACTGATGATATAATTGTTGTGATATGTTTTCCTGTTTTAAAACACTAATATTTTGACACAGAGTGGGACCTTCATGGAGAGAAGTCGCATGTCGGCTGAGCTCCGAGCTGAAAGCGGCAAATAACCTAGCTAACGACTACAAAATAGACGGTGCACCGCCGAAAACTAAGCATACCCCTGCACAACAATATGGGGAAACGATCAAAGAAGCTGAAAGCATCCTCGGACGACGGCACGCGTCGAATAGGAGACATATTCCTGGCGAGGCCTAAAACCAAAATGGCGGCAGCGCCAGACTCCCCAGGCCTATCCTCGGACGAAGACCCACTGGACTCCCCAGATGCCATACCTGAGGCAGATGACCCTTTCTCCGCCGTGCAACTAGGGGACCTGGGGGCTCCCGCAACGAAGGGAGACATCCTGGGCCTTCTGAAACACCTGCGCACATGGTTCCGTACGGATATGGCGCTGCTCCGTGAGGAGGTAACAGCCGTGACGGACAGGGTGAAGGCCACAGAGGAGGATATCACCTCCATGGCACAATGCCAGACAGACGCAACAGAGCAACTACAACAACTCCAAGGCTCACACCAGGCCCTGCAGGCCAGAGTCAATGCGATGGACGACTCTAGGAGACGAATCAACATAAAAGTAAGAGGCATCACAGAAGCTGTCAACGACACGGAGCTACCCCACTTTATTAGGCGCCTCCTGTCGGAGACCCTGCACCCCAAACAGGCGAAGAACCTGCAACTAGATGGAATACTCAGACTCCCCAAGTCCGCAAGGGCTCCAGCAGACGCTCCCCGCGATGTCCTCCTGAGATTCCAGTCCTTACGCGACAAACAAGCACTGTTGGACGCCATCAAGAACAAGAGCCCGCTCAAATTTGAGGGCTCCCAACTAACCTTTCTCCAGGATCTCTGCAGGGCAACGTTGGAGTGGAGACGCTCTATCAGCCAGGTCACCAAGACCCTTCGAGAAGCAGGCATCCAGTACAGATGGGGCCCTTCCCACACACTCGTAGCCACACAGGGCGAGACCACCCGCCGACTCACCTCAGCTGCTGACGCCGACCCATTCCTCCACAGCCTGGGGCTCAACCGGCACAAGCCCGATACAGCCAAACCTGGACATTCCTGGGACATATCCAACATAGTCCCCTTTGTACCTCGCAATGAAGCCGACACAGGATGAGACGCCCCAACCAGACCCGGGCTCACAATACCCCTCTGGTAGAGGGAAGTGCCGAAGGACTGGCAGGCGATAATACCTCTTAATGTTGACATAGTCGTAAAGTTTAAATTTTATGTAGGCATGTTCAGTCAAAGCCATCCGGCTACTATAACCTAATAACGTCCCCACACCACTTCTTGCCAGACACACCACCCGACTACCCCCCCCCACCAACTCAGGGGCCCTAGAGCGATTCAATAGCTACTCCACCCAAACGGGAACGATAAACCAGCTCCCAAATCCAAGCAGCACACCCCCCCTTCACAGCAATAGACGCAGCACACGAACCAGCATGCATCCTCACCAAACATCTATAACACAACGCTGCTATCAAGGCACACCAAGAGGGCTACTCTCTAGGTGACACACTCGGAAGCTGCGACAACCTACCTGCTGGAGTACTAGCCCAATAGAACCTAATGCCTGCAGTAGCCCGCACCTTGGGACAATTGACTAGCTAGCTAACTCCCTGCCCCCCCCGCCACACTGACCGGCCATACACTTATATATTGTGCCCCAGTGGCATACCGAATATGTACCCGTAACTCCACCTGATAGGGCTAGGAACGCACCGCGTAACACACGGTGAACAAACTAAATCCAACCTATCCAAGGGATAAGACGGAGAGCCTACTCACTTACACATTGGACCACACACCTCAAAACCACAGTACACTTATATTACAGTCAGTGTGGACTAACAACAGGGCATAGCTGAGCACACTCCAATCACACCACATATTCTAGCAACTGTAGGCCTAGACTGTTTTTTCTTGTTCTGCAATGTAGTAATTTTAACAAAAATGTGCAGTAATATCACGTGCCATTCACATGTATATTAATGTTTTAATCTGTTTGCCCAAGCTGTTGTGGCACGGCAAGCTTGATTGTCATATTCATGCACAATAAAAATAAAGAATTTAAAAAAAAAAAAAAAAAACACTAATATTTGTGTTCAGCAAAGTCTCCCGAGTATAACAGTACCCCCCATGTACAGATTTTATAGCCTTTTTTTAAAGTTACAGGGTCAAATATATGGGTCAAATATTTTTACATTGAAAATGGCCAGGTTGGTTACGTTGCCTTTGAGAGCGTATGGTAGCCCAGGAATGAGAATTACCCCCATGATGGCATACCATTTGCAAAAGAAGACAACCCAAGGTATTGCAAATGGGGTATGTCCAGTCTTTTTTAGTAACCACTTGGTCACAAACACTGGCCAAAATTAGCGTTCAATTTAGTTTTTTTACTTTTTTCACACACAAACAAATATGAATGCTTACTTTGGCCAGTGTTTTCGACTAAGTGGCTACTAAAAAAAACTGGACATACCCCATATTGAATACCCTGGGTTGTCTACTTTAAAAAAAATATGTACATGTGGGGTGTTATTCAGAGATTTATGACAGATAATAGTGTTACAATGTCACTATTGATAAATTTGAAAAAAATTATGTTTTGAAATCGCAATATCCTACTTGTACCTATAGCCCTATAACTTGCAAAAAAAAAGCACGTAAACACTGGGTATTTTAAAACTCAGGACAAAATTTGGAATCTATTTAGCAGTTTTTTTCATTCGCTTTTGTAGATGAGTAAAAAAATTTTTCATCATATTTTTTTATTTTTTTTTAAATTGTAAAAAGAGGCCTGGTCGCAAATGTACAACATCGCAAAAACAGTCCAGTCCTTAAGGGGTTAAAACTGTTGGGCGCTGCCTCAAGTGCCTATATGGAAGACCCTCTCCTGCCATCACCTACTAAAACACAGACCCACTAACAGACTGCAAGTAAAACACAGACCCCACTAATAGTCATCTAGTAACATACAGTCAGTGAACATACACATTGTTAAGAAAAATACAGCCACATGTTAAAATAAAAAAACAGGCGCACAGCCACACTTGTTTCCATATGTAAACATGTTGACCAATTCCCTAAATTGTATAACCATAAAAGAGAATTGACAAAACATACTGTAAATATCAGGGGGCAGGACAAAGAGAGCTGTACAGAACATGAGATCTCTATTAAAATAAAATATATAGAATTTAGTTTCTCACCTGTCAGTATATTATCAGGCAGGTATACTAGTTAGGTATAGCTTCGATAAGGACCCTGTATTATTTGGGATAATATATACAACTCTGTATCTTATGCTTTTAATCTCATGTCTGGCAAGTGCCGTCACTGTATTTTTCTTTAAATATGTAAAACGTATTATATATTCTGCATTATGAACTAGCTATCTGGAGAATAGTAAAGTAATTTATCATATTGTTTTACATATATTATGTTGTTGTTTTATTAGGTTTTTATATGTTACAAGTAATTGTTATATTTATATAGCATATATGACTTGGAAGGAGCAGTTTTTATGCTTTTAATATTGCCCACATTCACCCTTTTCTAACTCAATATACAACTAAGGCACTTGTTCATTCGCTCATCATTTCCCGACTTGGCTATTGCCACTCACTACTTATTAGCCTTCCAAATACCCTCACTGGCCCTCTCTAGTGTGTAATGAATGCTGCCGCCAGGCTCATCGTCCTGAATGACCGCTACTCACACACCTTACCCCTTAATCATTTATTATATTGGATTCCTGTACCCTTCAGGATCAATTCAAACTGCTAACACTAATCTATAAAGCCCATCACTCCTCACTACACTTTTTTACTCAACAAATACACTAAGCATGACTAAACCCGGGTACCCCCCTAATCTAAATTCGACCCACCCATTCCTGTCAAGGCCATACCTCTTCCTGTTTAAGACCAACACACACTTTGATTGACAGACTCACACCCTCACTGATACATATACTGACACACACTCACAGACACACACATCCTCACTAATTTGACACACACGCACACATACTCACAGACACAATGACAGAAACCCACTCACACAGACACACACACATTCACTGACAGACACACACACACATTCACTCACAGACACACAAAACGCTGCTCCCAAGGAAAGTGCCGCCATAGGCAAATGCCTTGTTTGCCTCACGCTAAATACAGTGCTGCCTCTTCCCCACTGACATGCTGTTATTTCTCTTGGGTGTCTTTACCTATTCCTCATAGATTGTTAGCTCATTTGAGCAGGGAATTCTTCACCTCTTGTCTCTGCTATATTCTGAAAGTAAATTACTTGTTGTCATTGTCAAAAAATACAGCCACTCACAGCCACATGTTAAAATAAAACAAAACAGGTACACAGCCACACTTTTCTGTCCATATGTGTACATGTAGTCTAATTCCCTAAATTGCGTAACCATTTTATAATTGTAAAGAGTTGCGGAATCTGTTGCGGAATCTGTTGGCGCTATATAAATGATGATGATCATAATAATGTTGTTGTTGTTTGTTTTTTTTTCTGTGACTTTTTGTAAGAGGGTACTGTTAAACTATTCCTTTTTTAAAATTTATTTTTGGTTTTAAATTTTTGTCCATAATTCGGTATTCGTGCTTAACAAGTACAAACTTGCCCTCATCTTGAGGCTCACTATTGTCTCCCTTACCTATAAAGTCATCTGGGTATCTTGGCTTTTTTCTGAAAAATCAAAGTAAAGTAACACAGAGGCTTAATGATAATTCAATTACTTACTAAAAGGGAACAATAGCACGTTTACAGAAATGCCACTTAAGTGCCAGTTTGTGATAACAGAAGGCAAATACATGGCTTCACTTCCATTGTGTGGTAATCTTGCTGAGGTTATGATGCAGTGATCTGCCCTTTCTTAGCCTTCCTCCATTCTGTTACATTAACAGCATTAATTCGCTATAATTCCTGTAAGTTTTAGCTCACCCTCCCCTTAAAGGGACTCTATAGATACTAGAACCACCACAGCTTAATGTAGTTGGTCCGGTGTATATAATATGTCCCTGCACGTATTTTAATGTAAACACTGCCTTTTCAGAGAACCAATGTATCTCTATGAGAAGATGCTGATTGGCGTGCATGCACAATAACATCCTTATGCTTTCCTATGGTAAAGCATTGTATTGGCTGAGATCATGAAATTTGACTATCTCAACCAATGAGATAAGGCCGGCTGCGAAGAGACCCATTCGGCGCTGGAAATAAGGTGAGTTTTACACCTTTTAATGAAGGCAAAATGGTGCCTGGGGACAAAATGGCGCTTTTAGACCTATAGTGCCAGGAATACATATTTGCAATCTTTCTGTGCCATACAAATCTCACCTGACAAACTTCTATAGTTTTCTACAGTTTTCCAAACATCAATGGAACTATTAACAATTTAACAGAATTCATGTTGTATGAGGCCTTCCATAATTATATTATCTTAAACCTGTCAAATGTAAATATACATACCAAGTAGTAATGTATTTTCAGCCACAAAATATGTATTATAACCTCTCAAAACACAACTAAATACTGTATATAATGAAATGACAGGCTTAGTAGAGAAATACTATATTTTGTACAGGTCAGTTCTAGAATATTTAAAGTCAGATCACAAATTGAAAAAAAAATGTTACATTGGTTTGCTTTGGAATTCTGATAACTCAGAACTTTTTTGTAATTAGATCATATTAGATAAAGTAATCCTTCCTGCCTGCAACTCACTGTGCAGTTAGTTAAAGGGACACTATAGTCACCAGAACAACTACATCTTAATGTAGTTTTTCTGGTGAGTATAATCATTACATGCAGACATTTTCATGTAAACACTGCCTTTTCAGAGATGGCCACTGGAGGTGCTTCCTGGGGCAGTGCTGCACAGTAGGTAGCACTGCCATTCAGCGTCTCCATGCTCTGCATGGAGACGCTGAATTTTCTAATGAATCTGTATGAGGAGGTGCTGATTGGCCAAAATAGTGTTTGGCCCTGCCCACATCACACCTCCTTGCTGATTTTAACCAATCCAATGCTTTCACTATGGGAAAGAATTGGATTGGCTAAAAATCTGCAATTCTGATGATGTCACCAAAGAGGCAGATCGTGGGCAGCACCAGCGGACACGCGCAACGCTGGAAATAAGGTAAGTTTTAACCCTTTCTAAGGAGCTAGTGGGGGCAACCCACCTGAATGGTAAACTTAACACTATAGGGTCAGGAATACATGTTTGTGTTCCTGTGACATGGTCCTTTAACATCGAATGTGCTTGTGAATGGGTATGACTACAAGGAACTGTGTAATCTCTGTCTTAGCCATATCTCCAGAAGGGGCCGGACTGTGGGTGGCCAAGGACACTTAGTTCGTGTTTTTTTTTTTGTGAATATGATTTTTATTCATTTTGCGTATATTAATGTTCGGTGAGACGCGCAGGTCTCCATTGCATGCTATTATAAAAGGTAACAAGTTAGGCTCACAGGCCCCATTACAGAAGGACTCACAGGTCCCCATTTTCTGGTATTTACATTTGTTTGGGAATATAAGTTAAATAACGTTTTCATGAACTGGGTGAACATAATGCTTTGTAATCGTCCTTGAACCAGATTAATCAGTCTTTGATTAGGTGTCAGTGTTTGTAGGCTACCCCTATGGCCCCTGTCCACGGCGTCTCACCGGGCCCTGTGTCCTTAGCTATGTGTCATCTTAGTTTGTGTTTTAACTGCTCGAACATGATTTAACACCAAATGGAGTGACTAATTCAAAGAAATGAAATGGTTATAGTGACTACAGTGTCCCTTTGAGAATCCTCTAAATATTTGCAGTTTGTGCACATGTAACTTGCCAATTCATAAATTTCTAATGTAGGACCCGCACAGAGGAAGAGATGTCGGACAAAATGGGGGCTGATGTGAAACGCTCACGTTAGTGTAAAGATGACTTGAGGGACCAGAAATCAATGGGGGGGAATACAATTGCACCCCAGTGGAGAGAACCTGACAGTTCTATTAGGTCAGTGATGCTAACGGATTGAGTAAGTAAACCTCCCTGGCTTTTCGATTGACAGCTGGAAAATGTTTAAAATTCTAACTATAAACGTGCAAATTGCTCAATGAAGGATGCACCAAAATTTCCGCTGCTGGAAATTTCGGCCGAAAATTACAGCCCTTTAACCCGGCACTACCTTACTGACAGCCCCCCAACCCGGCACTGCCACCACTGACAGCCACCACTGACACAGATCCTGGTGGGGAAGTTCCTGTGCTGTTTCCAGGCCCGACTGTGGCCCACCCATGTGTGTCAGGCAGTGAGCGGGCTTTTCCCGGTGTCCCAAGTCTGGGCTGCCCACGGGGAGCGGCCCTGGCGGGGAATGGAAGACAGGGAGGACCCCCGACTGTTACCTGTCACAGGGAATCCTACCATTCGCTGTCACTCCTTAGCGCGGCTGCCATTCACTTTGCAGCCATTACCTGGGATCCCGGGATTCACCATCCGAGTCCAGCGATGGAGGGGGCCTCGGGTACCGGCGGGGAGCTTAGTGCGGGGACCCCATCTGCCAGGGGAGAGAGCCAGCACGGTCTGCAGTTCTGCTGGGTGTGAGCTGCAGACTGTGCTGTATCTCACAATCTCTGGCCAATCAGAGCATTGTCGCGGGTTACCACAGCAATGCTCTGATTTCTGGATATCACGACATGCAGCACAGTCTGCAGCTCACACCGTGCGGACCTGCAGACTGGGGAGACAGACCACTGGACCACCAGGGAGCATGGACACTGGACCACCAGGTAAAGAGAAAAAAAAAGGTATTTCTAACATCCTCCCTCACTGTCACCAGTCACCCCCTCCCTCAGTCACTGTGTCACCCCTTCCCTCAGTCACTCTGCCACCCCCTTGCTCAGTCACTCCCTCAGTCACTCTGTCACCCACTCCCTCAGTCACTCTGTCACCCCCTCCTCCAGTCACTCTGTCACCCCCTCCTCCAGTCACTCTGCCACCCCCTCCTCCAGTCACTGTGCCACCCCCTCCCTCCCCCAATCACCCTGTCACCCCCTCCCTCAGTCATTCTCACCAATCACCCCCTCCCACGGTCACCAGTAACACCCTACCTCAGTCACTGTCACCAGTCACCCCCTCCATCAGTCACTCTGTCACCTCCTCCCTCAGTCATTGTCACCAGTCACCCTCCCTCACATGCCTCCCCTCAGTCACTCTGTCACCCCCTCCCTCCAGTCACTCCTGTCACCCTCCCTCAGTCATTGTCACCAGTCACCCCCTCCCTCAGTCCTCTGTCACCCCCTCCCTCACAGTCATTGTCACCAGTCACCTCCCACTCCAGTCACTCTGTCACCCTCCCTCGGTCATTGTCACCAGTCACCCCCTCCCTCAGTCACTCTGTCACCCCCTCCCTCAGTCATTGTCACCAGTCACCCCCTCCCTCAGTCACTCTGTCACCCCTCTCTCAGTCACTCTGTCACCTCCCTCAGACACTGTCACCAGTCACCCCCTCCATCAGTCACTGTCACCTCCTCCCTCAGACACTGTCACCAGTCACCCCCTCCCTCAGTCACTCTGTCACCCCCTCCCTCAGTCACTCAGACATAACTATTTTAAAATCATTTGGGAGAAAAAGTCATTATCGGTTTTGGTTTTCGGCCATGGGCATTTTGGGTATTCGGTTTCGGTTTCAGCCCAGAATTATCATTTCGGTGCATCCCTGTTCTCAATGAAATCAGTACTCTTATAAACTGCCTTTCAAATGAGATACTCCATAGACATAAAGCACTTCAGCCGGCTGTGTGTGACATGGTCCTTTAACAACGAATTTGCTCATTAAGAGACAAATATTAGTTTTTTCACTTTTTATTCTTGCTTTTATTGTCTTTATGTCCATATGAACCGCAAAATTTAAGTCTATGTTATAAATATAATCAGCTTTACTGTTTGTATTAAAATGCATTCGGCATTATAAGCAACACGACTACAATTAGGCAATAAGCAGCAGTCATTCCATTTCTATAGGCAGTCTTCTTCTAAGAACAATTATCCAGTGTGGGAAAGAGATGGTTTAACCTTAAGCTGACCGCTTACAGCTGTGAGCCTTGTGCAGCCTAATAGCTTAGGGCTATAGTGTCCTAACCGCACTGTAGGAGCACACACTTGCTTTAGTACCAAAACGAATTGTTGAAATTGCCCACTGGAGATTTATCAAAGTGTTCTGGTGCAGACGTAAAAAGAGAGGAATCACATATGTGATTTTGATTGCCCGACGTTTAGAACTTTGCACCATTAGAACATAGCACAGTGTCGCATCTTTATTATTCTAAGAATATGTTAATACGTTTGAAATCACAGTGAGGTGGGGGTTTGCATTTCTCAAATATTATAAATGCATACTGTGCATATCATTAAACAGTAATCACCACCAGTACCATCCTCCAAAAACTGAGGAGTCCTGTTCCCAAAGAAGATGTATCTCGGTTGAAATCTGTTGGCACACTTATTATTTTAAGCCCTTATAATAGAGGTTAGTTTCCCCTGGGTCAAGACCCAAAATTGTATCCATGTGCTATTTCGGTGGATCCCCAGTGGATTGAACAACAATATTATCTTCTTTATACTGTAAGCATCTGACCATTATGTATTGTTAACTGTAGTGACCCGGCCTTCTCTCATGTAGTGGAATCCCCTTTGGCTACAGTCTAACCAATTTATTTTGCTAATTAATTTTATAATATATATATTTTTTTACAATAGAACAATGATGGATCACCAGGCTAATTTTATTAACTTTTGAAAGGGTCTTCAAATCTATCCATATTCCTTATTTCTGCCAACCCAAGAACCTGTTTTTGTACTGTGGGCTATGATTTTAAATCACTTGCAATGCAGTAGAACCTCTTTGGAGCAAGAACTGTCAATCACATTTATACTTGTTGGATGCTAGATTCAGAGGTCATTGGTGTGTCTTCTCCACCAGATGTAACACAGCAGCAAAACGTTTCCAGTTTGACAAGTCTCCATAACTGGACTAGCAGTGTAAAATCCAATTTCACATGATCTTGCATCTGAAGCATTATAATTTGTTTAACCCACTTAAAATATATAGATTTTGTTTCTGCACGTAATCCAGAATTAACTCATGACTGCAATGCTGTGATGGAATAAGTGAACCCCTGTGCGTGCTCTACCCCAGGTTCCCAGCAGGGAGAGACCTTTTCCCTGTAATGCACTAATTAGTGTGAACTCATCTTCATTTTGTTGTTTCATATCATTTCAATGCTGATGATTTCTAAAGGTTTTTAATTATCTTTTCAGTTAAAGTGGCCCTGTCACTTCATAATAACAAAAATGTTATAACGATAACATCTTTATGAGATACTCGTGTTTATTGCAATCGAATTTCACAGAAATTCCAACACAATCAAACTATATCATAAGACACTGTAGGGATTACTTTATATAATGGGCAAGTCTGGAATTACTAATCTTTTTTTTTTTTTGTCAATAATATGAGAAAACTAAAGTAAAATGAAACAGGCTTAGTCAAGCAGCTAATACCAAACCGATCTACCCCTGCAAACTGTACATACTAGTTAGGTGACAGACAGATAAGACATGTCTATATATATAAACACAAAAAGAATTCAGCGCTAGTATTCACAAAATTAGTCAGGGTAGGCAGCAACCCAAATGAAGGAAAACCCCTCGGGTCCTTCGGTGGATAGATACAAAAAGATATGGAAGGGCTGCGCCAAATAAGGGTAGATAGTCCAGTAAAGTATTGCTAGGGTGCCAATAGATGGTCTAGGATACTTGATAGAGTTCCTCTGTGGATGCGTCTAGTGTAGACCGTTCCGTATATGTAAATACAAGAGAGGTAGAGGCGACTAATGGTATAGTATGAAAGTTCAGGGTGTGATAGGTAACAAAAAGTAAAGAACTCACATTCAAGAGAGCTATGGCCAGCTCTGGTGTGGATTGTGTACAGCGGTATAATCCCCGCTTATGGGATATGTAGGGAGGGGGTCTCCGTCAACACCGTCTGGTAGTCCAGAACTCGGAAAAGAAAGACAGAAAGCAACAATAGTGCTCTCAATTTTGATGTGGTTCAATGTGCAGATAAGAAGAGGTAAAAAAACTCACATTTGAGGGAGCTATGGCCAGCTCTGGTGTGGGCATTCAACATATGGAGTTAGTGCTGGCAGAAGAGCTTTGCCCAAGAGAGGCCATTCCCGCCTTTCATCCCCTCCACTTTCCATCTCTTTCATTGTGTTATGTGATGGCTGATGCAGGCGTGCCTCCAATTTTGCCCAGAACTGCTGGAAGATCTCGTCGAGTCGTTGGAGTTTGCTCCGTCGTGGCATGTTGATTTTCTGGAGGCTGCTTGGGTGCACGCTTTGATGAGGGGAGCTTGTCCGCCATCTTGTCACTGCCAGTCAGGCTTAGTCTGCGTTTTGTTGCAGGGATCGGCAGATGTCTGTGCTTGGTTCCAGTATGGACCAGGATAACCCCCACCGGTCCAGAGGAAACGGGACTGAGGTGCTGATGCATCAAGGGGCTGTTCTGCGGCGTCCCTCAGGCAGGTAAGGTGGCGAACGTCCACCTCATCCGTGGCCCAAGTAGGCCGCAGGGTCCGGGTGCACCGTCGGTGTCTGTTGCCGCTCAGGTCTCTGCTGACCACTCGGAGGTACAGGTTGGGGCGATATTTCGCTTTTTAGTAGCTTGTTTGCATGTTTCTGGCAGGAGCTCGTCGAATGTGCGACCAGCCAGCATGGTGGTCCGGCCCAGCCCCCGGAATTACTAATATTGACAAAACACAGACCTTGTTTTGTCGCAAGTAACTTTCTGGTGAAATAGGCATCTTACTGCGCGTCATGTAAGAAGATCTATGCAGATCCCGCAATGTTCTGTACACCTTTTTGCATGTGCAAGAGTACAACATTGACGGAAGATGAATGGAAATGAAAGTTGTCAGTGCCCGCAAGGGAGAGTTTTCGGCAAGTATATCTTCTTTAGGATTCTCCCCATGGCTGCCGCAAGCGGGCAAGTCGCCTTTGAGAGTGTTTGCAAAAATACTATGACCCCTAAAAGTCAAAGGTCCAATTTAAAGTGTACTCTAACAAAAAAAACATAAAACACTTGTTTTGGTTTGGTTAACACTTTCTGAGATGGTCCACCCCTACACAAACACAAATTTAAAAAAAGCATGAACTTACTTCCATTCCATGACCACCTCTAAGCTTTTCCCCCATCCCAATCTTCTTTGGTTGATGTCACTCTCACTCACCAGATGGGGAGAGGTCAGTAAGGATGGACTGAGGGAAGGACAGGGGGCCCATGCCACTTCTGCACTGAACTGACATTAACCAACATGGGAACTTTGTTCTAGAATGGCTAATGAATCTGCCGGAGGTTGAGTAGCACCTTCCGGCAGCTAAGCGGTTAGTCACGGCATGTGCAGCATTTTATAGCAAAACGCTGCACATACAGATTCCAGGAATGATTACCACTTCAAATCACTTAAGTGGTCATGGTGCTTGGAATAACCCTGTAAGTACAAATTGATATTTTGATATTATAGCAAACTGAATAAATGTTGTTACTGTAGCTGTTTGTAAAATGTTTTTCGTTATAGTTTATATTTTTGATATTCAGTCTGTACTTAGTTATATAACATTTTGGTCATTGTTTATAAGTGTATCAAAAAACAGTACTCGGATGTGCCAACTTCTTCTGTTCCTCCTAGAAATTAGGTTAAAAATTACCAAATTAGAAAAATTGTCTGGGTTGACTTTAGTCACAATTTGGTTATTTGTTGCCTGAATTTTGCAATTTCTTTTTAATTCACTTTAATTTGTTGTTTATTGAATAAACCCCAATAATTTTAGTTTTTGTAAAAGTACAAAAGGCTAACAATTCTACATTAGAAACATTTAGTAACTCGCTTTTTGTTTTCTTCTAACTTGGCACAAGTTTGACTCTGATGCCACCTTCACTTGGAAAAATTCCTTCCGACATCGGTGCCCCTATCTGCTGAAAAAAGAACAATGCTATTTTAATTTGTGATGTGGAGTGGAAACATTCATATCTATATATGTGAGAAATTCTAGATGGCCTTTAGCATATTCTAAACATAGTTTAGGTTAATTAGGTTAAGAAGAATAACATCAAATCTGGTTACATTCACAAACTGTAATGTGTGAGTGACTGTGCGTTACAGGTGATTGTGATCTCTGGATTCACTGGAATCTGAATTTTTTTCCCTATCCCGGGAGATTCAGCCATTATGTATGTCCAGTTTGCCATTTCAGTGACAAATAGGACAATTCGGTAATGACGCTACAGGTTTATGGCCATAGAACGCTTAAAGAGGCAGCGAAAGGACAGACTATGAAAAAGGATGCACAAGTTATAGCAGTGTATCTCATTCAGTAGGGCATCAATATTAATGGGGATTTCAAATTAGGGGTTTCTTGTCTTTAAGATGCTGTGGACTATAACTGCTTTGACACCATCATTTAACTGCACGTCTTTATTACTGTATCATTATTGTGTCATCCTATTTTAGAGTTAGGACTTTTGAATTAGTTCAGGCTTGATACGTTAACGATAATGATAATATAGAATTAAAAAAAAAAAAAAAAAATTGCAGTTGGTCACCCAATACTGTTATGAAATCAGTATAAAGAAAGAAAATCGATTGAAAAGATAATATTTAAACCAATCAGTGCAATTCATTCAAACAGTAGGTACTTGTGCTCCCATTGGCGTACCACAAAATATTGGGAGGTATGAAAGCAAGGTCCGACAGGGCGAGATCATGCCAGTGATCCAGCTTGAACCACTGGTAACATAAATGTTGCTTTTTTGTAACGAAAAAATATGCATATTTTTGTCAACAATGCTAAGCTCTACCCCATACTAATTAAACATGCCAATGGAAGTAGCTTATTTGCATATAGTGCCCTGAGATCGTAATGGCAGCATTTCTGTCTGGGCTACAGGTACTTTATTTCCGAGGTTTGCACTTTTAAAACTGTTAGGGTGATACCATCTGTTTAAACTGATAATGTTTGAGGGCACAATGGGGCTATACAGCAAACACTGTATTGCACTGAATTAAAACCAGATTGTAAAATTTAGGTAGAAAAAGTGCTTATTTGGAGAAATCCTCTTTGTCTGGAATATTTGCTTCCAATTCACTGAAAAATGGTGTTCAGCCGACAAACCCTAATATGATTCCTTTTTTATTATGCTAGATGAACTCCTGGACTCCAATCGCCAATATGCTGAGCCGCCGGAGCAGTGCTGGGGTGGCTGTACTGGAAGGGATGTTGTATGTAGCAGGTGGAAACGATGGGACTAGCTGTCTGAATTCAGTGGAACGATATAACCCAAAGGCTAACACATGGGAGAGTGTAGCCCCAATGAATATTAGGAGGTAATACTCTGAAATACTTGGCTGTTATAGTGTATATATTGTGACCTGGGACCATATAACGACATAGTCCTAAAGTTTGAAATGCCACAAGAAGTTTTCTTTCTTTAGAAATCACAGTCATTTTATTACTATGTCTGGTAAACAAAACATTTAAATAAAGCAAACAAAAAGAAAAGCCTTGCTCTTTTGAGCTCTGACATTTGCAACTAACTATAGTTGAACTGCGCACCCCCAACAAAATTAAGCACATACCCTTTTCCACCTAAGCTTTAGGTCCCCCTCTGGTTAAAATTGTGAGTTTACTTACCTTATTCCAGCGCCATGTGGGTCCTGTCGCAGCTGGTCCTGCCTACGGTCTCCCCCCCAGGAAAGCATTGACAGGCTATTGTCCTTGCGCAGCAAAACACAGCTCTGCCCCATTAAGCATCTCCACACAGAGATGCATTGAATCAATTGAATTGAATCAATGCATTTCTATGAGGAAAGTTCAGTGCCTCCATGCACAGCGTGGAGCTGCTGAACGTCAATCCTGCACACTGTGCAGCACTGACACAGGAAGCACCTCTAGTGGCCGACTGAGTGACTGCCAGTAGAGGTGTAACTAGGCAGCAATGTAAACACTGCCTTTTTTCTGAAAAGACAATGCTTACCGTATATATTCTCGTGTGTAAATTGAGTGCAGTTTTGTGACCAACAATTGTGAAATATGCTATGCCTCGTGGATAAGTCGAGGGTAAAACTTGGGGCTATGAAATTCTGTGATTTTTATAATTATATACACACACACTCATACAAACACACACACTCATACAAACACACACTCTGCATTATATACACACACACTCATACAAACACACACTCTGCATTATATACACACACAACACAAACACACACTCTGCGTTATATACACACACACTCTGTGTGTATATAATGCAGAGTGTGTGTTTGTGTGAATGCAGAGTGTGTGTGTGTTTGTGTAGTGTCTGTGAACTGGGTGGGGGGAGGGCATTTTTATTATTTTGAATTTTTTTTATTTGAATATTTTAATTTTTTTATTTAGATTTTTTATTTATTTATTATTATTTTATTATTTTATTATTATTTTTTTGTCCCCCCTCGCTGCTTGTTAACTGGTCAGGGAGGGGGGCTATATTATTCCCTGGTGATCCAGTGGATGGGCTGTGCATGAGGGGTCGAGAGCAAGCTGTTACTTACCTTTGTAGCAACTCCGGTCAGCTCCCTTCACCTCCGTGCAGCTCCCCTGTCAGCTCCCAGTGTATCTTATTATCTTTCAGAAAATAAAGTACATTTACTGTTTGATGAATAGTTTTTAAGCAGCTCAATCTATCTGACGTAATCACATTTTTTAACGATATTGCTAATGCAAAATAATGAAATTATTGATCTGCTGACTTTAGACTTATTTACTAAAATGTGAATGATTGGGAATTCAAAATGAACTCATTCAATTCAAAATTCAGGCTATGTTTTCACTTTTGCTGGTCTAAAGTTTTAAATACTCTATGAATTAATTTTAAATTCCTGACTCTTCACACCATAGTGAATAACCCCGTTAGTGGTTAATTCATTAAATATACACTATAGTGTTAGGAATACAAAACTGTCTTCCTAACACTATAGCGTCCTTCTGCACCTCCCTCCCCCTCCTGGTCTCTGAAACTGCAAAAAATAACATTGCAGGGTTAAACTGACAGGGACATTGCACCCGGACCACTTCAATGAGATGAAGTGGTCTGGGTGCCTACATTGTCCCTTTAAACAGTTAGTGGTAGCAAATTTATAGTTGAGTTGTAACTGTTAACAAAAGCAGCAGGCCTCGAGATTCCCCCTCCCCCCCCCCAATCTCACTATTCTGGTGAAACTTTTGCAAACCTTATCTCATCAAAGCGCACAGGGTTAATTGCCTGTAATCCATAGTGAAATTCACATTTTATAATAAAATAAAATACATAAATAAAAAAAGCCAAGCTGGAAAAACAATCAACTTCAATTATGTTGTCTATTAATTTTGGCCTAAGGTTTGAATATAACTTTGAAAAGAAAAAAAAAAGTCAAAAAAACATATATTAAAGGAAAATATACTCAAATTGAACTTTGGATCCAAGTAGTGTCATCTTTAGTTAAATGGGTAACAATGTAATTTGCTAAAAAAAAAAAATCTTTGAAATTAAAATCTGCAAATTCTAAAAGAGAATGGCCCTTACCATGGTATGAATTATTAGAAAGCATTACTAAATAAAGATAAGACTCGCTAGTTCCTCATTACATCAAAGAAAGGACCAATGTAAGTCATGTCACTCTCTATTATTTACATTAAAGGATTTTCCTCATTAGCATCAGATAGCCCCGAGCTGGGATTCTTGGTATCATAATGTAAAGTTGTTGTTTTCGTACTCCCTGCAGTGTAGCCTCGGGAGGTTATGTAATGAGAACTAATCTTGTTTAAATTTAAGGCCAGCTGTAGAATTTTACAGCAGTTTTATTTCTTAGAATTAGGAAAGGTTTTTAGTTAGCTGCATCCTCTGAATGTCTGTCATTGTTAGTTAATTTGTGTGGCAATAGGTACATATTTTGTTTATATGTGTATCTAATAAATATACATATATAGAGAGCAACTGAAATTTGTGTAGTACTGCATAGATAATATCAGTTTCATCCTCCTTACCCCCACCGACCTGGTCTAGTTTTTTTAGGCAAAAAAAAAGTTTATATTGGTAAAAGTGTATCCTTTTTACTTGTAACTCTTATATTTTATATGGCCTTCCCTTTGATCCATCGTTTAAATTCTTTAAACAGGACAAAACAATGAACCAATTTGTTAGGCTGGTGCTATTTACTTTGTGATGCCTTAAAATGCTATAGCTGAATGTTATTGTTACATGTGGACCACCACCATTTGAATGCTCCATATGCTACCCATTGAAACCTATCATCCCTGGTAAAAAAGGCTCAAACTCTAGTCTTTTCTGAAGACCTTCTCACGGCAACTGATGGTAATATAGCTAGATTGTCAAACAAAGGCATATGGTCCACTTGTGTAAAATCTTTTTAGTAATCTCAGAGGCAAATAAGGGGAAAACTAATGGCATATAAATGTTATATATGTTTTTTTAGGTTATTTAAGAAACTTGCACACTATCTGGGATATTTACTAAAGGGAGAATTGTCAAGAATTCAAAGTGATTTTAAAATTTAAAGCCAAAATGGCTAGAATTTTTTTCCAGTTTGGCTTTTTTTTACCTTAAATTGGAAATTTTCTTTGAATTCCGGACATGCCTTGTTTTATTAAATAACCCTGATAGATATAAAATCTAGTAGTAAAGTTGCACAGACAAAGGTACTTCCAGTTCCTTATTTTTAAATTAACATAGAGACCTTCCAGTCTTTGAATAGTGTATCTTTATTGCTTCCACACAATTTTTATATAGTTTATGTCAATTTTATTATTTCTGCAGGAGCACCCATGATCTTGTAGCTATGGACGGCTGGCTCTATGCAGTTGGGGGCAATGATGGGAGCTCCAGTTTGAATTCCATTGAGAAATACAACCCACGCACCAACAAGTGGGTGGCAACATCCTGCATGTTTACTCGAAGGAGCAGCGTAGGGGTGGCGGTACTAGAACTTCTCAACTTCCCACCTCCGTCTTCTCCAACTCTGTCTGTGTCTTCCACCAGTCTCTGACAAAGAATCCACTTCTTCACAATGAGTAGGAATTTGCATTGTCTACCAGAACCAAGGACGGAGAGTCAAGGTAGAAGATCTTTAGCTTAGCAATTTTAGGGTTGTTCTTCTCAAGATACCCCAGTTGTCCCTGGAACCACTTCACTGGTGGGAAAGCCAATAAATTAGTTAGACTCAAATGGGAGAACCTGTTGGTGGATTTTCCTGGAAAGACTGGATGAAGGTCAATGCTTACTCTGCCACTCAGAGCACTGCATAAGTCTCTTGAGCAGGAATGGGGTTAAAACACCTCTAACCTTACTATTTTCTGTATATATCTATTTATACAAATATTAAAAAAAAAAAAAAATTACTTTCACTCTCTTGGGCATCATGGAATTCTACCAGTAGTCTGTGATAAAGCAAATCCTATAGGAATACATGGCGTGCAATATGGCAGATGTTCTAATGACTACTTATAACAATTATATAATCCTGTTAAGTCCATCATGTGGATGGACTTAATGTTTCAAAAAGACACTGTAATAACGCAAATCTGCATTTTTATTTTATTATAGTTTTTTGGTTTTGAATTATGAACTGACCAGGGTAGCATCCCTTATAGCACTGAAATATGATACAAGACTTGGAACTATTGTGCGTAGGCAAAATAATCCAAATCTGCAGACTGCATCCTTTACTCCATCCCTATCCACTGGGTGCTATCTTTTTTGTTTTGTTTAAGTTTTGCAAACTTCTTCGATCCTGGGACAGCTACGGCACAATTTGCACGTAACATTGTATTGAAGTGCTTCTGATGAATACTCTAGCCTACACGGCATTCTTAGGAACCTATCACCACCTCAGCGTGGTTACTGTTGGGTGTAAGTTGAGAGCTGAATGTTGCACTTCTGAAGGACTTTTAAGTCCAGGCAGCGGAATCATTCTTCTGTCTTTTTTCTGTCTGCTCATACTTCAATCTTTTCTCTAACTCTATCTCGATTAACCTCATACATATTCTGCAATAAGTATTACTGTATATTTATTTTTCTTGAAACAAGAAAAACACCAAAAACGTGTGTATCGTTTGCAGTGTGCATATTTAAACCTTCTGAGTGCTGGAGGGTTCTTACCCTTCTAACTGTATAGTAAATAGCTCTTTGATTATCTTAACCTAGATATCCTCTTACACCTCGTTTGGTTTTTCATGTCCTGTAATCGTCCTTTGACTTTTTGGCATGTTCTGAGTGTCACTTGACATGGAATTATTTGCCAGACACTGGCGTTAATATGTTACCTTTACACTCTTTCTCTGAGATATACATTTTTATCTATAATATAATGTATGGGGATTGGACAGCATGACCTTCCCACAACACACCTCTTCATGGGTGCTCACTAACCATTGCCTTGCATCTCAACGAGAACTCAGCACTGACTATAGATCACTGCACAGGGGTAATACAGAGCAGCTACTCACTGCGACATATATGGAAACTCTTCGTTGTTGTATCCGACAGTAGAGTGTTATATTTTTGTTCTAATTTTATATATGCATTATATTGAAGAGCAGTAGCCAATCTACTGCAGTAGGATTATTCAAATTGATAATACTTTAAAAAAACTAATGCCTTATAATTGGAATGTTCAATTTTACGTTGTGTCATTTATTTGTGTATTTATTTATATAAAACAATTATTTCCTAAAACTTTTATGACCTCCATCCATATGCACTGTCATGTTAAATGCATACCGGTTTTACTAATTTAATGATGTGATTTATTAACTGCTATGATGGGAAATGTAACTGCAGAAAATGACGGTTCGTGCCTGTACTTTTGTGGTTAAATGTCTGATCTCTCCAGCACTTTGGATTGGGCTGAAATAGGCTGGAACCTCTAGGACAATAAATATCTTTCAAATCGCTAAAGAGATGCGGCCTCTTCTCCTTTGTATAGAGAAGTTTATTCAATAAGCAAATCTGATTTGGATAACTGAAACAAATGAACGAGCTACCCCAGGATTATAATATCATCATAAATCACAATACAGGTGTTTCGAAAGTAACCACTCCAGATGGGAAAATACTTTGTATACAATGTTCACTGTGGCAGTGCGTGATCTTCAATTTCCCTTACAGACAATCTTCATGAATTAAGTATTTCGTCCGCACTAGGGCCGCATGATAATTCCGTTAAAATGTAAAGGGAGCCTATAGTCTCGAAAATAACACAAAATAACAAATGGTTATTTTGGGACTATAGCTCCTTTCTGTTCACCCCCTTTGGATTTAAAAAAAATGAAAGTTAAATAATGATTACTCACCTCATTTCCAGTGCCGAGACTCCTTCGCTGCCTCTTCCAGTTCAGCTTCCAAGCTGACATAATCTGCGACATCCTCCAATCCCTTGCTTCTTATAAAGAACATGCGCAGCCAAATGCCACGCTCCTCCTATCAGCAACATGTGATTCCCAGACCAAGCTTTACTCTGTCTGGAGAAAGAAGTGCATTAAGTAGTTGCCAGGAAGACAGCCACTAGGAGAGGATTTACCATACAATATAAACATCAGTTTCTTAAAAACTGCAATGTTTTACATGGCAGAATTAAAATAACAGAACAAGTGCACCCAAACCACTTCACTGAGTTGATGTGGTTTTGGTGACTATAGTGTTCCTACAAGCCCTTATTCCAAAAATTATTCGACTCCAATTAGAATAAGATACATGGCATGACATTTGCAAACTTTGCTTTATCTTTAACAAATATCATGCCGTGCATCTTTATCTATCTCAATTTTAGCATTTTTTTGTTTATCTAAAACTCAAGGTATACTAGAAGTATCACCAGTGGCCTGAGTGCAGATGAAATTTGATGTTGTTGATGAAGATTGCAGATTTATTCAGGTTCTGTAATATCTGTCAACAGCCATCAATGTGGTTAATGTAATTGGTTTACTGCCCTGTAGACATGTGCAATTCGTTTCGATCTGATTATGAATTCGGACGAATTTCGGGAAATTCGGACTTTCGGGTACTTCCGAATGTCCGAATAGATAAATTGCCGAATTGTCGAAGTTCCGAAATTACCGAATTGCTGAAGTGCCGAAGTTCCGAAGCACAGTATTGCCTAAGAACTAATATACTTACCCAGTGGAAGAATGAAGAATGTTACACTGTATACAATTTTAAATACAAAGTATACAAACATAGCCAGGATTCAGCTGTAAGCATTGGCAACAATCAAGTAACATACATTCATATAAAATATAAGTTACTTAGCCAGTCAATGTAATGACAGGAATGTACCCACGGTATTAGGGAGCTATCTACTAAAAAGCTGAAAGACCTAAATTGGTCTTTCAGACAAATTTACTAATACTAAGTAAAGAGTACTTAGTAGTAGTAAATTATGCCCCTGCTCGCTATACTGCAAGTAGGGGCATGTCTATTAAACAGTGAGCAGCCTATGGCTGCTCACTTAAAAAAATAAAATAAAAAAAAAAAGGTCCCCCCCAACCGAGCCCCCACGCCGCACGAGTGGGGGCTTCTAACCTGAAGGGGGGAGTGTTAAGGGTCAAATTACACAACGTGGGAAAATTACAAAGAACTTTCCCACGCTGTGTAAAAAGACACAGAGCACTCTGGTTGCTGGATTTCAAGCCAACCAATTAGAGTGCTGTGACAGGTAAATGTAGAGACTTACCTGTCAGTCTCTTCATTTACCTGTCAGAGCACTCTGATTGGATGGCTTAAACCCATCAATCAGAGTGCTCTGAGCCTAATTGCAGGGCGGGGGAAGGCTTTCTAAGCCTTTCCCCGCCCTGCAGAGCTCAGTCTGCGCGGCAGGTGAAGATGGATTTTTTGGGGGGTGCTCTTTTTTTTTTTATTTTTTTTTTAAAGTGCGTCGGTTATTATGGATTTTTTATTTGGCCTTTTTTGGGGCTGAAAAAAAAGAGTTTAGAAGAAAGAAAACATCAAATGGTAAGTTTTATTTGTTTTACAGGTACTTAGTTAAAGGTCCCCCCTCATTATTTTTAGGGTGAGGGGGGTAGGTAGGGGTTATTTTTTGGGGGGAAGGGGTAACATTTTATTTTAGGGCCTCCACCCGCCGCTCAGGGGTGGGGGCCCGGGGAGGAGGACATTAGGTGTCCCCCCCTTATGCTAATTTAGGGCCCCCACCCGCTGCTCAGGGGTGGGGGTCAGAGGGGAGGTCATTAGGTCCCCCCCTTATTAGTATTTAAGGCCCCCACCCACCGTTCAGGGGGGAGGACGGTGGACCTTTTTTTTTTTTTTTTTTAACAGTGAGCAGCCACAGGCTGTATATTAGTACATTTTGCCCGGTATAGCGAGTAGGGGAAAAATTTACTAATGCGAAGTATTTTTTACTTAGTATTAGTAAATTTGGCTAAAAGACCAATTTAGGGCTTTCAGCCTTTTGGTAGATAACTCCCTAATACCGTGGGAATTAGGGAGTTATCTACTAAGCGGCTGCAAGAGAAGTTCCGAAATGCCAAAGTTGCCAAAGTGTCGAAGTCCCGAATTTCGAAATGCCGAACCAAACCGAAAATTTTTCCCATGCACATGCCTACTGCCACATAGAGATATATCATCACACTCCCAGTAAAAGAAAGAAAGATTTGTGACCTAGGGAAAGGGGAGAGGTTCCGTATTGGACAGAAATTTGGACACATTGGCAAAATCAGATGTGAAGGTTTGGGAGTGTGAAAGAGATGGAGGGAGAAATTAGGGTAGGAAATGAGACAAGATGGAGTGGCAAGTGGCATGGACAGCTTTAGGAAGAGTAAGAGTGAATGGAAAATATTTTTAAGGTTGGGGTAGGTCCAATTAAATAAGAGGTATGAGGCTTGGGCAGAATGTGGGTTTATGGGTACAGAATTAGGGTGATATAAATAAAGTAGGAAATTAGATTATAAGAAAACATCTGCCCTGATATCAAAAACACTGCAATCCTGCTTGGTGGGAACATCGACGCAGGTAACCATATCATATGAGCTGTTTCATAGACTGGTGGCGACTCTTGGTTTCTGTAACATATTGTATAGAACCGGTGTGTAGTGAACGTTGATCAATCCAGATGTTGTGGACTACTGCTCAGATTAACTGTTATGTCTTATTCTTAAAGTTTTACAGTGTATTTTTCTTTGTTGACTAGCAAGTCCAAATTTATCTTAAAGATTACATGTCCACATATTATAACCCTTTATGCAAATCTATTTTTACCCATGATCCTCCTGTGTCTTACAACCACATAAAGTTGAGCAGGTGACTTCACATTATGTTAAACAGAGACACATGTGCACTATCCATGACATCTCTAGAGCTCTTTAGCATTCTAGGCTTTGCGTGTGAGCATGGTACCTCTAACATGCCCCTTTGCCAACCTCAACACCTATGTGTAAGCTCAGACGTACACTCATATCATCATTCGACACGCCCAGGACATGTCTTCTCTTGTAGCAATGTCCCTGTATACTCCTGACAAAAGATGGGAAGGATGCATTTTTGTAAATTTCTTCAGGGAATTCATCTTTGAGATAAGATAAAAATCACTGGAAATATACGTTGATTAAATACCGTGATTTTGCATTTTTCGGAGGGCGATGTTGGTGTCAGAACTGAATGAAACTAATCAAAATATTTACAAAAGCAGCAGAATAGTACATAAAAAGAAAATAAAAAAGTAGATGCCATTTTTTTTTTTGCTGGTTTATTAAAAACATATATACAATATATCTCTAAATATGTGTGTGACATGTCATATAAATTCCAATAGAGAACCTTTAACACTGAATCCAGTAACGCACAGAAATAAAATTGACATGCACTGGTGTGTTAAAGACATAATAAGGATAGGGAATATTCCTGAACCAGTGTGAACATATTAACGTACAGCAGAACAAACAAACAAACAAACAAAAATTGAGCTAATATGCTTTTAAATCGCAGTAAGAGTTTGTAAGTTTGTTACTGCAACTACATTTTGTTATTTCAGTAAATAACTATCAACAGGTAACACGTTATATGCCCAGTGCAAGCCTCCCTACATTAACTCTACAACACATAAATTAAATCAGACAGTCTAAAATATGAGTGATATCCAGTTCTATATGGGCGTAACTTTTCAAGACATTATAATAGTTGCCATATAAGTATGTTAATAGATTACTGTATTATGGAAATGATGTTCCCCTAGGACTTACTTGTCAGTTCTTAATGCTGTTACTGTTACAGATCTAATCTCAGGATGTTAATAGTATAATCAGCTCACCCCAAATGTACTTTTCGCTATTTGCCTTTAATCAGTGTGTCATCAGGACATTGGCACCCTGGGTCTAAATATACAACATTGTCTACATTAATCCTGTTTAATCATGACTCAATCAGCAATTGTTATTATATCTAAAATCAGAGCTGAATTCATTATTGCAAATCCAATTTTAAGATTATGTTGGTTGACAGGCAATAACTGGTTGTTTGCCATAAATGACTTTTTTTGTAAATTGCTATCTAGTCCGACTTGTCATGTAAACACACGTGTCTCGTCCAGTAACCTAGGAAAACAATTCATAGCTTTTGTCAAAATGGTGTTTACATTTGATTGAAAATTAAACCATTTTTTTCATGGAGACTTTTGTGAGTCACAGCCAGGGGAGGTGTGGCCTAAACTGCATAAACAGAAACATAAGTGATTTAATTTCTAAATGGCAGTGAATACAGCCATGAGACTGCAGGGGCATGATCTATACACTAAAACTGCTTAATTAAGCTAAGCTTGTTTTGACACCCTTAGTATGCCTTTAAGGGATTCTGCATTGATTTATTAATGTGGCATTAGGAAATAACCTCTTTAATATTTTTAGCAGACAATCAATGAATGTGTATGAAAATGAATGAGCATCTAACATAAAGTAA